GCTTGGCGCGGGCGCAAGTAGCTCCAATCCAGGCTCGCCTTCCGACGGTCTGGGGGGTCCGCGAGCCAGCGTCCGCGGCTGCGCCTGCTGTGGTCTGGGCTGGACTAGTTCCGGCTCGACACACCCCCAGACGGTTGACGGCCCGGGGAGTTCTACCTCGGTTTCAACGTGCTCGGCCCCACCTGACTCTCAGTCTTGGCCCGGGAACCTTGCACGTCGGAATCGTGGAGCCTCTCCTCGGGTGTCACCCCGGCCTCACCCACATTACGGAGTCGGTGTCAGATTTGTAGTAGATCACTGGTCCATGCTATATACATTACATGCCCCACGTTCGCAGCTCACTGCCACTCGGCAAGCCATGAAATGAGAGGGTCGCGGAAAGTCAACGCACGCGTGACCAGCGGCGCGACTTTTCTGGCCAGAGCGAGCAGTGAGATCGGTGGCGTTGTCTCTTGATCCACAACCGCCACCATCTCGCTCGCGGCTTAGACTCCAGCTCGCATTTTAGCATAATAATCCGAATGTCATGTCGAAGGTAATATGAACATCACTAAAAGTGCATAAATATTTCGAGCGCTTTAAGCGCTGTGAAAACGAAGCTGGAGTGACGACGCCATTTAAGGCTTTTTGATGGTTTGAGAGCCTTTGTCATTCCAAGGTAACGCTCATGAGTGGGTGCGATCATCGGCCGCACCCTGTGATGCATTTCAAATGCTTGGTAGAGCAGCTGAAAACTCATAAGGGGACACAGAAAGGTAAAAAAAGTGCACCGGAAATTTCGACAGTATCTGGGATGTACATAGGCTACGAAATCGGGTTTGAATCAAATTACAGAACAAGATCATTGGTAGCACTATCAAGCAACGGATCGCACTGCAGCAAACTTTGTACTACAACTATGTTCAAACTCGAGAACATACGAAACAAAACCCAAAATACTGTTTTATACGCGAACGGGGGATAAGAGAGAGCGTGAGCTTCACCATGTATAAGCCTGCATTTCATTAGTTCTCTTTCTTCAGCGTTCCTTCCATTACTCCGCTACTTCTTCTTCTCCCGCTCTTCTGCTTCCTCAGAGGCTCCCGAACCGTCACCATAGCGGTCACATAATGGTGCCACCGAGTTGACCGCTTTCAGACAGATTAGAGCCATATTTTCGAGTTAACTTGTCTCGAAATACTATGTATATTGTCAGACGTCGTTCATGCTCTAGGTGGGCGATGTTTGTTTCCCTTGAATTAACTCACTCTCCTTGTATCGCTTTCTTGTCGGTTTATACTCGTGTTCGCTCAATGTGTAAATTATCCCCATCGTTATATAGTTGCAGTTTTTGGACTTGTGGTGATCAGCGAGCACATTTGCAGCTCCGTCACAGAAGCGAGCGGAAAGAACACCGATCAGCCCGAAAAGTAAGCAAATCACACCGTTTAGGCTTGCAGCGGTGGCAAGCCATCCTCAGTGGCGCTGTGTGAATATCAGAATAAAATGCCGAGGACACTGATCAATTGTTGGTTGCCTATAAACATGTCCAAATCGTCCTTTTTAGATCAGTGAGCGGATGTCGTGACAATGAAGGCTCGATGACGTCCGGAAAGAAGCACCCTTGAATTCCTTTGACCGCCGAGTGCAGCAATTGGACCGTGCGCGCGCCACCAAGATAAAGTCAAGATACTTATTAACTTGACAATCTCTGTGACGTTTTCCTCGGCCCCACCCTCCTCTATCTCCTTCTACTATCATTTCCCAACGCGCCGCCCGTTTGTGGTGAGTGGTATCTCTTTTCCTCTTTTCCTCCCTCCCCTCTCTAGAACACACTCCCCCGCCCAACTCATCTCAGGATCTCAGCGTTGCTTTCTTTCTCCACGATCGACATTATCTTGTACTCATGCGGGAATTTTGCTGTCTACTACTGATTATATGCTCCTGTTTAGGTACCCAAGAGCTTGCGGTAGCACACGGGCTGCGGCAGACTCAAATTTCATGACACACGGCATTCTGGCAAGGTATTCCTGAAGGCGGAGGTGAGTAACGGACCTCTATAATCTACTGTACATCAGCCTCTGTCTGTACTCTATACGATCACTAACCGTCTCGCCTTTATTCGTTTATTTTCTCAACCTCTCACCCCTCCGCTCATCCATCTCCTCCTCTGCCCCTTCATCATCCTCACCCTCTTTGTTGTCACCAGCCCCAGTCCCCTCGCCCTCGACTTTGTCCTCGCCGTACCCGAGCACACAGGCCATGCAACCAGCCACATGCTCGCCTACCACGCCCCGGACTTGTCCTTCGTGCACGTTGAGCCCACCAGGAACTTTGTCCTCCTCGAGAGTTGGTCATTTGCTTTCTCCCCTGCCTCTGCGTCTTCCTCACCCTCCATATCTGCATTCAGCTCTGCCGCATCATCCAGCTCCGCAAGAAATGGCAACATGAGCACCACCTCAAATGTGTACGAGACCGAGGGCCCGAGTTCAGCTGGCGGCTTGGCGGCTGGGAGTATAAGGGAGGTGCGGTCGCCACCTCCACACCCTACAAGCATGGCCTTCCACTTTTCAGGAGCTTGTACACGCTATTACACATTCTCCATGCCTGGCGCTTTGTGGGCGACGCATGCTCGGGCCTAATAGGAGCTGCTCTCGTATATTTCCCATACTATTACTCATCCTTTGCAGATGCTAGCCTCAATAAATTCTCTTGTATACTGTATTGTCTGCTGTAGAGTGTACTGTATTAATTGCAATGAATTTCTTGGTATTGGAAACCTCGTCGTGATTGCAAGTTGTTATACTGCACCTGTTGTGAGTTATAATAGCTGTGAGTACCATATGTTATTATCATGCCGTATCTGCTAATGATAATACGCCCCTTCGAGTAGATAATAGATTCTTTGCTATGATCATATCCCCGTGATCTTTCCTGCATGCTCAAAACGGACTTTACATGCTACTAATGCCAGAGTCTCACCATTTCCCCGGTGTATGTTTGTAATTATCTGTGATGTAGGCCATGATCATTTACTTATCATTCATCCCCCCATTTAGTGATGGTTGTGTCACTCATTTGTACTCTTTACGCGTGATCATCGTCGACGGTTTGTCTCTAAGAAGCTAGATGTTGTTCGGTGTGTAAAACTGATGTATGTATAACAACGCTTTCAACCGTTTGATGGTATAAATGGCTTCAGCGCTTCCGAAGTGAGATAACCGCTGGACATTAAACGACCGTTCCAGATAGGCATGTCCATTGCGCTCATTACTTGATCTGACACAGCAATCTAGATCTCGGACCTGTGCACTCAGCATGTTTCGCATACGCAGTATCGTCTCAAATACTGGACACCCAGATCATAATAATTTCCCTTGTTCCCCTACGACATCAATCAGCTGAGTACGCCCAACGTTCATGATCTGTTTCGAGAAAATCATTCTTACAAGTTATGTCGTCAACAGATATGGCAAATAACGATCAACTGTGGGAGAAGCTTGCCATCGCCAAGGCTATGGGTGCGGAGTACAATGCAAACGAGAATCGCAGTTTCTCCCGGTGCCTCCCGGAGACTCGAGTTGAGCTCCTCGACAACTTGTGCACATCCATGCAGGGAACCGATAGGAAGGTCATCTGGCTCTTTGGCGAAGCAGGATCAGGAAAGTCCGCTGTCGCTTATACAGTCGCCGATCGTCTGCGCACCAGTAAGCGGCTCGCGGCCACTTTTTTCTTCTCGCGAAACCATACCGACCTCAACAATACGAACCTCCTTTACCTCACTCTTGCCTATCAAATTGGCAGTCTCCACTTTCGTGCCAAACAAGCTATCATCCATGCTCTTAGAGAAGATCCCGAGCTCCTCTCTGACAAAAAGTCTCGTGCAGACCAATTCGAACGTCTCATCAAGGAGCCGCTCAAAACTCTTCGGCTTGTCTGGCAGACTAAAAGAATTCTGATTTTGGATGCTGCTGACGAAGGAGGATCTCACATTAGGCCAACAATTCTCGCCATGGAGGAACTTCTGCTCGATCCTGACATCCCTATCTCCTACATCCTAGTAACGAGCCGACCCGATGCTCCCCTTGTTAGAATGTCACGAGGAAGCGGTTTCACTGGGCTCATCTCCCCGGTTCAGATTGAAGATTTTGACGCTACCAACGACATCATGACATTTCTCCGGCATTCTTTTGACGAAACGTACAACGCTCGTGATCTCCATTTCTTCCAGGAAAAGCCATGGCCTTCGCAAGCTGTCCTTCTCTCGTTGGCCAGAAGGATTGGTGGGCGATTCATTGTTGCAGCCACTCTCGTCAGACTCGTCGAGAACGCCGAATATCCAATTGATCGTTTGAACCTCATATCAAAAATATACGACGGAAGCCCCAACCCCACCTACATTCGTCTCGGCAATATTGACTCCGTCTATCGCTACATCATCTCTGATTGCTATCCCAGTGACCGGAGATCTTCTGTCCAGTGCCTTTCCGACATTATCGCTCTTTCCAAACCCTTGTCTACATCTACTATTTGCCGGTTTTTTGGTTATGATATTTGGAGGCGCATCCATCATCTCTCTGCTATTGTTGCCGTACCCTCCGCTTCGGAGCCTAAGGCTACAGTTGCGATTTATCACGCATCGTTGAGGGACTATCTTTGGGACAGTTCTAGGTCGCTCGAACTCCATGTAACCCCAAGGAGCTCGCATTCTCGTTTGCTTTGCATGTGTTTCCGTGTTGGAATCAAGGAAAGGGCGGATGTAGAGAAGAACAGAGTAATTGGTAAAATTCTGAGTGCGTATGCAACGACGTTTTCTGATAATAACTTTGATCCAGATGAATATGAGGGTCCTCTTCAGTACGCGCTTGAGAACTGGGCGCATCATCTCAAGCACGCAGAACCAAATAACGAAATCAGGATGCTCCTTGTCGAGTTTCTGAAAACCTGCCTTACAGCTTACATAGGAATCAGCGATCGTAGCGGTTCTGATCATTTATCCGAAGCCTGTGAAACTCTCTGGGCGGCTAGAGCTATGATATTAGTGAGTACTGCAACATTATGGTCCATGCAGTGAGTTTTCTGATTGGACTTGGATTAGAAGTGGGAACCATTTGACAGCCAGAAAGAGGCAGTAAGTTTGCTTCACGCAGCTGCATATCTCGCACATTTCATAAAAGGGTCACGGGTACGTTGCCTGGATTGCAATGGTGTACAATTCTTTGGCGGTGTTGATTCCTTTCATGTGCAGACCCGTGCTGAATGGAGATGTCAACGCTGTAGCAAAGACGTATCTACAAGATTGAAGACTGCGTTGGAACACAGGTGTATAAGGCAAGTCACCAAGTGGTCGAAGTTCAGCCCTGTTGCTGTGCTCATGATTACACTCAGAGATTATCCCTGTTTCTACTGTGATTTAAGACCTTGTCAATATTCTTGCTGGGATATTGATACGATTCATTCCCATCTACTCGACGACCATGCTATTCTGTCACCGCACTTAGATGAGCATTGGAAATATATCGAACGTATGTCAGCTCCGTTCATTCCGGTGTGGAAAAGAGTTAGAAACGACATTCAAATGCGCCATTGTTAGTTGATCAGGCACAGAAAGCAAGATACGAAAGAATTCGATGGGCTGAATCGTCAACTACAACAACTGGCCAAGGACAAAAGCGATATGTGAGTCAGAAACGTCATTCTTTTGAGCTTGGCATTACTGATTTTTGAGTATCTGTAAATATCCAGCTCAACGCTCAAGCGGCTGGGGTTCACAATGTCACCAGATCTGCACAAGAACAATTCGATCTATACTGTCAATCCCATACAGGCCAATCTTCTCAGGAATGGAGATCTTTCGAGGCTATTCTGCGTCAATACTTATTCCTTCACTGGGCTTACCTGATCGTGAGTCTATATTCATTCTCTACAAGCTTATCTGCGCTGAATCACTCAATTTTCTATGACCAATATTTGTCAGTACGGAGAAGGCATGATCCGTATTTCTGTTGAGACTGCCGAGGGTCCGAGTGACAACGAGGATTACCATCCGCGACAAGACGAGCCGGAATTACTATCACCGGACGTCGCACCTATCCTTCCAATTTTTACTGAGCCTACCTAGGTCCCGAGCGACGACTAGAATTACCGTCCGTGAATATGGGATTTATCAAATTTACTATCGCCGGACCACGCACAACATTTCCTCCCTCCAGGTTTCATTCCTATCTCAGATCCTTCGTTACCAAGTGTGCCTTGCAAGAAATAATATTCAAGCTTAATGGAGTGACACTATGATACGAACCTACGCCATCTGTTACGAGTATGGATTGCGGACGGATACTCAGTTACAATGCAAGATCACAGTCTGAGCGATTCATGGAGATGAAAAACGGGCACAATGACGGTGTTTGATTATTTCAGTGCCAATGAGATCAGTTCCTAAGAAAAATATAAGCTCATACATGGAGAATATAAGCATTGGAGTTATATGGTGTGCTAATCTGTCCAGCGTCGATTCGTATGTAGCCGTGCTTAGTTGGCCCTTACATTACACTTTTCATTTACGGCATTCATGTCCAAGATATCTCCCTCGCAATACCATATGAATCTTCGAGTTCTGTTGTCTTGAGAATTATGACCGGAATGGCTTCAAGTAGCCTCAACTTTGTGTTAAGGCTTTCAGCCTGTGATAATGCATAAGAAGATATCATTGTCACGTAATGTTGTCACGGAGAAGCTTTAGAATGGTGGCACATGGCTGGGCTGTTAAGCATACACCCATCACAATGTATCCTCTAGAGATGTTCCAGCTCGTGATCGGGCTTTGTATATAGGGCTCCCTTTTTTTTTTTTTTTTTTTTTTTCTAATTCTTGATCTCGCGCTTTATGTCCTGTCATAGCATGACAACCCCACCAAATTTTAACGATGTCAGCCTGCATGTTCAGATCCTGTTCATATGTGCTAACGATTGTTCCCTTCTTCTCATATTCTCGGCCGTTTACTAGCAGTCGTGTATGAGATGTGTAGCTATTCAGTACCCTATGCGATTGCCCTTCGTGGCACCCGCAACTCGCCTAGTAGGTCAAATACGCCTGTGTTGTCGCAGTCTCTAGCGACCGCTGAATTTATACACAGAGAAGATTTGGCAGTGCGTGGATTTATCAGATCTACGTAAAGCCTCAGCATTTACAGCCTCAGCAGACAACCTTATTTGGGATCCTTGCGTGTAGTTTTGGAACCACAGGAGCGCCCATTCTTGTTGATCGGATGTCCTTGAGCTCGATGGCTCATAATTCTTGACTCGGAGGACAATGCTTTTTTGGTGAGTAGCTTCGGAATGACAGTGCGTTCACGGCAGAAAATCCCTGAATCGACTCGGACTTCTAATACCATCCCTTGGATAGATTGACGAAACAACCTTTGACTCTGCACAAAGACTTTGAGCGCCTCTTGGATACCGTCGCATTGATTATTAAATCAGATCCAATATCTGCTCTCTCGCACATCACAACCGTGGGCTGCCCGTTCTGTATTAGCACTCGTTTTCTCAGACCAAGACACCACATTCCTTGATCACACAGACACATCGCACTGTATATAACTGCAAGCGCTAGAACAGCATGGGCCCCACCCGGTCACTGGCTGATACCAAATGAATATGTACTTTCTATGAACATTTTAGCTGGTAATGCTCCACAAGAGGAATCAATCGCTATGTTAATGCTGGGGTAAACTCTTGCCTAATAGAGCATACAAAAATGTTTCTATCCTCTCTTCTGGTACTAGTGCCTGTGATGTCTCAGATAGATCATCATAGATCCTCATTGAAAACTGCATTCGTGATTAAAATGATGGACACAGCTTACCAAAATCGACTAATGAGCTTTACTCAGTGATATTCATCAAAGTGTTCAAGTAGATAACGGCGGTAAGTCGTCACCGTTCGCTTAAGATCCTCCCCGCACTGCAGCCACCATCTTCTCATCTTTCTAATTGATACACATGGCGTCTTCCTCCTTTCCTCTTCCTCTCAAGCCGGGCATGGTGGTTGGCCCCTTCGAAGCGGGAACATTTGCAAATGCTTTTGCAACAGGTGCATTCTTCGTCCAAGCATACACCTACTTCACGAGATTTCCCGAGGACAAATGGTCATACAAGGCAGTGGTATGTCTACCCCTTGAACACAGTTCAAGTCAGTCTTGCTCGCTTGTACATACCGCATGCTTGAAGGCAATTGCTCTCATGTTAGCTCAAGTGGTCTTTTTATACCTGATGCTTTTTGTTGACCGGAGTCATCACTCTCCAGGGTACTATAGCTTCAAGTTGCTCATTTCTTCAGTGAATGTGCCGTCATGTGGGAAATGACCATCATTGCCATGGAATCGCCGCTGGTGCTTCTGACCATGACAAAGGCAATGGTTATGGTTATCATGTTTACGACTCTTGTGGCATTTTTTGTACCCGTGAGTAGTACTGGCTATACTGTTCATCAGGTAGCTTGTTGCTGAAGGCAGAATCAGCTGTTCTTCCTGTACCGCCTCTGGAAGATATCGAAGAAATCATGGCTGCCAACGATCTGTGTGCTCGGCCTTACATGTCTTCGACAAGTACCAGCGTATATGGCTATAGCAAAAGCTTGGAACACTCCAAACACCATCGAGTACTGGCAACAAGCACATACCCTAATCATTCTTACATTCGTGTCCGCAATATTGAGCGATGTGGTCGTCTGTTCAGCGATTACATACTATCTCTGGACCAAGCGAAGATGCGATAGCTTTGCAACGTACGTAGACGTCACGGTCTGTTCTTCCATAGTACATGATCTAAACACGACCACAGCACATCTCACACCCTTGATCAGCTCATCCTATGGACTCTCGGTACGATTAAGCCTCGATCATGACCTACCGTGTCTTACCTTGCTCATTTATAGAGACGGGCCTGTGCATGTGGTGCTTATTTTTTACATGTTTTCGTTGACTTCATGGTGATGATACTGCGCTCTAGCTTGGCATCAATCCTCACCCTGGCACTTGTAATTGCCACACCTTTCTCTTGTTGCGAGCGATTACAGTTGACAGTACTTGGCAGTTTTTAGCATTTCCCAATGACTGTGAGAAACGTCTCTATTTCTTTTCCTTTTCCTTCTAAGCAGTTACGTCAGATTTATGGATATCCGTATATGCACTTTTCGGCTCCGGTGAGCTCATTCTTTTAGTCTACTTTATCTGGAAGAGAGATGTGTGCTCATACCATTTCATCTCAGTATACGCCAACGCGTTGATGGCAGCGTCAGTCATGCCAGAATTTCCCAGCTTTATTAAGTACTGACACATAGCAGACTAAATGGGCGCTGGATCCTTCAGCGTCGTAGGCCATTTGAGGTTTATAAAACGGGCGCTGGTAATGCTTCTCAGCGTAGCACGGATAAGGCTTGGGAGAATTCAAAGAAGGTGAGCTAGATCATGTCAGAGGTCGGGAGTGACGCCAACGCGACTCTATCAGCTCACCATGATCGACATCCGACGTGAAGTGGGAGCTCCCTCAGAGTCCGCATAGCTTAGGAGTAGGCTTGGATGTTCTCGCCAGACGGCTGCGTCCATCAAATCCAGAGATCGTATTAGTGCAGCGCGTATGAATCCTTCGCTCATGTCAAAACGTTGTATATTGTTATCTTCTTGATTCACCAATGGTGTATATGTTAAATCAAGCCGATATGTTTTCGCTTGTCGACGTACGTCGGATCTAAAGCCGTCATGACTTACTGCCATCCTGATATCCATACACTAATTTCGAGATGCAAATCGTTGACCTTCATAGTTCATAAGCCGGAGCACACAGGAGCCATTTGAACCTTACTTTCGCTCGCGGTGTAGGAGTGAACTACGACGTAGTCTCGTCCACGTGTGGTACACACCTTTGACTCTGCCATCTCGGCCACGACGCATTCTATCCTCGTTCTTGATGAAAGGGTCAATACATGATTTTATGCAGTGTGTGCTTCAAACATCAATCCGTCGTTGGATGTGACGGTGTGAACCGGGCACAACAAAAAGGCAAGTCCTGCGGTTCCTGCCTCGCTAGCTGTATAGTCCAAGCAACATGAGAATGTATCGGCGGGTTCAGAATCATGGCAGCCCGAAGTCGCACTCGCCACCAAGGGCAGCATATTCCTTACCGACCAGTCCTCCGTAACCGTGATGGTCGCAAGCACAATAGTCCTTTTTATTGCGAATTTGCCGTCTGATGGAAGAGTTTGCATTGTCACTGAACAGGGGAATCACGAACGGTATACATGACGGTCAGAATATGATGATTATACGCATGCTTGTGGAGGTGCACCAGTAAAAGTACAGAGATGTGGTCATGTACGCAGCCAGGCGGTCTTTGCCAGCTTCTTCGCACGCTTTTGCTCCTTGTATCGCTCCTACGCAAAGAAAAGAAGTCGGATGAGTTGAGTCCGATCAGAAGGGCAAATGCAGGGTAATTGAAGATAGATCGGGAAACAACCGCGAGCTGCCAAACAGACAAGCTAAAAGAAAAAAAGAGAAACTCACCAAGTCCTTCTTAGACGGCCGCTTCCGCTTCTTCCCGTTCTCTTCCTCCTCTGCCTCCTCCTTCTGCCGCTGCTCAAGATCCTTCTCCCACGCGCCGACGTCAAAGTAGAACTCAGACATGCGCTTCGCGCGCTCGAACTCCGACAGGTGCGTCGGGTCGCGTGCGTCGGCCTTGGCGAACGCGCCTGTGCGTGCGTTGAACTTGGCGACGTAGGCCCCGCTGGCACCTGCGCCTCCGCTGTTGGGCCCTAGGGCGAGAGACGGGTCGAGGTGCGCGAGCGAGGGGTCAATGCCTGCTGCGACGGCGTTGGCTTGGAGGGCGGCGTACTGCGCAACAGGGTTGTATGAGGATGACGAGGAGGGACCGGCGTTGGAACTAGACGGGCCGGCCTCCGAGGGACCCGCGGACGCGTCACCGCTCGTGGAGGGCTGGTTCGAAGCAGGGGTGGAGGAAGAGGAGTCCTCGGGCTGGAGGGGGTTCACCCAGGTTGTCTCCTTGGTGTCTGTGTTGTAGAAGTAGTAAGCGCTGTACTGTGGAGACCAGATGGCCTGCCATGCGCCTGCCGAGGGAGCGGTCGAGGCCTGGGCTGAGGTCGAGCGGGAGGCAGGATTGGAATCCTCTGGAGATTCTTCTTCATCCTCTTCTTCATCCTCTTCGCCGTCCTCGGCGTCTTCAGAAGGCGAGGAAGACTTGTCTTGTGGCTTGTTGGACTTGTCAGCAGCCTCGGCTGGCTGGTCTTTCTTCGACGAGTCCTCTGGTGCTGGCGACTTGACAGGAGAGTTTGCCTCGATGACAGGCGCTGGCGACTGGGATGGTTCTGGGCTGGAAAGGGGTGAGGAGGACATTGTGGTTCGACAGGTATGAGGTCGAGATATGAGCGAGGCCAGATCGGCCGCGGAGCGTGTCAAGGCAAAACAGATAATTTGGTAAATTCCATCCCCGAAAGGGGCAAAATAAACCCTTATCTCGCAAAAATAAAGGAGAAAAGGCGAGTGTATTGCCTCGCAGCCCCTGCGCCAAGGAGGTGCATCCCCTGCTTTATATTTGTCGCAGCCGCCGTACACAGGATGGCGACGCACTACGCCGAACACCAGCATACCCACATTCCAATCACCATGCTCCGTTCCGCTCTCAAACAGCCTTCTCGCCCGTCCTCCCCCGCTACTTCCCCAGGCCACTCCCCCCATCTCCGCCCCGCCTCTCTCAACCTCGCACCATCCACCTCTAACCAGGGAACAACCCGCTCAGCCGTATCCGGAGCTATGCATTCCACATCCTCGTCGCTCTCGCTCTCGCAATCCCCGTCCGGAACCAACCGAGACGGGAATGCGCCGCCCCCCGCAGCTGGCGTCGTGGGGCAGGGCTACACGCCCAAGGTCTCGTTCGACACCTTCGAGAACCCGGCCGCGTCCATGTTCTCGTACACGCTGCACGTCCAGTCGTCGGGCTACTCGCGCAACCGCCAGACGCGCGTCTTTCTGTGCGCATCGAGCCCGGACGAGAGCGGCAGCCAGGCGCTCGACTGGGCGCTCGAGTCGCTCGTCCAGGACGGCGACGAGCTCATCGTGTTCAGAGGGGTCGATCCGGAGGAATTGGGTGCGTGTATGCGACCTGATTTTTGGTTGGGTGGTGTGCTGATGTAATTGAATGGCGCGCAGAGAGGGACCACGAGCTCGTCCGCGAGGACGCACGCGAGCTTATGCGCCAGTGCCAGGAGAAGTGCATCGAGTACGATCCTGATCGCAAGGTGCGTCTCGTCCTCTATTCCCCCAAACTACCCCGTCACTTACTTTCAACCTTCATATATGCGTCTCTGCGAACAGCTCTCCATCATTGTTGAGCTCATCGCCGGCAAAGTCACCACGACCCTCGACCGCCTCATCGCTCTGTACCGCCCAGACTCCGTCGTCGTCGGCACGCGTGGCCAGCGCGGCATGATGTCCGCCTGGGGCGCGGCCTTCGGTGGTTCAAGCATGGGCTCCGTCTCCAAGTACTGCCTCTCGCACTCCCCCGTGCCCATCATCGTCGTCCGACCGGAGAAGAAAGTCAAGAAGGCGGTCGCGAAGCGTCGGGCCAATCCGAAGCGCGGAACGCACTTTGATGAGTGAGTGCCTACATGCGCCTACAGTTTGCGCGTAAACTTGGATGCTGATCATGTGTGTGTCTTGTTTGACAGGGTACCGCGACCGAAGAGACATATAACTGGCATCCCTATAACGCCCGTCGCGACCCAATCTTAAACCGTCCGCGTCCTCATGCCTCTCGCCATTTTCCTGCTCTTCCCTCCTTGCCCCACTGTCTAATATCCCCCGTGCTTCACCGTGCCAGGCGCTCGTGCATCATCATGATTCCTTTTTACCCATCGTTCCTCGCTGTTGATCTGTACTGGTGTAATATCCTCTCATCAACCCTTTCCCCTCCATTGCTCATATCCATCTACATGGTCTCATGGTCGTATTAGATCCATCCGCATTTACTCACCCTTTTAAGTCTTACTCATCATGTGCATATATGTTTAATACTCTGTTCAATAGATCGGAATCCTTGCTCGTTTTTCATTCAACCCCAGTGTTTTGTATCTTGCTTCTACCGATAAGGCTCCATCAGATGGCCATTGACATTTCCGTTGCTTGCGGGCTATTAGTCGCTTTATTAGATATACCCGCATATCACAGCGCCACCGTTCGTATGCAAGCACAGGGTATCTGCAAGGGAAACCCCACGTTACTAATAATACCGTCTCGTGTGGGGGTGGCGTTTGGATCGGGTAAGAACTTGAAGCCAGCTTCAGTGTTCGTCACACATTGTCAGAATTTCTTACTCCAGTGTCAATCAGACTTGCCAACACGCACAGATCTCTACATCGACGAGGTCTATTTCCGGTATATCCATATCGTATTGGCAACGTTTTAATGTTAGTAGCCAGGGACTCTACTAGCTGAGGACATGTGCACCTTCACCTCTCGCCAGGCTCTCACTTGAATAGGCTTGACATTTTCCCCAGTGAACGACAGAGCACGTACTATATACCCCCCGGCCTCGGGCACCATTGTTGGCGTCTTTGGCTTTTCCGCGATGTGGTGGCTGTAATCTCGCCAGTGGATATCCAGCATACTCATTATCTCGGCCCGATTCAAAAATTGCTCCCACCGAGTCTGTATTGCCACGCTTAATCAGCTATTATCGTGGTGGCTCAGGCAAAACCGAAGCTAACCATCATCGTAAATCGGGCTTGGATGAGACAGGACATCGCTTCGGGAAACTTCCCCATTGCGATGGCTGTTTCGAGAAACAATACCGCTCGGTTCCTGACGAAGTCGAGGGTTAGGGCTTGAATCTGCCGGTTCGGGTCCGAGCGTTGCAGGTGGTAGCACCAAAAAGACATGGCATATTGAAGAGGAGGCTTGACCTCGTCTTCACCATCTAGTTAGCATACCTCCCGGATCGCAACCGGACAGATTTTCCAAGATGACTCACCTTTTAGAAGCTTGACCTTGAGTAGTTTTCGTTTCATGAGCTGAAAGCACCAGACGGCCAGACGGCCATGTGAGGTAGGCGGAGAGACGCAGATGTTGCCGGACCTAGAGCTATCCCAGAGGTAGTCCCGGAGAGACGAATGATACACTTGCACGGTCGTCGAATAGTACATGGGAGGTAGAGAGACGATCGCCGAGAGGTGTACGATGTGCTTCGAAACGTCCACGCCAGACAGCGTGCAGATGCCATCCAACGTCAATGGTCGCGCCAGGGTCATGATATCGGACAAGTACTCCACTCCCGACCGCTGATTCTGCTCATCACCCGAGGAAAGCACGTAGGAATAGATCGAGTCGATGTTGCCAAGGTCGAGGTCGATGGGGTCCATGGTCCCCTCATACATCCTCGAGATCAGGTCGAGGCAGTCGCTTGGGCTTTCGGCGTTTTCAATCAGCCTGACAATTGTTGCGGCAACAATGAATCTTCCCTTGATGCGGGTGGAAAGTGAGGTTAGGATGGTAGAAGAAGGCCACGGTCGCTCGTGGAGGAAAGAAAGTTCGTGGATGTCGTAAATGTTATCGAAGGAATGTTTCAAGAAGAGTTCAATGTCATAATTGGGACTAAATTGCTGCATATTCAACACTGTCAGCCGGCCATTGGTCGCTAGAGTTCGTGACAGGGTGACTAATGAAGGAAAGGGGCGGCTTGTCACCAGTATGTGCGAAATTGGGATGTCGAGATCGCGGACGAGCTCGTTCAGAGAGCAGACTAGCGACTCAAGGGAGCCTCGATCGCCTGTCACTACTTCATCGACTGCATCTATTATCACCTTCCTCGGTATTGCCCAAACGTGTTGCAGACTTCTCAAAGGCGCTTTGACTAGATGCTCGAACTGATCCGTCCGAGACTTTAGGTTCGAAAGAAGTTCTGGATCATCGGTGATAGCTTTGACAACAGCTGATCTTGCCCTTAGGTGGAGAAGACCGATTTGATACGCAAGGGTGGGGAATACGAGGTTGGCATCGCTTCGGTCAGCATGCGTCCGCCGGCGCGAGAAGAAGAATGTCGCAGCAAGCTGGTTCTGGGTGCTCAGCTGTCTGGCAATAGTGTGCGCGACGCTCGACTTCCCGGAACCTGACTCCCCGAATAGCCAGATAACCTGACCTGCTTCCTCATTCATCGCCTTGCCCAACTTCGTCAAGAGCTCTTGCCGCGTCCCTGGTAGACATTGCGAGAAAGATCGGCGTTCATTCGAGTCGTACTCTGCTCCAGTGGCTTTCGCGTGAGACAGCCTTTCCCATGCGCCACTCCCTTGACTGTAATGATCTGCAGTCAAGTCTGCAATCAAGGATTGTGAGCAACCTGAGGCAAGTACACATACATGCCTGACGTACATGGTGTTGAGCTTGTTGGCATGGTTGTGGACGACATGATACACTAGGCGCCCATGCTGTACGATAGGGCTCACCAAAAGATGGTGGACGCCGGCGGAAAGTGGAAGCTATGATTGTTACGATCGAGGCATAAGCATACACACTAATTCAGTGCGGCACGGCCGTTCCGTGCACCCAATTGGTAGCCATGTATAGCGAAGTTCGAGACGGTCACAGGATTGAACATTAGGAACGTTGACATTGATGTTGAGCGCTGAATCCGCCGAGGATAAGCACTGCTTCCTGAGAGGGTTGGACGAGCAAAAATCGATTTAAGGACTTTAAAGTGTTCTAAGGGTTGCCTCGGCATACCTATAGGTGTCAAGTGTAGGAGATTGGTCGGAAACGTGGATTAGGGAAACCTTTGTTTATTGTTGTTTTCATGCGCGCTCCGAGGCCGGACCGTCATCGCCCCGCTGCCTAATATTCCCGTGTCTTGTTTTCCCGGCGCTCGTGCTTCATCTTCATCAACAACTCTTCATTTCTTCTTCTCTCCCTAACTTTGACTGCCTAGTGTTATCCCCATCTGCCAATCTTTTCCTCTTTTCCATCGCTCATATCCACCTGTATCGAGTCATGCTAGTTAGATTATTAGATCCAGCTTGCTCAACAAAATCAAACTGTTTTCTCGTCATACTATATCCAAAGCCCGGTTCCATGCGGTATGGCTTCGAAGCGGGATTCATTTGAGACCGGATAGACTTTTCCTAGATAATAGTCGGGAAATGTACGAAGCGGGACAAATGACAGTAGAGAACATTGATTGCTCCTTTCTCTACGCCATATCAGAATCGTCAGACAAGCCTAATCTCCATTTGGCCACTGCAGTTATTATCTGTCGACTTCAACTAGCTAAACGCGTTGATTTCGACTATGTTACAACAGCTGAAAATCTACTCAAACTCCCGGTGTAACATAGAAGCTAATATACAAGATGTAGTAAATATGCGTATCATAGAACTTAAAATCAGCATACCATGCGTAGGAGTCACCATGAACGCAGTTCATATCACAACATCTACCGTACACACCCGGTGCAATGAAGCGAGCCCCGCTCGTCAAGCATGAAATAAACATATACTAGATGATGTATGAAGAAAAGCGCATAATGATAGAGAACGTAAGTTGATTACTCCCTTCTTCAGGGTAAACAAGAACCGCAAGGCCGAGCTCCAGAGCGGACACTGCGGCCATCATGTATCTTCGGCCGACTCCAGATGATCGACCACGCCGTTGAAGTAGTCTGTGAATGGAAGCCTCATGTAGTCGAGGATGTCGAAGGTGCCGGGGTGTTGCTCGTTCTGCGTTGAGACCAAGTGTACAGTAAGAAATGGGTGTTAGTGTTCATGAACTCGAGATGAGAGAACACATATAGCACGTACAGCTCGGGCAAGGTCGAAGGGCTCGTCGAGCGGTTGATTGTTCGACTCGTAGTCGCGGTGTTGCAAAGTTTGCAAGGGTACCCGGCCCGCGGACTGGCTGTGGTCATTGCTGCCGGTAGAGGCAATGCTGAAGTAAGCCGTGCCATCAAGAGCAAATTCTTCGTTCGTGAAAGGCACATTTCCAGAACGTTGGAAGTTTCCGTGTGACGAGAGACACTGGGAGATCATCGAGATATCTTCGATATCTGATGCACCGACATTAACGTCAGTAATAGCTGCGTTGTTTACCAGACCAACACCTGGTTGACCACTCTGCAAGGGATAACAACAAGTTAGCCGTTGTAGCATCAGATCATAAGAGGCGGTAATACTGTATCTGAGGTCTCCTCGCTGCTCATAGGAACGTCGGTGTGCAAAGTGTCACTGCCTTCAACAGGTCTGGTTTTTGTACTCGCAGACTAGGAACACGGACTTAGCAGGATTTAAGACGACGTGACAGGCAAACTGACCCTGAAGTGAGCATAGCAAGGATCCTGCTTGTCAATTCTGTCAATCCTCTCCTCCCGCATTTGCAGAATACTGGCAGCTGCCGGACAGCGGGTGGTAAGTTAGCAGAACAAAACAAGCTCATTGGCGACAGCAGCTTACACTCTCGAAAGTCCCAGTGTTCGCCCCTTTGAACCAACGTGATCCCATGGTATTGCGCCCAGTGACGACGCATCTGCTTTTCATACCAGGTGGACTCGTTGCAGTACTTCGGGCCTTCAATTTGAAGGCAGAAGTACCGGTCCTCGCCCTGACTACAAGGAAAGACAGGGTAAGTAGCGGAGCATGATGAAGCAGCCGAAAGCTCACTCTGGACAGCGGTGATCATCAGCATTCCGCTTGCTTCCAAAAAACCTGGTACAGGGGATACATGCCCAGACGAGCTACGTGCAAGTCAGTCATCATGAATCCAAGAATTGGTTGTTCACGTACCTGTGGGGTGGAGGGCATCGGGATTATGGATGGACTGGGGGTTACAAACAGGATGAGCAAACCAGTCTCGCCTTCCAGAATTTAAAGGCTATGTCCACCGTCCTCCGTCCGCCATCCATGCACGGACAGATGATAGAGACGGGGAAGATGGGTCACGGACAAGGCTTCAGAAGGAGTGGAAGCGGACCGCTTAACACGACGTTGACGTCCAAGGGTTTAATGAAGGCTGCGTACGAGTACTTCGAGTCGGTCCAACTCGTCTGCGCAAGCGGAAGCTCGAGCGGCATGCGAGGGCTGCAATCAGCGTTGTTCCGAATCTCGAGGATCATGTAACTGTCTGTTCCAAATTCCAGGAATCATGTAAGATGTATCCCCTAACAACACACGCAGAAGGTCGTGTATGATCAGCATGTTAATGCAAGTTCCATAAAAACCTCCCGGAGGACAAATTCCAGGGATCAGCTTCAGGCGCGTGCGGATGAGCTTCAACCAAACGAATTAGGCTTGGTTCTGCTGTCGCACCCACAACTCACATGAAAGCAGATGCAGTGAAGTGGAAGACGACCAAAAGGGAGTGACTCACAAGGGATGTAACGCCAGAACGCCAGGACAAAAGGCCGAGGACCGCAATCGGCGAGCTTGTGGACCTGCTCGTTCTTAATCCTGGAGAAACGCACTTTGCGCGAGCTGATGGCGCCCCCGCCTGCCAGTCCATTTTCTCGCGGACGCGTGATCCATGCACGAACAACAGGATCAGACCAGCGATAACTGTCGAACCCATGGACTCGTCCACTTGCGGACTGATAAGCTATGGGGGTCCTATAGAGGACCGCAGGGAAGGCGAGGCGTTCGGATGTCGATCTGAAAGGGAGAAGTCCGCATGATTGTGGACGGTGGGTGCGTGGATAGGTCAGAGATGGAGAATATGAAGAGGTTCGGGGACAGATTATGGAGGCCCGCGCACGGGAGTTCTGAACACAAGCGCTCAAGTGCATCAAGGCTGAGTCACCAACGATTACGTCCGATACAGCGCTTATCGGTACTTACACCCGATGCTAGCGTCAAAATGACCCGAAAGCCTTTGCATGGGTGCGTACGAAGTGGCAAGACATCTTACCTCGACCATCTTACCCGTATTGACTGAATCAGTCTGCGAGAAACAAGTGGGGCGAATGTACTGCACAATAGCAATGACGAAAAGCCCGTTTAGTCCATAGGAAAAGTGTAGTCTAAAAGCAAGAAAACAAGCAAGAAGCCTGCACCCAGCTGCAGCACGAAATTTTCAGCTTTGCCCCGTTCAGACAACAAGACTTACGGTTATTGGACAATCGGGAAGCTTCTCGGACGATAACATGTATATCCGCCATACGTAGATTCGAACCCGCTGTGGAGGTCTGAGAGATAGTCGGATGGCGATAAGAAAGCGCACGAGTTGATGTCATTGTGGCGCCACGGAAGCCAAAACGGGAAGTATCTTCACCCGCTCGGGACGGACGACGCGCTAACATGAAGGCGCGTCCTTTCAACTTTGCTCATTCGGCGCATTCCCTCTAGTCCTGTGTGGCCCGCCCGCCCAGCAACTACTTTATTCAATCTCCCTTTGAAGGTGCAGGCATCTTATTTCTCCTAACACACCTCATCGTCACGGAAGACTTGGTTACGTTTCATGGCCTACCTCTCTACCAACCAACTTGTTCAAGGACCCCCTGCTTCCTCTTCTTCAAACACGACTTCTCATGAGCTTACGAAGAAGCAGAGGAAGAGCAGGGCCTCACAGGCGCGGAAGAACAAGGCAGCGGCTCTGGTCCGGGCTCAGCTTGGGCTCAAGCCCGGCGAGGTGCCCAAGTCGGGCCAGTCCTATTGGTCGCCTAAGCGTCTGAGGAAGAAGCAGAGACGGATAATGGACTCTGTTGAGGAGGCCGAGGTGGAGACAATGCTGGATTCACACGCATAAGAGAAAGAGGATAACATCGCGGAGACCTTTCTACAGGTGAGCTGTATCAGCCTTTTTTCACCGTTGGCGGGGCTTGCTGACAGTTTGTGTCCATCAGACGGTTGTAGGTCATTGCATGGGTAACGACCAGGGAATGGCCTCCACTGTAGGGAAACTGACTGCCGTATAGATTACATCAATAAGGGTATAGTGCATCGGTCGATCCTGAATAGCCCTGAAGACGTCTATGAAAGATAATACGTTCACGGGTACCTGTCGTCGAGGCTTTGTTTTTCTTATCTATGGGGTAAAGGGTAGTCTACTTCGTTCGTTATTGTAGGAGTAGTATATATTAGTAGTATACATGTCCAGCCGGCATGCATCAATAATTACATCTCGCGAAAATCGAAGCTTGTATGTATTTCAGGACTTAAGTTATGCGCCACTCAATGGTGACTCCGACTTGTCTGCGTAAATTCGATAATGTGAAGCCGAGTTAGATAAAAGAACTCGTGAGTCTCTACATATTGTTCACTACATAAGATCGGTACACCTACTACTCTAAATCCAACTTCTCTTTTGTCGAAGTGCTACCGTACACTCATCAACTGAATAGGTTATGGGGGGCATACAAATGTGGTAAATGGCTACTGCTCGTTGTTCCAGGAAAAGTCAAAGTCCTGAGACTGGTCCCCAGAGCGAGTACTACTACCAGGTACTCGCATGAGGTTGAGTAGATATTCGAAGTCTTGGTCCGTGATGCCACCATCTTGGTGCCCAGATCCTAGATAGTCGAGGTCATCAAAGCCGACCTCACCCTGTTGACATTGCGCCAAGCTGAGTTGGCGACCTTGAAACTGGTGATGCAACAAGGTGTGCTCATGACTATCATTTGAGGTGTTTCCGGTAGCTGATGAAACAATTTCGTTGTTTAAAGCACTGTCATTCACTTCGAGAGCCAAGCTGATGCATGGGGCAACACTCGGGTGATTGTGCTGCAGAGGTTGGTGCGAGTAAGTCGTGTTATAAACAGGCAAGTAATTAGAGCATACCGTAGCGGAGGAGCATTCACTCGTCTCAGGCCCAACTGGGTGCATGACGCCTCCATCTTCGACGCTGTCGTCATCTGATTCCTCGCAGTCGGTTTCCGACTCGAAGGTTTGTATTTCCTCAAGCTATAAGCATACTTTTAGTACGGTCAATGGCTGTACGATAGGTACATTTACCGTCAAATAAACCCAGGGAAATTTGGGATCAAAGCACCGAAGCCTCGCCTCCCTCTCCTGCTTGGTGCTCTCGGCTGTCAACGAATCAGTCAGCAAACCGCCCCATTATGATAGACAGAGTCACTCACGTTCTTGATCTTCCCAGTGTACTCTCTTTTTAGCTGGCTGGATCTCATGGACTTTTCCACAATGGCGACGGATCACCCTTTCCTGCCAGCAAGAGTAACTGCAGCCACCTTGAATACAGAAGAACCGATTTTCGGGATTACTGCAAGACAAGATAGAATAAGTAGGGGGACACCATGAGTGAACCAAAAGCTTGCTTTGTACAACTGTGTTCCGTAGCATTGCGCTTGGTCTTATATGTCTTGTCACACTGGATACAAAACCAGCGTAGCTATGTGGAGATCAATAACCATAAACCTAAGGGTCACTGTCAACGTGCCTGTTCATTGAGTGAAGCCATACGCGTTGAAGGCATCGAACTGAGTGCACCGAGCTGGATGATGCTCAGGAAGATGGGTTCTGGAACTCGATGAGGAATCGTGAGGCTGCTTAAATGCATGTCTGCCTCCCGCTATCTAGAAAACTCACAGAACCATTGCGGACGATATCAGACGAGGACTTAGCTGACAGAGGTGCGGACTGAGTGGAGTCGCGGACAAGTCCTCCATATGTTGCGAAGCGTGCCGAACGAATCGGTCCAGGTGCGCACCAATGCCATGGAAAACGCGGACAAGCTATAGGAAAAGCTTAAGCCGTCTCTCGTATGAATGATGATAGCCTCACTCAAACCAGCGCAAGTCATTGTTTACGCTGGTGCGAACGCGACATATGATAAATGGGAGTAGGAGCTGGCGCACCCGCCGGGGAACGAGATGCAATAAAATCAAGGACTAGAATGACTTACGAAGTAGGCCACTGCAGGCACAAATCCATCACCTATTGACACCAACAAAGACGGCTGTTGGTCACCCGCGTACGATGCCCATAGTGAGCTCGTTCTCGCCGACTGCGCCACGATTCGCAACGTCGGCCCAATTCCAGTTGAGCCCGCAACGATTTTCGAGCGAGATCGCGGACACAGCCAATGCCAATCCCGGTGGGGCGCTTCTCAGGCGCAGTCCATTGACTGTTGGACCTGCGATCCATACATCGACCACGGGTTGGGGCGGGTGATAATGCGGCATCGACAGCTTAATTGACAGGTGGACCGATGAGACTTGGAGCCAGGACGGTATATTCGAAATAGGCGGAGCGTTTGGACGTTGACCAAAAGGTGAGGATTCCGCATGGGTGCGGACGGCGGACAAGGTAGATGAATGTGAGAAGGGGGATGAGATGATGACATGGCCAACGGGAACGAAGAACATTCAGGCAACTGGCGCTGCTGGTCCGTGGACGTGGGAACCCAACGGCAAGCCCCAGAGCGTTTAGGCGCTAAAGCTTGGTGCTAATTCGGTTGCTGAATGTGTCAGGCGATATGTCCGCGTCAGCGCTTAACGTTTTAACCCGCAATACTGATGTCAACTTGGACTCTGGATGCGCCAGCTTGGGGAACCATGAAGCAGTAAGACCTTCTATCTAGGTCTCCCAAGTCGCAAGGATTCGATACAACCGGCGGTCATAAACTGAGCGTTGAGGTACGCAAGCCCATCGGCCAAGGCTCAAGAAGGCCTTAGCACTTCAAAGTCAAGGAACATTGAAAGGTGACACAGCAACAGAACAAACATGTCAAGCGCACGCACATGTACATTTAATCCAACCGCGCAGATCTTGAAGAGTTCTTCGATTGGCAACCTGATATAATATATCGTAAGCTGAAACGGTCGATTCAAGCATATCGAGGCATTGCTATGGCAGTTCATGCGCCAAAACTTCATACAATATGTCGTCGTGTCTTCTGAACTATAAACAAGAATTAACGCGGTTCAAAACCCGAGAAGTTAGGAGCATGATGCGGCGCAAGAGATGAGTCGACGGCTACCATAGATAGTACCAGGCAGGCTACAAAGAAAAACACCTTGAGCTGCGTGGCTGTGATAGTGACAGTCATGGTCATGGTCGCCTTTGTCGCATCAATAGCAACGGTCAAGCACATTCCGATTTGTGGATTAGGTCGCGAGATATGTATCGGGAACATCTTGAACATAGACTTAAACCGAGGAAAGTAAAAAAATAAGCTGGAAATGGCGCGACTACTCACTATAGCTCTCCCTGAAGTTACGTTACGAAGGGAGACTCAGCTAGTTCAAAAAACATATAGGAGAAATTGGAGTTTATAGAGGAGAACCAGGAGATTGTTGCCCCTCCAGAAGGGCGAATCCCAGTTCTACGGCGCTTGCTCGACGCTCGTGTTGCCTAGACGTCCAAATTTGTGGCATAAGGCTTGTGGAAACTAGGTCGTCAAAGGTCAGTTGAAGCTAAGCGAGAGCAGTCGACAAGATGAATCGATGAACCGTCGAAGGGATCCCAGCGTAAACAAGTCACGAGGTGAAACATAGCTACTGCCAATTAGCGCGACTTGCAAGTGTAGCGCTGAATAGGTGCAGCAACCCGGGATGACATCCTCAGTCGCGATCAACAACTTGCAAAGTTTGAAATCCACGACGACGGTTCGCGGAGCTTATGATTGAACTCCGCTGTCGGCTACGCGTCGGAGCCGGAGAGGTGTGTAGACATTTTGAAACGCAGCGAATGTCCGATCCGGCCCGATGACACATGGTACTGGTAGCGTAGAGCATCAGCGAACATTTCCTGGGCTTCACCTAAGTATTCTATCCCTCAGCTCTTTTCTAAACCAGCACTTGTCCTTTTCTTTAAGGCAGAAGTGGTGAAGGGATCTAGTTTAAGCATAATATCGGTGCTACATCGCGTGTAAAGGGTATCAGCGCCAGCGTGGCTCGTCTTACATACGGTTTAGCAACTTCGACAACATATAACATACTGACAGAAAATTTGAAACCCTCAGAAACTTCTGAAATACGGCCAACTGGAGACTTCCGGTAACATGGTCAAGTCAGCGGTGGGCATGATTCCTGCGGAAGGAGGCTGAGAGTGAGCCGCTGTTTGACCCCCCGTCTCCAGCTCTACCACTGCTGAGACGTGCTTGGTGCCGGTAGAGCCCGATCTAGCACGTGTGGGACCCTTCGAGGATCCGCCTGGTGCTCTTGATCTTTCTGCGAGGTAGTGGTTATAAGCTCTCCAATGCACTTCCAACCCAGCCAATATCTCGTCCTGGTTTAAGAAGGGCTTCCATCTCTGTGTTATGGTCGCGTTTCTCAGTCCCTAAGGTCGCGCTCGAAGCAGCAAAACACACTTACGCTGATAACAAACCAAGCATGGATGAGACAATACATCGCTTCGGCAAATTGTCCCAAAGCGGCAGCTGTCTCCAGGAATAGGACCGCTCGATTCTTCACAAAGTCGTGAGTAAGAGCTCGGACTCTCCGGCTCGGTTCTGAGCGTTGTAGATGGTAGCACCAATACGACATAGCATATCGAAGAGGGGTTTTGATCTGCTTTGCGTCTTCAACTGTGATTCATGTGAGCAAAAGAGAAGAATATGGGATTCGAGCAAAGTACCTGCTTGGACCTTGGTCTCGTCGCCTTTTAGCTTCCGCTTTATGAGCTGGAAGCACCAGCCAGCCAGACGGTCGTGCGAGCTAAGCGGAGAGACGTGGAAGTCGCCAGACCTAGATTTATCCCATAGATAGTCCTGAAGAGACGAATGATACACCTGCACGGTCATCAGGGAGTACATGGGAGGCAGAACGACGATAGCCGAGAGGTGTACGATGTGTTTCGAAATGTCCACGCCAGACAGTGCGCAGATGTCCGGAAGTGTCAATGGTTTTGCCAACACCATGATGTCGGATAAATGCTCTACTCCTGATCGCTGGTTGTGTTCTTCGCAAGAGGAAAGCACATAGCGATAGATAGAGTCAATATCACCGAGGTCAAGGTCAACAGTATCGACATTCCCATCATACATCTTCGAGATCAAGTCAAGGCAGTCGCCCGGGCTTTCGGACTTGCTGATCAGCCTGACGACTGTTGCAGCAACAATAAATCTTCCCTTGATGCGACAGGATAAGGAGCTAATGACTCTCGAAGAAGGCCATGGTTTCTCGTGGAGGAAGGAAATGTCGCGCATGTCGTAAATTTCGTCAAAAGAGTGTCGCAGGAAGAGTTCCACGTCGTGATGGGAGTCGAAATGCTGTATGTTGAGTGATTGGACTGAGCCCTCGGCAGTCAACCTCCGTAACAAAGTGTCAAGCAAAGGGGAAGGCCGACTCGTCACGAGAACATGAGAGATTGGTATGCTAGGGTCGTGAATGAGGTCGTTCATGGCGAGAATGAGCGGTTCGAGGGAGGCCCTGTCGCTCGTTACTCCTTCGTCGATGGCATCTAATACGATTTTTCTGGGTGTTTCCCAGACCAGCCGCAGGCTCTTCAACGGCGCCTTAACCAGATGCTCGAACTGGTCTGATCGGCACTTCGCGCTAGATAGGAGCTCCGGATCATTGTTAATGGCTTTGGCAATGATATCTTTCGCCCTGGGATGAAGAAGACCGATCTGGTACGCAAGGGTGAGGAACACAAGACTGGTATCGCTCCGATCGGCATGTGTCCGTGAGAAGAAGAACGTTGCGGCAAGCTTGTCCTGCGCGCTTAGCTGCTTAGCCAGTGTGTACGCAACACTCGACTTCCCCGAACCTGACTCTCCAAAGAGCCAGACGATCCGGTTGTCTTCTTCCGTCACCATATCATGCAACCTGCCTAAGAGCTCTTGCCGCGTCCCCGGTAGACACTGAGAGAATGGTCGGCGTTCATTGGAGTTGTACTCTGCTCCTCTAGCTTTCGCCCGAGACAGCTGCTCCCATGTGTCGTTACCATGACTGCTAGGAACTGCGTTTGACACAATAATGATCAGAATGACGAGCGCATTTGCCATGCAGACACACCTGAGGTCGTCGACATGATGGACGAGAAGAAGCTACACTAGCCGCCCATGCTGTATACAAGCTGTATGGCTGTGACAGCACAAATCACACAGCCACCACCACTGCAACTACACCGCAGAACTCGACAAATGACACAAACATGTATCGTACAAATTTGCAGTGTTATATGCGACGCTATCGCAGTGATGCGAGTAGCACAGCTATTTTTGGAAGTGGAAGAGGATGGGAGAGGATGGTATCAAGGAGGCCGAAGCCAGCCGCTTACGGGAAGTGCTACTACAAGTTCCGCCAACGATAATCTGCCTTTTCGAAGTGTTTCAGAAACGTAACGCCCAAGCACCGAGAGTTCAACTCCGCGTTCAACGTTCAGCATCTATGATGATGCAAGGTAAGAGCTGTGTTCATATCGATTTGAGAAAAGCCATTCTAGGCTGGTATGGTCGTGATTGACTGCTGGTAGTACCACTCTAGGATATGAAGTATGGGCAGTGCTCACTGCTCGCATCACGATACCCCAAATACTACCCTGATCGCGATAGCAAGAAGGTCACTTGCATTAGCACATGGTGATGCGAATGGGATTCACGACTCTACCAGGGTGTTGACAATAGGCATAAGCGTGCCAAACACTCCCTTCCGAGTCAGCAAACTTGTCTCTTCCCTTGCATGCTTACTACTCGGGACCCATGCCTAGTAAGAACGACACTATAGCGCGTCAGATAGCACTGATTCATCGCTTCATAATAAAACTCCGCAGCGTAAATAACAATTAGCTTTGTAGTGAAGTGCCCGTTATGAACTTCGCGAGGCGGTCTCCATTCCTCAACACTCGAAGCTATCGCACTTGATATGGGCGCGTTTGCACGCTCCAAGACGTTGAAAGAGGTGGAGGACCGCTGCTGCTTTGCTGGGACCACATCGCCGGCTTCCAGTGCATGGGAACCGACGGAGGTCCCCTAGTGTACAGCGGTGACCACGGACCCGGATTCGGGCGCATAGGAACCGATGGAGGTCCCCCAGTGTGCTCCTCGTGTAATATTCCCGGCGTTGTCAACTTTCGAGCGAGGTAGGGGTTGTGGTTTCGCCAGTGAAGCTCTAGCAGAGTCAAAATCTCGTCTTGGTATGGAAAGGGCTTCCATCTCTGTGTTGTCGTTGCGTTTGGCTGGGTGTCAAAATTGCAATACGGGATGATAAAAGGGGCGTACCATGATTATAAACTTGGCGTGAATGAGACCGTACATTGCTTCGCCAAATTGGCGCATAGAGGTGGCTTTCTCTAGAAACATTGTCGCTCGATTCCTGGTGAAGTCAAGGACTAGAGCTTGAATTTGCCGACTTGGTTCCGAGCGTTGTAGGTGATAACCCCAGTACGACACAGCGTATCGAAGAGACTTGGCCTCTTTTCTATCTTCTGTGAGATTTGTGTCATCAAGACTCTTCAAGGGAAAAGGTCGATTTGGCAGCTCACCTGCTTGAGGTCCGTCTTTTCTCAACTTCTGTTTCATAATCCGAAGGCACCGACTGGCCAGACGGGTGTGTGAACTAGATGAAGAAACATAGAGGTCTCCGGACCTCGAAGCATCCCACAAGTAGTCTCTGATGGATACATGATACACTTGCACAATCCTCGACGAGCGCATGGGATCCGGAGGAAGATCAATGATAGCCGAAAGATGTAGAATGTTCTTCGAAATGTCCATACCAAACAACGCGCAGATGTCGAATAGTGTCAACGGTCTTGCCAGGGCCACGATGTCCGACAAATGCTCAACTCCCGATCGATGATAACGGTCTTCGCAAGAGGAGAGCACGTAGCGGTAGATTGAATCGATGTCACCGAGGTCAAGGTCAATGGTGTCCACGGTTCCATCGTACATCTTGGAGATCAGGTCGAGACAGTCGCTTGGGCTTTCGGCTTTTTCGACGAGCCTGACGAGTGTTGCAGCAACAATGAATCTACCCTTGATGCGGGCGGACATCGCCCTTATAACAGCAGAAGATGGCCACGGTCCTTCGTAGAGGAACTCAATGCCATGAGTTACGTAGAGCTCGTCAAAGGAATGCCGCAGGAAGAGCTCGACGTCGTGATTGGAACTGAAACGCCACATATCGAGTGTTGTAAGTTGGCATTTGATCGCTAGACTTTGTGAAGCGTTGACTAGCAAAGGATCAGGGCGGCTTGTCACCAGAATATGAGAAATAGGTATGTCACGATCATGAACGAGTTCCTTCATGGCGAATATCAGGCACTCGTTGGCGTCTCTATCGCTTGTCACCCCTTCATCAACGGCGTCCAGTATCATCACCCTAGGCTGTGTCTTCCAAACATTTTTCAGACTTTGCAAAGGTGCCTTGACCAGAAGCTCAAACTGATCTCGCCAAGACTTTGTAGGGGAGAGAAGTTCTGGATCATCGGCGATGGCCTTGGTGATGATTGACCTTGCCCTGGGATGGAGGAGGCCGATCTGATATGCGAGGGTGAGGAACACGAGTTTTGTGTCGCCCCGGCCAACATGCGTTCGGGAGAAGAAGAACGTCGCGGCAAGCTGGTCCCGGGCGCCGAAGTTTTCGGCCATCGTGTACGCGACGCTCGACTTCCCCGATCCTGACTCCCCAAAGAGCCAGACGACCTGCTGTGCTTCCCCTGTCATCACATCCCATAGCTCGTCAAAAAGCTCCTTCCGTGTTCCCGGTAGACATCGCGAGAAGTGTCGGCGCTCATTCGAGTTATACTCTGCTCCTCTGGCCTTCGTCTGAGCTAACTTTTCCCACGTCCTACATTGTCCTTGATCATAGAAGGGATCTACCATCAAGGAGGCCATGAGCAGCTTGAGTGGAGCAGTCATGCATGCGAGACGCACCTGGTATCGTTGACATGGTGAACGAGAACAAGATGCACTGGCAGCCATGCTGTGTGTTGGCCCCTAGAGGACGCACGATCGTGGAAATTCAGAACCAGACTTGATCATACTGGAAGAGAGACATAGACACAGACTCAACACGGGTACCAGTCACATCCCGGTCTTGCTGTGTACCCAATCTTAGTATGAGGCTATGGGCCAAGTACAGTGGTGCACAGCCTTCAGGCCCAGGTCTCAGGATTACATAGCGGGGCAGAAGAGGTATTTTGAGAGGATACGTACGAGACACTGCCTCCGCTATGCTCCGGTCCCGAGGTAAGCTGAAGCGCTGAAGCTTAAAGGTCGATAACGCAACGCTTGATCTAGTCTCCTTGTAGACCTCGACACGTGCTTACCTATAAGGGCGGCATCACTGGCACGTCGGACAACGGGAGGACTCGCCAGGTAGCGCTTAGTAGTATGGTTCATGATCGATCGGCGCCGAGACCTATGAAAGTAATCTTTTCTGTGCAAAATACAATGTCACCACGGTCTTGCGAACAAGCCCGTGGAGTAATCAGGCCGACACAGAAACATCGGCGCGAACTCATCGCGTTGAGGCTCTTCACACAAAAACGACGATTGAATTAAGGCGACCAATCTTGTCACCCGTAGTCTCGACTTCTTGATACAGTTCTTTAGAGGACCCCCAGACTCTTGGGTTATCAGCGTTCCCAGACCGAAATCATTCAAGGGGAACAGGTTGCGTTTTTTCATTAACTACGACCGACACAGTGGTGTCCATCAGCGATTCTCTCGAACGACGTCAGACCGAGAGAACTTGAAGGTTGAGGGGGGTTCAAGGATATTAGAAAGGATGGAAGGTATGAAAGAAACGGTGCGCGTACGAGTCAAGCATTCCGAACGAGGCAGATATAGGTTGGCAGGTCAGCTCGAGAAGTGCTGTTTTTTCCGTGAGCACGCCGTACAACCCGTGTCCTCATCGAACGTTGCAACTGGTAGCCGCGCAATAGCAGTGATACGTGCTTAGAAATTGCGAAGGAAGAGGAGAATGGGAGGAATGGGCTCACTGTTATATAGTGCAGCAACCATAGCCAATCAAGCAGCATTAAACGCGTTGCCGTCGAAATTGAGGCACATGGCGTCGACGTAGGCCGAGGCTGGGGACTGGCAGAGAACACTGGTCAAACGTCAAGGACACCGTAGAGAAAGCTATCTGAGCTCACCAAGAAACCATTTGTGCGGATTGTCCAGCTCAGGCTCCGCAACTTCTGCCTTGACCCCACACACGATTTTCGTGTCGCCCATGCGCACTAGCACCGATCCATGCGTGGTCGATATCGATCCTACATACAATTCACCATCGCGTCAGCTTGCAATGGGTCGGCAAGTGCGCTGTACGAGCCGACGTTAACAGAACCCTACCTCTCATCAATCGTCCAACCCACGTCAGTCAGGCCGAACGTCTTCCGGGATGTATCGCTTGAGGTACGGACGCGGGTGCAGACGCTGGGAGATTTGTGCCTTGATTGCCTCGCTTTGCTGGTCTTTTAGAGGTTCTGGTGCTTGTGCAGTGGTAGCCATGTTGCGGTGGATGGTGTCTGGCCGTGATGAGGAGAAAAGGGGACACAAGAGTCGTAGATCTAGTTTGGTCCTGTTAGCCAACTGTTAGCCGGAGCCGCTCACACGACAGCTCGGTTGCTTCAATATCACTAGCCAAACTTGTAGTGAGCTTGTCACCTTCAAATTCACACTTTCACGCACCATCATGATCGTTCAACAACTTCGATTCGTTTTTATTTATTGATATTCCAATCATTCTGGGATGATAGGTATCGCGATATGTCACGATGATGGTAATACTACAAACTGCGTTATATATACATGAAAACCAGCTTCCTGCAGTGGCATCGGTGTCAAAGACGCGGGCAGAAACTTTCAAGATGAAGGGTAACATTGACATGATCCACAGCCGGTATCAAGCTGGTCTGAAGTAACCAGAGTCCTAGGAACGAAAACGGTCGCCGGTAGCGACTCTATTTTAGAATAACAACGAACTTGGAAAGCTTCTTATCTTCTCTTTGTCGTGTCTCTGTTTGCACCTACTAGCAGGGTGTGTCCATGGACGGCACTCACGCGCACATTGACATGAACGAACCGTTTTCATTGTTGCCCATGAAAAGTTGGGATGAGTATCTAAACACAAAGAAATTTAAACATTACCACAGGTAAGTCCTCCATTGCAAGCAAATATTGAATGATAAATGTAATACCAACGAATTATAACCTCAGCCTGTTCTATGCATCGGCTTCCAGCTTCTTGGCAACAACGCCGACACAACAGTCGACGTGGTGCCCGACCTGGGCCCCGCTGAAAAAGGATGTTGCCATGAGCGAGCTCGTGATTGCTCTGGCCTTGCTTGCAGCTCCGCCATGGATTGGTCCCCCGGAAGACCTGCAGAGCCATAATTGACCCGTGTGAGTCCCTTGACCAGCGGCCGTCCTGGTGCTCTCTGCCCTTTCAAAATGTAGTGGTTGTAGTCTCGCCAGTACGAGTCCAGCACGGACATTATCTCGCGCTGGTCCGAGAAAGGCTTCCATCTCTGCATTAAGGTCGTTTTGCTCAGTAAATGGGCTCGTTCGACGTCGAGGTGACAAACGGATCGTACCATAACAGTAAATCTAGCTTGAACGAGCCATGTCATCGCTTTGCTGAACTGTCTCATCGCGGCAGCTGTTTCCAGGTAGAGGATTGCTCGATTCCTTACGAAGTCAAGGACCAGAGCTTGAAGCTGCCGGCTTGGTTCCGAGAGCTTTAGGTGGTAGGACCAATATAAAACAGCGTATAGAAGAGGAGACTTGACACCCTCTTCGTCCGTTACTACATTTCATGTCATCATCAATCACTCGAGCTGATAGATATACAATCGAGGCCCACCTGCTTGGGTGTCGCGTCTTGGCAGTTTGCGCTGCATAAAGCGAACGAGCCAGGGATATATTTTCAGCTTCCGCTTCAAAAACTGAAGGCACCAGGAGGCCAGACGCCCATGCGAGCTAGTTGGAAGACATGGAACTCGCCGGACCTCGGCGCATCCCACAGGTAATCTCTGATAGACGCATGATACACCTACACAGTCACGGAAGAGCGCATGGCGTTGGGAGGAATGTCTACAAGGGCCGAGAGGTGTAGGATGTGCTTCAGAACGTCCGTGCCAGACAATGCACATATATCAGATAGCGTCAACGGTTTCGCCAGGGCGACGATGATCGACAAGTACTCTGCTCCAGATCGCCGATAACGGTCCTCGAGCGAGGTGAGCACGTATCGATAGATAGAGTCAATGTCACCGAGGTCGAGGTCGATAGTATCGACGGCTCCATCACATCTTCGCGATGAGGTCAAGGCACTCGCTTGGGCTTTCGGCGGTTTCGACTAGCCGTACGATTGTGGCGGAAACGATGAATCTCCCCTTGATGCGGGCGGAAAGTGAGCTAATGACAGTAGAAGACGGCCATAGTCTTGAGTGGAGAAAGGTGAGATCGCGGATGTCGTAGATCTTGTCAAAGAAATGTTTGAGGAAGATGTCTATGTCACGCTCGTAGCTAAAACGCTGTATGTCGAATGTTGTAAGGAGACCCTGGGACGCCAAGCTTTGTGACAAGGTATTGAACGGTAGGGAGGGGCGGCTGGTGACCAGGACATGAGAAAGTGGAATACTTGAGTCGCGGACAAGTTCGTTCATGGCGAGAATGAGCGCTTCGAGAGAGGTCTCGTCTCCCGTCACCCCTTCGTCGACGGCGACGAAGATCATTTTCCTTGGTGTTTCCCAAACGAGCCGCAGACTTCTCAGAGGCGCCTTCACGAGATGCTCGAGCTGATCTGCCCGAGACTTCGTACTGGAAAGAAGCTCCGGATCATCGTTGATGGCTTTCACAATGGCCCACTTGGCCCTAGGATGGAGGAGACCAATCTGGTACGCGAGAGTGGGGAACACAAGACTGTTATCGCCCCGGCCGGCATATGTCCGAGAGAAGAAGAATGTCGCGGCCAGCTGATCCTGCGAGCTCAACTGCCTGGCCATTGAATGCGCGACGCTCGACTTGCCCGACCCCGATTCCCCGACGAGGCAGACGATCTGCTTGGTGTCCTCCGTCATCGCACCATACAGCGCAGTCAGCAGCTCCTGCCGTGTCCCTGGCAGACACTGAGAAAAGCGCCGACGCTCGTTCGAGTCGTATTCCGCTCCCCTGGCTTTTGCCTGAGCTAGCTTCTCCCATGCGACCAACGAGCTCCCATGTCCTTGACCGTAGGGATCTGTGGTCCAGAAGCAAGTAAGCAGCGTTGTGAGATCAGATTATACCTATACGTGCCAAACGCACCCTGTGCTGCTGACATGGTGTGCAGCGAACGTTACTATGCGCCCCATGCTGTATGCCGGAGACATTGGATCCTTGCTACGCAAAAGGCACACAGCGTGACATCATTGCGGCCTTAAGTTAGCCTTGTCATGGCGTGCATGGTTATTTATGGGCGTGGGCGACGACCTAATACGGAGCAGGTTCCTGCCCACCACTCTTCAAACCTCAAGGCCTCGCGCTCAAGCCTTAGGACTGGCGGCGCAGAAGAAGCATCTTGAGAGGTCCGGGATACGTACAAAACGCTGCCTCCGCTACGCTCCTAGCGGTCCCGAGGTAAGCGGAAGCGCCTGAAGCTTAAAGGTTGATAACGCTATGCTGAACCTAGACTCCTTGTAGACCTCGACACGTGCTTGCCGATGAGGGCGACGTCACTGACATGGCAGACAACGGAAGGATTCGTCAGTACGGCTCATAACCGACCAGCAGAAAACGGGAACATATATATGAAGCCAAGATTTCTGAAAATGTTCCTTTCTGTGCAAAAAGTGGGATGCCATCGCGGTTTTGCAAACGAGCTCGTAGAGCAATCGGGCCAACAGAAAAGCATAGGTGTGAACTCATCGCAAGGATGCTCGTCGCGCATAAACGATGATTAGATTAGGGCGACTAGATTTGACACCCGTAGCTTCGACTTCTCGATACAATTTTTCAAAAGATCCCCAGACTTTTGGGTTGTCATAGTTCCTAAGCCGAGCTCGTTCACGGCGAGTAGATCGCCTTTTTCATTGACCACCACCGATACAGTAGTGTCCATCAATGGCTCCTCGAACGACGTCGGATCTGAGAGGACTTGAAGCCTAAGGAGGTTCAAGGGCGTTAATAAGGACGGAGGGTATCGGACAGTGAACGTACGAGTCAAGCATCCCGAACGAGGTAGATATAGGTTTGCACGTCAACTCCAGTGGGACCGTTTCTTTCCGCAAGCACGTCGTGTGACCCGTGTCTTCATCGAACGTTGCTACCGGTAACCGCGCTTTAGAATCGTATGCCCTCAGCAATCGAGACGGAAGAGACATAGGAGAGCAAAAGGCTCACTGTTATACAGCGCAGCAACCATGGCTAATAAAGCGGCATCGAACGCATTTCCATCGAAGTTGAGGCATATCGCGTCGATGTATATCGTCCAGACGGCTTTGCCGGGGTGAATGGCGAGTGATTCGAGGGGTAGGATGCCGGAGCTACGACGTAGAAGAACCGTAAGAATCGAAACACCAGTAGCATAGGTTGGTGAAGCCACTGACTCACGCAACCAAAGCCTCATTCAGTCTTTCCGACAGTATCTGCGCCTCCTCCGCCGGAGGACCGGGCTTGAACTTGGGCGAACACAGCGCCGGGAGGTCGAGGTTGGGTACTGGCGGAGGACATGCTTAGAACGCTGAAGGTGACGCAGAAAAGCTGATTCCAGTTACCAAGAAACCCCTCGTGCGGCTTGTCCAGCTCGGGCTCCGCAATCTCTGCCTTGACCCCACACACGATCCTCGTGTCGCCCATGCGCACCAGCGCCGATCCATGTGCGGTTGATATTGACCCTAGAGTGCAGCAAATGAGCTATCACATGAACCTACCATGCAGAGGAGCGAAAGGCTGTAGTACACACCGACGTTAACAGATACCTCCCGCCAATCCTCGAACCCGCGTCCGTCAGGCCGAACGTCTTCCGAGATATATCGCTCGAGGTACGAGCGCGGATGCAGGCGCTGGAAAATTTGAGCCTTGATCGCCTCACTCTGCGGGTCTTTTGGAGGTTCTGGTGCTTGTGCAGTGGTAGCCATGTTGCGATGGATGGTGTCTGGCCGTCGACGCGTAGCGCGACGAGGAGAAAAGGGGATGCAAGAGCTGTAAAGTTTGGTCTTGTTGGGCGCCCGCGCGACGATAAGCTCGGTTACTTCCAATTTTACTAGTCGATTTTGTAGTGAACTATTCACACTTCATAATCGTTCAACAACTTCCATTCGTTGTTATTCATTGATACAAGACACGCCATCGCGCGGGGCGCTCCGGCATCCAAGTAGATGTTTTACGAATAGGGGCATTGATAGCGTATAGAAGGTAGAACGTCTAGAAATGATGTTTCCGACGAGCAGATACGGCGCGATGTAAGCAGAATTTATGTAAGCCAGTTAAGCGAAACTCATGTCGAAAGGCCTTAAGGAAGTCTTAGCGCGGAATATCTGCTCTCCGCCACAACCGGCAGAACAAATATATGGCTTCCTGTGACTGAATGTTCGAATTCCGAGTTGACAGCAGGATGCAAAGTGTTATGCACATACGTTATACTCAAAACACCGGCTGCATCGTGGCCGGTGCACAATTTAACATATATATATATCTTTGACACACGCAACGACTTGCTTTCTACATAGCAAACTGAACCGGGAACACCGACCCCATGCGGACTTATAATACCCTTACTCTGTCCGTGTATGCTCTATCAAATGCAAGGCAGGTATCGAGTTACTGTTATTGACTGACTCTGTGGCGACAGAGTTTAAGCTTTAAGCTCGAAAGGGTTTACAAAGAGTGATACATTATTCATCAAATGGCTTTATCATACATGTATGTTTCACTTCCTCGCTTAAACTACGACACACAACAACTTGCTACTTCTTACTCTTCTTCTGTCTCTTGGCTCTCCCACCGGGGCTCGGCGACTGACGATCACCCAAGTCGTCTGCAACCTTCCCACCTCGCATGATCGCAACCATGGCCTCCATTTGACTGGCGTCAAGCTGAGAAAGTATCTCCTCTTTGGTCGAGTTTGTGCCGACTGCCGAAACACTTTCACATAATGCAGGAGTCTCGGGGTGATAAGCCTCAGGCGGCAACTTCGATTCACGCGACATGCCCTCCCCAGAGCCCGAAGAGCTTGCAGTTACGTGAGATGGAGCGGTGGAAATGGATGCGCTGCCAACAGATTAGGATAGACGCAGGCATTTCGCCAATGATATACACACCGTGATTCATGGTGATTATTGTCGACCACGGTCTCGTCCTCGTTACCCGATCTAATATTAACAAATATAACCAAAAATTAGGAAGTGCATTCTCTGTTGCAAATCCAAGTACTCACCCGCTAAATGCCTTGCGCTTTTCCGATGCTCGCGCTGAAAAGCGATCTTTACGACTACCTGTGCTCGTGGTCGGTGCGCGATTGGAGGTAGAACTGCCTACAGACACTGTCGGTGACACGTTGAGAGAAAGCGACAGCATCTCGAAACGAAGAATGCTGCTCAGTGTGTTTAGGCCACAGCTGACGGCCAAAACACCGACACTCATGTTAGAAGCCGGCATAGGCGTGTTCGCCCGCTGATTAACGGAGCTATCAAACATGATCCTGAAAATGCTTCAGCACGAGCGTTTTAATGGGTGACAGTACTTACTCCGCCGTGCTGTGTTGTACCGTGTTCTGCACATACTCTGAGACAGCGAGATCAAAACGCCGTGTGGGTGGGGCAGGGCCATCCACCGCTGATGCCGGACTGACGCGCCCGACCGCAAACAATAACGGCATGTCGAACTCGGGGACGTTATCATAGTACGAGTCCTGCGACGGATCTCCGGGAAAAGGGAAAAACTGTTGGGCTGGGCGTCCAAGAAGATAGGGCCATTGCGATCGAAATACGCCGTAGCGACGACGAACGCGAGTGTGTCATCTCGAGCAACCTGTCCTCCGACTGGGCTATACACACGGAGCTGTGCGGGGGATGACGTCGTGATCTCGGAGCGGAACGCAGTGTCGTAAAAGCAGTAGAAAGTCTGCGAGTTGCCCGTCTGCTGTGAGCGACGAACACCGTTGATCAAGCTGAACATTCCAACAACGAATGCGTTAGACATGATGGCTAGTAGCCGGAGGGAAAGGCTGCTATTTTGCGGCAGAACCTCTGCAGCTTTTAACATCCTCCGACTGAATAATTTCCGTGCTGACACAGCGAGAGCGCTGAATCTTGACACTCCAACAAAGGAGGGGTCTCAACCGCGACTCCCCATTGGGTCCCGAATAATTGCATTCAATAAAAAGCGCATCTGCGCCAACGATGCATCCGATGTCAACGACTCAGGGGTCACGAGACCACCTTCCGGGGCCACGGGACCACCGGTTCACTGGTTCCCGACGACCGAATGTCCTCGCGGCCACCGAAGCATTCAATCGTCTACAAAAGCATTCAACTCATACGCACGCGGGAACAGGCAAACACACAGGAGGCAGGCATCCAAACAGCTGCAAACAAAAGCCGACCATCTGGTTGTAGATACGATTAATCCTATAATCTAGGATGATAGCGATGTGATGATGTTAGTACTACAAAATGCGTACTCGTCTGCTGGGTCGTCAAAAGGGGTGATAATGTAAGTAAATCCGGGAGGCGTCCAAAGGTCGTGTAGTATGTTATGAGATATCGTGAAATCGAAGCAGTGATGAGATATACGATAGAAATCAAGAGAAACCCCCCAAGTAAGTGAAGCATGGACGGGATGTAGGATATCATGAAGAGGTGAATGTGGTATGGGGGAATCGGGATGGGTGGCGCGACCAGAGCAGGATATAACGATAACCAAGAAAAAGAAAGACAATCAAAAAAGAAAATCAAGAAATCCAAGCCGCCTCGGGCCGAGAGAATCTACTCCCCAACCCACTCCCCGCCGCTCGCCAGCTTCGCGAACGAGCCCCGCCGCTCAACCAGACTCTCAAACGTGCCCTCCTCCACCACACGCCCACCCTCAAGCACCACAATCCGATCGCACATCCGCATCACAGGCACCTTATGCGTCACCACAAGCGTCGTCCGCCCCACCTTGGCCTCGCGCACCGTCTCCAGCACCGCCGCCTGGTTCTGCGCATCCAGCGCGCTCGTGCACTCGTCCAGAATCAATATCTTCGACGGCCGCGCCAGCGCCCGCGCAAGCTGCAGCCGCTGCGCCTGCCCGCCCGAGATCAGCGCCGCGTTCTCGCCCACGAGCGTCCCGTACCCCTGCGGCAGCGACATCACGAAATCGTGCACGTGCGCCGCGCGCGCCGCACGCTCCACGTCGGCCTGCGTGAGCCGGTCCGCGTGCCCGTACGCGATGTTGTCCCGCACGGACGCGTCGAACAGGTTCGGGTTCTGCGAGACGACGGCGACGTGGTCGCGGAGGTGCTTGACGTCCATGAACGAGAGGTTCGCCCCGCCGACGGTGATCGCGCCCCCGGTCGGCTCGTATAAGCGCTGAAGAAGCGCAGCGACGGTCGACTTGCCGCACCCGGAGCCGCCGACGAGCGCGACGCACTCGCCGTCACGGATGCGCATCGAGAGGGACCTGAGCACCGTCTCGGTGGGGTTGGTCGGGTAGGAGAACTCGACAGCGTCAAAGACGAGATCGCCCTTGATCTTCTCGCGGAGCATGCCCTGCCGCTCGCCCTCCCCGTCTTCAAGACGCACAAGCGCGTGCAGGTCGTTCGCCGCGCGCACGCACTTGGCGATGCGCTGCGTGAACGCCATGAGCTGCGAGCCGATCGTGACGGTGAAGACGACGAGGTTGAGGGTCTGGACCATCTGCAGGTACGTGTACGTGCCCTTGGACATGAGCACCGCGCCGACGTAGAAGAGCAGCGCCTCGGCGAGGTAAATGAGAGCGGAAGCAACACCGTACGTGCAGCCTTCGACGAACGCACCACGGCGGCCAGTGGAAAGGCACTGCGCTGCGGCAGTCTCGAATTGCTGCGCGAGAACAGGCTCCAGAGCAAGCCCACGGATGGCCCGGATGTTGAGAATAGACTATCAACCCAATCAGCCTCCTAATCCCACTAAACAAAAACACAAAAACAAAAACCAACCTCATAATACACCCTCCCGACCTCCTCCCTCGCCCTCTTATTCCGCACCTCGCACTTCGCCACCAACCCGCTCTGCGCACCCATAACACCCACAAACACAGGCGCAACCGCCAGCCCCACAAGCGTCAACTGCCACCCCCACGCCATCGCCCACACCAGCCCCAGCCCCAACATCGCACACACCACCACACACTGCCCCATCACCACCGAAATAACGACCCTCGCGTCGTCCGCATCCTTCACAATCCCCTGCGTCACCCTCGCCACCCCGTTCTCGTCCCGATCAAACCACGCCTTATCCTGCCGCACAACCCTTGCAAACGCCACCCCGCGCACGCGCGCCGCCCAGCGCATCGACAGGCTCTCCATCACGCCGTACTTGGTCCCGAGCAGCAGCCCGTCGAGCGCGGCGATGCCGAGCACGAGCGCGCCGTACGCGTTGATGAGCGAGGCGTCGGATGCGCCTGCGGAGACCTCGAACATGAGCTTGGACAGCAGGAACGAGAACACGGGTGTCATCGACCCGCTCGCGAGGCACGCGAGCAGTCCGAGGGCGAGCAGCGGCTTGTTGGGGATCGACGGGTAGACCATCCGGATCGTCGCGATGAGCCCGGGTGTGCCCGGAGCGGGGGACTTCGTGGAGGCGCCAGAGGCGGGAACGGGGGGGACGTCGACCTTGATAAGCGGCGCCCTATCGTGTGTGACCGTCGACCTCCTCGGGCGGTGCGAGCTCGCACGCGTCGATCGCCGCGTCGCAGCGAGCGCGCCGCTGCGGTCCATCGCGGCCTTCTCCATCTCGAACGCATCGTCCTCCTCGATCACATACACGCCCTCGTCCTGCGGCGGAACCGGCGCGTCCTCGAACGGATTGCGGAACGCCACGCGCGGGCTCGAGAACGTCGGGCTCGTCGCTACCACTGTCGGCGTCGCCGAAAACGTGGGGCTCGTCGGCGTCCACTGGAGACTCATGCGCCGCCCGTCGTACGCGCGCGGGGGCATCGACAGCTCGGGCAGCTCGAAGCGCGAAGCCCTCGAGGCCTTGGGCGACGTCGGCGACGGCAGAATCGACATGCTGCTCGGCCGGCGCACGCGCTGAACAGTCGTCCCGTTCCACGCCTGCGTCTCCGCCTTCTCGAACGGGTTCTGCTCGCGCGACGGGAACGCCTCGGCGGGGACGAACTGGCTGCGGAAATCGCGCTTGTCGAGCGGCGAGATCTCTTCTTCGTCCGGAGGGAGCCGGACGGCGCCAGCGGGGGCGGGGCGCGTGAGGTCCGACACGACATCGAACATCCAGTTGCCCAACGACTGCGTGACCGGGCGCAGCACCGACATCGCGCCGATACTGAGGTGGCCCTCGCGGACGGACAGCCCGTCCGCCGAGGTCTCGCCGTGTGCGTCTTCGGCGAGAACATCGTCGTAGCCCGGGAGACCGTCCTGGTCCGCGTCCTGCACGCCGCCGGACCCGAGCATGCGCACGAACTCGCCGTCAGGCGCGACGACGAGGTCCGCGCGGAAGCCCTGCTCGACGACCTGCCCGGCCTTCATGACGTACACAAAGTCGGCGTCCTCGATGGACGCGAGGTCGTGCGTGATGACGACTGTCGTCTTGTGCTGTCGCCAGCGGCGGATCGCGGCCATGATGAGTGCGCGGGTGGGCGGGTCGAGAGCCGAAGTCGGTTCATCTACGAGACCATAAGCAAATGAAGGTGCAAAACCATAGCATTAAAAAGCTCACCAAGAATCAACACATCCGGATCCCTAATCCGCGCCCGTGCAAGCATCACCCGCTGCCTCTGCCCCCCACTCAACTGCACCCCCTCCCCACCCCCGCTCCCCCCACTCACCACCGTCTCATACCCCTCCTCCAGCCCACCCACCCAGCTCTCCAGCATCGCCATCCTACACGCCTCCACCACCTGCTTCACCTCCACATCCTCCGCCCTCCCGCCCCTCCCCACCGCACCCACCGCCACATTCTCAAACACACTCTTCCCGCCAAACACCACCCCGCTCCCCTGACACACCCCGCCGACGCGCGTGCGCACCCATGCGTTATCCAGAAACCGCATATCCTGCTCATCGAGCAGCACGCTCCCCGCACACGGCGCGTACTCCCCGCGCAGCAGCGCGCCGAGCGTGGACTTGCCCGAGCCCGACGCGCCGACGACGAACGTCGTCTCGCGCGCGGGGAGGAACAGCGAGACGTCGCGCAGGACGGGCACGTCCGGCCGCGCGGGGTACGCGAATGAGACGGAGGTGAGCGCGAGTTCGCCGACGAATTGGCGCGGGAGGATCTTGCGCAGCGCCTGTGTGCGCCTGCGTCTGTGTTGCTGTTGCTGGGGCCTGCCTTTCTTCGCAGGAATAGCGGTAAACGAAAGCTCAGAGCACGGCGACGACGGGAGAAACTGGTCATTCTGCGGCGGCGGAAGCACCACCTCGTCCGCCACAACCGCCGCCAACGCCGCCGCGGACGCCTTGCCCCTACCCACCGTCACAAGCAGCGGCACCGCCATCTGCAGGTTGCTCGTCGCAATAAGACACGCCCAGAACACCGCCATAACGTCCCCCGCGCTGTTCCGCCCGTCACGCACGAGATGCGCGCCGAACCAGAATCCCTGCACGAACATCGCCATCGACACGAACTGGGAGAGCGCCGCCGTGCCCCCCCAGAGGCGCGCGAGGCCCTGCGACGCGTCCGCGATGCTGGCGAACACGCGCGCGAGCGAGGCGTGTTCGGCGGGCGCGGCGTTGAACGCTTTGACGGTCGCGATGGCGCCGAGCGAGCGTGAGATGAGGGAGGCGGCGGCGGCGGAGAGGGAGCGCTCGCGCGCGAGGCGCGGCGCGGCGAAGCCCTGGGAGAGGGCTTGGATTATGATTAAGGAGGGGACGGCGGAGAGAATGACGAGGGTAAGGAGCGGGGAGCGCGTGAATGCGAGGATGAGGCAGGTGATGGTTGTTGTGAGGTATTGGAGGAGTTGACCAGAAGCCAGCGATGAGGCCGTTCGAACGTCGTCCGTTTCGCTGTATCATACACGTTAATCGACAGAGAAAGGGAGGCGAGATGGAGACTTACCGAGCGAACTTGGCCATGAGCCCACCAGCACCTATCGGTGCGTCCTTTGCGGTGGTGTCCTGCACATCTCCTTCCGAGCCCATGCGGAGGTCGAACCACGTTATATCTTTGCGCGTGACGGACTCGTAGACGCGTCTTCGGAGCTCGACAACGTTGTGCTCGCCGGTCCATATCCACAGACTGCTCGTGATGCTGCTCATGAGCAGGGCACCGACGCCGAGCGCAACGAGCTCAATGGCAGCAAGGCCGACGCCGTGAAGCAGCGCATCCTTGGCGGCTTGTGGTGGGTTGGCGGTGAGCGGGTAGGCGGCAAAGGCGTTGAAGGACTGGCCGACGACATAAGTCATGAAGGGGGCGATACCGCCCGAGACGACAGATGAGGCAATGGCAGGTGCGAGGAGTGTGAGTTTTCTGCGTGGGGTAAGGAAGGAGAAGAGGAGGCCAAAGGATGGGGTTGGGGAGTGCGAGTGGATGGTGGGCTGGGGGAGGATGGCTGGGGTGGAGGAGGATGGGGTCGCCTTGAGGTCGATAGAGGATGAGTCGGAAGAAGTGTCCCGCCTTCTTCTGGAGGAGGTGTCGCTGGATGTTGAGCGGGATGTAGAGGCGATGGAGTGTCGTTCGTAAGAGCTCATCGTGGTCGTGGATTCAGCCGCAGAGTCCAGCCAAGCGGAAGTCTGGGTGAGGTCGTTGCGGTATATGAAGAGGGAACAGAGAAGGGGTCCATGGTGCTGCAGCCGTTTTGTCTGTCGCTTCGTCCGTCTCTCTATTGTCTTGTGTCAACTCGCAGGCGAACACAATAGCCCCTCGTCCCCTTTTGGAAGCGTACAATAGCTCGAGGCACATTGACCCCGTGGGAAAAATAGCACAATGCCCGATCGCTGTCGGCGACTCGGCTCCGGCCCTCCGCGATTCTACTCTTAACGAGACGTCCATGCTCGCCGCTCCCTCACTCCCCCACCTGACCCATTGTACACCGTATGTGATCTACCAAGCAGAGCTTATCTGGTGGACTGGCTGTGAAGTCAAGGTTCTGCTCACACCACAACACACTTTGTTTCTCATATCCAGCCCCGTCGACGTTGCTTGGACGCAGCCATGTTCTCCAGGGGCAGCAGTTCCAGTTTCTTGGTGCCTGACTGCATCCGGCTCCCGTCCTCTGATGAACTTTGAACGTGAACCATCCCTGGTTCCTATTATTGAGCTAATAATAAGCCAACCTTTACACCTAGGAACTATCTTAGCGCTCTCCGTCATCCTTGCCCGTCTCTCGTCCATTTGTCTCTGTCTGAGAGGACCTCTTCTTCTCCACGGACCGTCTTGAGCAACGGAATGTAAGTCTCCTCGCCCAAAGCTCGGCGGTCAAGCCCACTAGCTAGCCTACTGGACAAACCTGGACAAACCCGGCGTCTCGTCATGACTTGTAGTTTTGCACTTATCGCCTGCGGACTTTGAATGGAGGAAGGGTGGTTTTCATATCAGGAGCGATTACGCCTTGACACACACTGGCGCTTGCTAGATGATATAGCGACGGAGGGATGGCGACGAGGAGGGCGGTTGGATCGACAGTGTTCCTTAGATTCCATGTTGTGTCTGTGTATAAGATAAACTGCTTATCTGAAGTGTATGTTTGTGGAGCAGAGAGGGCTCGCGTGGCATGATGGACACTTCCCAAAATAGAGAAAGGAAAGCTTGGCGCGTCTAATAGGCGTGGAGTTGTAAAAAGGTGCAAGTTGAACGCTGTCGATGCAAAGACGTCCGGGCCCACTCAAGGGACCCGCACGCATAGGAATCCCCATCAACGACCGTCTCCGTGCAGACATGGCCTCAGACCAGAAATCCGCCGCCTCCTCCTCCCGCCTCAACCAGCGCTCATTCGGCGTCACAAACAAGATCTGGCTCCTCCTCCTCCTCTGCTGCTTCCTCTTCTTCGTCACACACGTCTTCGTCCCCTCCGCAGCGCCCCCACCCCGCCTCGGCACCTTCACCGACGCACGCCAGGAGCCCAAGAACTACCTTCACGAGGCCAGCCTCCTCTCCCCCGATGGCATCGTCGGCGGCGTCAACGGCTCCGAGCAGGCAGCGAGCAACCCCTTCGACTTTTGCCCCGTCTTTGGGCCCAACGACGACATTGCGGAAAAGTACGGCATCATGGTTCTCTCCCAGAGCAGGATGCATCTAGGCAGCGGAGGCCGCGTCCACCGCGTCATCCAGAAGGCCCTCCTCGGCCAACCCGTCATCATCAGTGTTCTCGGCGGCTCAGGTGAGCGTCCCATCCTTGCTACCTACGTATCGCTGCAATTTTCTGATAATCGCATAGTATCGGCATGCCATGGTGCAGGCGACGACCCGCTCTCATCAAAGTGTTATCCTTCCCGCTTCTTCCAGTGGTGGACGAGCATCTTCCCGCACCCCGCCTCTGAGCTTACCAACGGCGCCATGCGACGGACAAACTCAGGCTACTTTGGCTACTGCAGCACACACCACGTCCCCGACTACGCGGACCTCATCGTCGTCGAGTTCGATACCGACGACGGCGCGTGAGTGCATTTCTCTCTCCTGTCGTCTTGGCATCCCCTCACCGTGATTATCAACGTATGATTCTGACGAAATGCGTACAGAGACCCCAAGGCGATGGAACACTTTGAGCTCCTCATCCGCTCTCTGCTCGACCGCCCCGACCAGCCCGCGGTGCTCATCCTCGGCCACTTCAGCCCCCAAGTTCACCAGGCGCACGGATACGCGGGCCCCGAGCACTTGCACAACGTCGTCGCGCAGTTCTACGACGTCCCCCACCTCAGGTACGTACTCCACACTCACTCCAAACGACCCTGGCCTCACTCACCACAACCAGCGTCAAACCGATCCTCTACCCCTCCTACATGGTCAACCCGGACCTCATCAAGCCCTACTTCGCAGACAACATCCTCGCGAACGCCGACGGCCACGCGCTCCTCGCCGACGTCCTCGTCTCCTACTTCCAGTCGCAGATCTGCGCCGCATGGGCGACCGCCGCCGGGCACTCGTACGAGACGCTCCCGATGATGCTCGCGCCGGGATACAACCCCTCGGGCGACACGCACCTCTTTGGCGGCGTCGGCGCGCGCAAGGGCGTGCCGGAGCCGAAGAAGGCGGATAAGGCGGGCAAGGAGAAGGACGCGAAGGAGAAGGCGGAGAAGGACGGCGCCGGCGGGAAAGACAAGGGCACCGGCGGGGAGGGCGCGAAGACGGATCCGATCCCGATATACCCCGAGCTGCGCATTCCGCCCGTGCGCATCGGCACGCGCGCGGGGGAGCAGCGCCCGTTCGAGGAGCCCGCGCCGTTCTGCGCGTCTGCGAACGACCTTGTCAATCCTTTACCTCCGTCGTTGTTCTACGGCAGCGGGTGGCACAATGCGCGTCCGCCGAGCGGGACGAGTCCGTTGTTGACGGCGGGGTATCATTGGTATGCGACGCAGCCGATGAGCAAGCTGCGGGTGCCGATTAAGACGGGGGCGGGGGATGTGGGGATTTATTTTTTGAAGGAGCCGCTGGGGGGTGGGGAGGGGGAGGGGGAGGGGAGCGCGGTGGAGTGTTGGGTGGATGATAATTTTGGGGGGGCCAAGATTATTGAGGGGAGGGGGCAGGTGGGGGCTGCGACGCCTACGTGAGTTTCTCCTTCGTCTGGTTCTGGCTTGTGGGAGTGTGGCTGATGGAGTTTGCGATTTGTAGGCTGGAGATCATCGATCACTATGTGTCGCGCGGGAACCATTATGTCGAGTGTGTGTTGCTCGGCGACGAGGGCGTCGAGGTGTCGCCGTTCAAGATTATCGGCATTTTTGCTACCTAGTCGTTCACTGTTTTCTCAAAAATTAGTTGATGGTCGATACCAGCGGGGGAGTGCGCGGCGTGGAGGGCGATCTGGGGAGCGTGGATACTCTTTTTTTCTTAGCTAACTCTAACTAGGGCTACTGTTATGTAGTGTAATATCGCGGAACGTTGGCGGTACCGGGCTGCTAGCTGTACATACAGTATGTGCGTGATGGGGCTGCGGCTCGATCGCGGGCGTCCTATTATATATCTTTTATCATAGACACTCACCGGCAAGTACTCCAAGCTCATGAGATCCTGGACTAGACAGAAGGACACATGTTTATTCGTCATGCTTGTTGCGGGATGCTGCCGATGGTGCCTCGGCCTCAAGACGAGTCGAGGAGAGGTTTCAAGCTTCAAGGGAGATGCCAATACACCAGTGTTTGAAGCTGAAGCTTGAAGCTTGAAGTCTGATGGCAGAATGGCGGCGCTGGCCAGCCATTTTCCTGGCACGCCTGGCATGCCATTGGCGGCTGGCAATGGGTATGACTAAGTTTTCTATTATGGAAGTTTATGTGAGCCTAAGTCGCGTTAGATCCGATTTATGTACTCATATAGCTATAAGTACAATAATCATTGTAGCCTTCGTAGGCTGGCGGTTTTAGTTGCCATTGCATTATTTTGTTCCCAGCTCGCAAGTTCGATCCTCTCCCCTGCCATTTCCGAGTGCCATCGCCAAATGGCATGCCATGGCACTGCCATTGGCCGGATCATGGCATCCCACTGGCACCACTGGGGGCAATTGCCCATGTTTTTGTGGAAAACATTCAAAATGTTTTGAGCACTTCTTTCTTAATTGGGAAGGCAGCCTTCCAAAATTGGTAATTTGAGCAAAACATTTTAAATGTTTTTGACATGTTTTCCTTGGAAACATTGACTAATGCCCCCAGTGCACTCCAAACACTGCAATACACCGATGCGTAGTTTAGGGCCGGCTTGGTCAAGGTAGCTGTGTCCGCGTATGTTCGTAGCTACTACTACTGACTATCAGCTGAGTTGTCTTCTCCTCGTCTCCAGGAGCACACCCACTCTACCGGTCTTCGTCACAGCACCAAGGTTACGTCTCAGCCATCTGCGGACGCCGTTGTGTGTGTGCTGCCAGGTATACTAGCCACTGCCCCTGGCCCTGTGTTTCTTGTGTATTCTGTGATGAATCGTGGATCGTGGATCAGGGATCATGAGCTATGCGACCGTTGACAACGTGAAAGCTGCGAAGTTTCTCGATCGTTGTCAAAAGGTCGGAACTGCCAGTATATGCGTGACTCGAAGCTGTGGTACGTTGTAAGTAGTTGAAAGAAGGCGCTGCTTTTACTATGTCAAAGATGATCAGGGGAGCTGCTGTGTATTGGTGCGTTGTTACTGTCATCATTGGTTACGATGTCGAGGAATGATGTTTGGATAGTAGCTGGCAAACGTTGCTGCGTGTGTGTACAAAGAACAGCAACGGTATTTCAAGACAAACGCCCATGCGCATGTGGTGAGCCGCTGATGTGCACGGCTGAGACTCTTTATGTTCTCGCCTCATCCTAGTCCGGCTTTCTCTCTGCCCGACAAGGCAAGGCGCTGTGTTATTTCCGTTCTTCATCATTCGCGTCCAAATCTGCGTACAGGTGCGTCAAATGATGAATCTCGAATCCACATTGTCGTTCGTTGTCCCAGAGATTCTCAGGCGCAGAACATGTTCCTCGTTGGCCTTGGGCCCTGTCAAACAGGCTCGTGGCGCTAGCAGGCAGGCATGCGTTCATCGATAGCACAGCTCCACGGTTTTCTGCATGCGCGTATATAAGCTACAGTGTTCGAGATACGGTGGTCACCACAACCCACCCCGCTACTACTTCTTGTGGCATCGTCACCGCTATCTAGTACTACCCCAGCCCAGCTTCGACCAAGGACTACGATGTTCCCCTCCCACACACTCCTCTCCATCTGCCTGCTCGCCACGGTCGTTGCTGCCGTCCCAGCTCAGCGCGACACCAAGCGTACGCCAAGTGCTACGCTCGGTGTCACGCGCCGCTTCAGAAACCTTGCCGCGGGACAGAGGCTTCCCGATATCGACCGCGCGCGTGCCGCGGCGCTCAAGCAGGGCGGCCAGAAGGCGAAGCGCGATGGCGCTGTCAGCGTCACGAACACACTGGTAACTTACACGGCCAGTGTTGGTATCGGATCGCCGGCTACCCAATGTGAGTATTCCATCTGGGCTGTCTTTCGAGAGTGCTTGGATGAACGCGGTGGCTGAATGAAGCTGTGCTTCACGCTTTGTCAGATACACTCTTGATCGATACTGGTAGCTCTAACACTTGGGTTGGCGCCGATAAGCCCTATAATCCCACAAGCTCCTCCACGGACACGGGTAATACTATTGTACGTTTCCTCTTTCGTGTATACTCATCTAGAAGAGATGGGTGAGCCTTTGTTCTGCTCCACAGACGGACTCCTACGGCTCCGGGGAATTCACCGGCAAAGAGTACATCGACACCGTGACGCTCGGCAACAATCTCACCATTGCCAAGCAGATGATTGGCGTTGCTTCCCAAGCCGAGGGCTTCCAGGACGTCGACGGCGTTCTCGGAGTCGGCCCAGTAGACCTTACGGCCGGTACCGTATCCAACACGAACACCGTTCCCACCGTTATGGACAACTTGTACTCGCAGGGCACCATCAGCCATGAATTGCTTGGAGTATACTATGCACCTGTGTCGAGCAGCGACTCGACGGGAGAGTTGAGCTTCGGCACCGTCGACACGAGCAAGACGACCAGCGACGTGGCGTATGTGCCCATCACAAGCACGCAGCTCGTCAGCGAGTACTGGGGCATCGACCAGAGCATCAGCTACGGCTCGCAGACGATTCTCGACTCGGCCTCTGGTATCGTCGACACCGGCACCACATTGATTCTCGTCGCTTCTGGTGTGTTCCTATACTGTATACCGTGGCCAAGCTACCTAACGCACCATCCAGACGCCTTCCAGAAGTACCAGTCTGCCACCGGCGGCACCATGGACCAGACGACCGGCCTCCTGACCATCAGCGCGGACCAGTACGACAAGCTCTCGGCGCTCAACTTCGAGATCGGCGGGACCACGTACGCGCTCAACGCGAACGCGCAGATCTGGCCACGCTCGCTCAACAGCGCGATCGGCGGTGCGAGCGGTAGCATCTACCTTGTCGTCAACGACGTCGGGTCGGCGTCGGGCGAGGGGATCGATTTTATTAATGGGTATACCTTTTTGGAGAGGTATTACTCCGTTTTTGATACGACTAATAAGCGGGTTGGGTTCGCGACTACCGCTAACACGAATGCGACCTCGAACTGATGTGTCGGCATAGAAGGCTGGATCTCGCGTTTGCTGCGGTCATTGGGGTTCTCTAATGTTAAGGGTAAGCGACTGGCGACTGGCAACTGGGTTGTAATATTGTAAATAGCTTGGGATAACAAAGTTGAATGATCGTAAAATCTGCTTACGAGTTGTTAGATTAGTAACATAAAGGGAAACACTTAGCGACTCTTCTCCGATATCTCAGACTCGGAATGAAGGAGACGTGCTCGTTGAATAGTTATCCATGTAGCCATTTTTTGCGCTGTGAACGGCTTGAAGGAGTGGGCATTCTCAGCGCCTTTGACCCGATATCCACGATGCCCAAGCTCTCACCGTGTTTCTACGCCAGATATACCAGAAATCGTGACCAGTCATTCTGTACGAAGCTTCCCGCCCACAGGATCGGAGCGCTCTTCGATGAGAACAACCTCCAAGGTTTGTTTTGTTTTATACTTAAAATAATGTGAGGATAAACAGCGGTATATATATGACAAAAGACTTTAAGAGGGTAAGGCATGTCTCAGAACTCCCGGGATCCTGCATCCTTCCCCCGTGGTACCTACCTAGTATTGGTAGTCCGTTTCGGTAAAGGGGACATGTGGGTGCATGTGGGCGCTTGTGTACTCGCTGCCCAGTTTGCAGCCGCCGGCTTACTTGAAACCCCGACATATATTGGTGCCGAGATTGACTTTTTGCCTCGGTTCCATCTGGGCTTGTCGTTCGCTCTGTTCTAACCCCTCCTGTCCGCATCGTCCGAGTCCGCCAAGTCGTAGCCATCAAAACACGTTTTGTGAATGGACTTACTCTCCGTACCTACTCTCCGTCCGCTGGCTACTCCTGCTGCCCTATCGTCTCAAGAATTCCAGCCAGACTCGGATGCACTTCTATTCATCAACAGTCTCCGCCCTGGCTGTCTATGATGTGCATGTGCCACTGTTCACTGGCTTTGTGCTTTCAGGTTCAAAACTCTCCGGTCCCCAGTCTTTCATGTACTATCTGCGTCGCGAAAATCAACTACATTCATAGGGTTGAGCTAGTAGGTGAGTCGCGTCTTCCTTGTGTTCGTGAACGGCTCGAACTTATTCATCTCCCAGTACTCACTCCCACTTCATCATGCTTACCAAAACGGCCCAGTCAGCTTCGCAGCCGTCAAATCCCAATATGTGCCCTTCCACTGACCGCGTCTACTTACCGCCCGCTGTGACCGAGGACACGCCTGCGTGGACACCGCGATCACGTCCTTTCCCAAATTCTGCATGTTCGCAAGTCCATTCGTCCGCCATCATCAAATATGTATCTACTTTCAATGGACTTGCGGACAGCCCCATAGACTCGGAACTTTGTCCGCCCCCGTCCGCCGCCTGCCTGCCTTTCCCCCAAAGCCGACCTCCATGTACTTCTTGCGGTCTTGAACGCGGACACAACGTCTCTAGGAGGTACTTATACAGCGTGATGCTGTCAGGCTCTCCAGAATCCTTCGTGACACTATTCCGTCGCTCGTCTCAGAATTATGTCGCGAGGAGTGCGTCCTCGTACAGCTGCTTATTGGTTAATGCTCATGATAGGTCTCTTTGTAGTCATACACGTACGGCTGCCGACACTGCCGTCGATGCTTCAAAAGTCGTCGAAACGCGGTTGAACATTGCTGCGAAGGGTGAGAACTCCCCTGCGACAATCGCTTATACCTCTAACTTGCTTGTCAGTGACTCGAAACAGCGCCTTGCCTGTACCCATCGCGATTGCGAGTTTGCCTGCTTTCATGAAAGACAGATGCGAAGACACTGGGCTTCGGTTCACCCCGAAGAGCATGTCTCCAAACATCGATGCTGGCGTATTTGCCAAAGTGAGAGAACGTTGTGCACACGTACCACACACCTGACTCATGGCTGTCATTTAGCTCCGGAAGAGTTACTTGCTCGGAAGGCAAGGGTCACACGCAAGCCAAATCAGCCAAGGTCTCGAGATGATATGCAGGTAAGTCAAGCCTGCATGTGCGGGTGCAAGAAGATTGTTAAATGTATTTTATTGTTAGGGTGGCGATGCATTAGAGGTTGGAGGCAGCGGCGTCTCTCCGGCCCGTTTTCCGAGCTTTAATCGGCTTGGGAATGGAGAGGCAGCCGTGCCTGAAGAAGCCAAAGACGAGTTAGATGACAGAGAATCCGACTGCACCATAGACGACGCATCAGTTCCAGGCATAGCCAAGTCTTGCCACAGAGAGCTCGGCTACATCGCGGAGGACGGACGCAACTACACTGGTCGACACAACACAGAGGGAAGTTGGGCAACTGAAGAGGTCGATAACTTCATTCATGCTACCGAGGTACGTTCAGTTCGGCGTTTGAATTTTCCAAAATGCATTCAACGCGTGTTGTTAGACCGTCAACAATGCTACCAGCAATAGCTACGCGTCTTCTGTTAACTGGTTCAGCCCATCTCTTGCTGACCAGCTGGTCGCAAGTGGCACCACTGCTTACGCACAAGATCGCACCAATGTGCACGACATGTTCGTGCCGTCCGGCACTTCAGCAAATTCAAGCTATGAGACAGCAGAAGCTCAGCTCCTGCAGTACTCCAGTAATCTTCCCTATGCCAGTGGTTCCTCAATGGCTATCCCTGGTTACGGAGGAAATTTGGTATGATTCGCTTTCTTCCTCTTGTTATAATCTCCTGACACCCATCAGGTTGGATTTGGGGGACCTACTGGCATATCATCGGTGTCAAACAATGGCTTCGGAAAGTTTTCCACGTTGCTACTCAGTTGAGCGTTGAGCTGACTTATTTTTGCTGTACACAGATGGTCATAGTGGAGTATGGTTGCAGCACCAAGGGAGCCGGTACCATGACGTATGTCCCTCCAGTTTTGAGCGGGCTTCATAACCTTGACTGTGTCACTGATCTTGTTACTGGTAGAATACCACCGTTAGCATGCGCTCTGACGCGATGCAGGAACGTCTCGCTCCATCAGACGAGGCTGCGTGGCACCAACCGGCTCCCAAACCCTCGCTAACGGAACTGGGTGACAACGGTGTCTGGACGCGCGTGACTGATTCAATGCTGCAACACATTTTTGCACGTTCACAATCCTCAATGGACCAAGGACCCACCCAGAATTAACGCATCGGACGTTCTATGATGCATCAATCACAGGCTTTACGACACACCATAGACCCGCTTTCTTTATCACTTTGGCTTTTCTCTCCGCATATTTACAGCTCATGATTAGTAGTTTGCCACTGGGTGGTGCACAGCTAGATTATATATGTTCCTTTGCTTCCATCGGCAGCCTCTGCTTTGATGGCAACCCCACCTTCTTTCGCATCGCTATCTCTGGAATCTTTCCTTTCTATTCTGCTATATCACAGCGAGCATGTGCCCCTTCTTACTCTTAGTTTTTCACTATCTTCTTCCTTTACGCTCTTCCACTGCTTGACCTACTGGTCTTAGGCTCTTGGGTGATCTGTGCTGTTACGAAGTTTTACTTTACGTTGTTGAGGGAAATGACCCATGCTCTGATGTAGCCCTCACTTAAGCTTGGCCTCCGGTAGTGTCTATGTTTCTACATAAACCACATATTATATCTAGGCATATGAATCTAATTAACTACAGTAGATCTAACGTGCACTGTTTATGTTACTGTTACTTCATACCATACTTAAATCACGATAGAACTTAGATCAATAGATACAGTATCTCCACAGTGATCTTCTATCGCTTTACACACGTCGTGCATTATGAACCTCTCCATGAGATGGTAAGCTTTCAATCCGGATACCTATCCATGATGCAAGCATGATGAGCAGGGTGTGCAACTTTAAGACTAGATGGGAAAATACACCGGAACGTGCTCGCGTCATGGAGAAGGGAAGTGATTGCCATTACCCAGCTAAAACGTTAATCCTGTTGCATGCCGCCGGTAATGCGACCGGATATTCGCTGGGTTGGAATCTGCCGTAATGTCCAGGACTGGTTGCTGTCAGCGTCACGCGGCTGTCTCAGATGTGTGCGTGAGGAGGGAACGGTTTTCGCCATTTGTTGGCCACGTTGCTTTCCACCACTTGTCCGTCTAGAGTCCCGGTTTCATCCTCTGTTGCAGACTCTCCAGGCCAAAGCTATCCAGTTAAGCCGCGATGAGCCGAAGGGTGAACAAAAGTGGTGCTCGGTCCGACTACTGCACATGGAGGTCCATTCAATTGCGGCGACTTGGATTCAATTTCAGCTCAAGACCATACCCCGACAAACCCTTACCTTGGAGAGAGCAGGCAGCCACTATCGACGATCAGACCACCCTGACTATACGCATGTTGCTCATCGTATAATTTGAGCTCGAGGTCTGATCGTCGCTGGTGGAGATCCATGTCGCCGTCAGGAAGGCTGTCCACACCGTGGAGGGCACGACTCGAGCCATACGACGCTGTGACCGTGACGACAAGGTGAGTAAAAAGGGTGGAGCTGAGGGTTGGCGATGAATTCTGGTGCGTCTCCGGTTTCTCGCTCCTGAGCTAACTTGTGGGCCTCTTGAACGTCCGAAGACTCCCCTCCATTTCCTAATAATAACAACGATTCTACCAGACTTTGGGGCAACAAACCCACTAGTGCTATGAACTTGCCAGGGAGGCGCCATCTTCTGCAAGTTACCATTAGTGTCTACGTAGCGATTGCTGACACTTCTGCAGTTAACGTGGGGCGACCCTTGGGGAGACCTACGTCTTTTTCAATTGTAAGCTTGGCACTATGTGAAACATCTTCAGTGGTAACGTCAGGAACGACAAGCTGGATCTGGAAATCAGCAACAACTCTTACATTCCTGCTTATGCTCTCCCGGCTCAGTTCTCCAGTATGCTTCTCTACACGAGAACTGCATATCTAGTGCTCGGAGGTACGAGCCCTCACGCAGATTCAAAAAGTTGTGCCTAGGTATTCATGATTTAGTCAAAGACGTCAAGGAAAAGATGATAGAATATGCACATGGTTTAGGTACGGGTTCTTTTTATTCCGCCTTGGCCGCAATCGCACTGGAAACTGTAAGACTCGAGTTTGGTGTCTACTCGACGAGATGTTGCCTCGGAACTTCCGTTTGCTAGCAGCGGTTCTTCCTTTTCCTATGGATAACCGTTTTGAGATTTATTATGTCACAGAAGAGAACCAGGAGCTTTCGTACTGAAGGGATGTTTCTGTGGCTCAAATCGATTGGTGCGTCCGCTTTGCAGCCTTTATCTGATAGACACGACTGTGATGGCATTCTAATTTTCTTTCAAAACATTTTCCAGTTCTGACAATTGAATCAGGGCGATTGGCCAGGTGGGAGGCAAAGAAACTCACGTTTGGTACGCAATGATCTGATTTTGACTGCTTGATCATGAGCCATAGGGTCAACCTGATTATAAAATCTGGCTTTTAAGTCGTAGTATAATGGATCCTTGTACAGTCTATAAGGCTTAGAACGCACCGAAAGTCGTTTATCATCGACTTTTGGCGCACTCTAAGCGCTGTGTTTCATGCATCATGGGCCAACAGGCGGTAAGTACAGTTACTGGCGCGGAAGTGCCTACAGCGCCCGGTCCGCTCCCACGGCCGGTCTATCGCCGAGGTTCCCGTTCGAGGCTTGTCCACACACCCCCATATACCCTCAGCTTGTCCGCTATCGAAGATGCAACGTAGCCTCAGTTACATGAATGGACCTTGTTTCAACCAAACTTTTTACTTTTTCAGTTGGTCATCAAGCTGCTCGCCAGTAGCAAAGTAGTCAGTCCAACAATCGGACCGTCTGCAAGTGGACTGTTTGAAGGTCAATCTACGTTCGTTACGAATCTACGTTCGTTACGCGGGGCCTGGGTACTCAAGTTCGCCCATTCCGCCACCTGCAGCGGACTCGCTATGACCTCAAGATACAGCTTCGGTGCCATCTTCGCCTTGAATATGAATGATGGACCACTAGTAATATCGTACTCGTCCCGATAAACCAATCAGTCATGGTGTTTCGAAGTAGTGGACGGTATCTAGATTGTGAGTAATTCACGCCATTCCATTGCTCGTTGCCGTTCTTGCCTCGTTTTCATCCATGGCGCCCCAGCCAGAGTTGCATTATCCTAATTAGCCTTTTTTACCGTATGACATCCTGCGCTTTGTTCACGTCGATTAGGCTAATCTTTTTTATGTTTCTCGATAGCGCTCTCCCAGCAACGTACCCCCGTCCATACGTCCGCCGGTCCATTACGCTCTCAATATATCCCAGCTCGTTTCAATCAAAACAGATCCTAAGCCATGGGGAGCGAGCAAGGACTATATATACGGGAACAATGTGCTCGCATTTCCTCAGACATCTCTTAACGAAGGTGCCAAATCAGTGTATATTCTCATACTACAACGCTCTAACACGGATGGGGATCATGGACCTCTCAGAAGTGAAGGTATGTTAACCCAGCAGTCTTTCGGCACTGCTAAACTCATCTATACAACAGACTAAACGTCTGGGACGCAAGCTGTGCAATGGTGTATATTGTATCCAGCGCCGCGATGTGGTGCACTACCGTACCATGTAAGATTGCAGGCTTCATTCCTTGTCCTAGCTTTCACGTTCACACTAAAACGTACTTTGGCAGTACACTTGAAGCCAGACTCTCCTCCGTGAGCGGTTGCTTCTTCGTCCGTTGGCAGGAAGGAGCCATGCCCAAAGACGTAGAGGACCGGGAATGGATTGAGTCAGCGAAGAAAGGATGCCAGTGGCAGGAATGTAAATCATCATCGTCTTGACGAAAGGAGCTGAAGCTAATGAACTCTCTTTCAGCTGCTGAGATCGATTCAACCAGAATTGAGACGTACGCAGTGGGACTAACTGGCCCAATCAAGGAGTGTAAATGTGCCCGTCGACCGATTGTGAGTGTTCATACCCGTCAAACTGGTCTTCCCAATTCTCGGTGAATAATTGTATTGCGTCGGCAGAGAGCGGATTCAGGCTCCAACACCAAATGGAATTTAGAGGACCACGGAGAACATCGTAAGGTCAAACCCCCCGTGCTGAAATCGGATGATTCCGATATCTTTCGTCACTCCGTCTTGCTGCAGGGTAGCGTTGTTGCCGAGGTATGTTTGCATATCTTATCTCACTTCTTGAAACTCAACTATAGTCTCAGACGGAGCAGCTTGCTGCGCTGCGAACTTTTAAATCAAACAGAACTGCGGAGCCTATTGTCGAAATTTTGACAGTTCCCCTTCGGCCGCCCTCGTGCCACGAGTATGAGATGAGTAGCCCTGGGGATGCTTTAGCCCATCGGTCCGCCAGTGATAGTATAGGTTATCTACGTTTCTTTGTGCAACCCGAGCATCCCGTGGTTAGCGCTTCTCCTCTCCAAACTAGATTTGAGGAATGCTAATGATCGTTTAGCCAGATTTAGGTGGCAACCTTGCTACGGAAGTGGAAAACGATGCTTTCCACCCAACTTCACGTGAGCGTGCTGACATCTTTTGTCCAGTGAGAGTCTCATAAAACCCTCCAGCATTAGGAGGATACGACGGACGCGAAGTATATCAGGCGGGGGAAGCTCGTAGCGTGAGTCCGACCTCATTATCTCATCGCTCTTTTGCAGACCCAACTCAATCTGTTGGCCAGGTCAGTGATGACAAGCAACTCAGTGGAATGTCTCATGTACAATCCGAGAAACAGCGATCGCGACCCTTGCAAGCGAGACACGAACTTCAGGTCGAATGCTCCTAGACGTTTTCAAGATTTTGACCACAGGCGGATAAAAACTGAAAGAGAAAACTCAGAGGTATAGATCATGTTTCTGAACATGTTTCTGAAGTCCATGGGGGCCCCGTGTCCCATGAACATAATTAACTCTGTCGTACAACTTTGTGCATCATTACTTGTTACTTACCGAATTGTTCATTTTGGCGCTGCCTTTGTTACCTCCGTTTCATACTCATGGTTTCTAATCTGGCTCCAGCTTCCCCAGGTGTTCAATGTTGACATTATGGTCACGTATGAAGTAAGCATCGGGAACGCCATGAGAAGTGCTAGACGAAATGACATTCGTATCTATATCAAAGGAGATTCTCACCGTCCAGCTATGGAGTATTCTCTTGATGCTACTTGCTGTATGCACCAGTAACATCAAGGACGAAGGCTATATGAACGTAAATGAGTTGAAGCTGTGGTTGCTTCTTGACAGCCCCCCCGGCAGTAGCGGCTCTCATTTGTTGCTGCACATGGGCAAGCTTATGCTGCCCGCATCTGTTTACGACTCACATAATGAGCGTTGACTGGAGGATGCTTCGCATATCTCACGCGGAAGTTGCTCAAAACTACAGCCGATGGTGAACCAACGTGTACAACTGGTAGCGCGCGCGACGTGACCAGAACGACCACCTTACTTGACCTCTCATTCTTTACGTGACTAGTGTTGTCTTTGTTTGAACGCATACCTCTTTCCCCTAGCTTTATTCAACCGGTTTCAACATCACATTGAAGAGTGAAGATCCATAGTAACCTTTAGTAGTTTTGTTCCCGGAAAGCTGATGATGTTGTATCATGCGGACCCAAGAGCCTGTTTTAGGAACGCGGTGCCCTTCTGACAGTGAACAGTGAGACTTGTACCTTTATCCTCCTCTGCTCTATAAGGCATTGATTTCAGCGGATGAAACTCAATCTGAGTAGCATTGTCGTCGAGGTGGGTGGTACCTCCTCTCAACTCCGTCTCGCATACTCACTGGCACATCTTCGTCATCCCAGACCCTCTTTGACCACGTACTATGGTGGCATCGGTTCAAACCTCGGGTGGTGAAACCGTAACACCATCCACGCATGATCCATCCTCATCAGTCGCTTCATCCATCCCCATCGAAATCCTTGCTTCCATTTTCGGAGAGTGCATCCACCAGGCTCACGTTTCGACGCAAGGAGAGATCGAGGGACCGCACAGGCGGCTTCATCGTTGCTCTGCCAAATGTCTTTCCTGGATCCAGGTCACCCACGTATCGCACCACTGGCGTTTTGCTGCGCTTTCGCACAGCTGGCTGTGGAATCAAATAACCTCGGATTGTGTCCCCTGGATGGTAGAAATGTTTCACAGAGCGGGAGACGTGCCCTTGAGGTTGCACGTTGATGTAGCTGATGGCGATCAACTCGAGGCAGAGCTTGTGGCACGCGCTATTTCTCGGGCCCAAGAGCTGGTGGTGCGATACAGCTCAGCTAAGGCTATCGCACATCTGTTGGCCCATGTAGAAGACACACCTGTCCTCAAGATTCTGGCATTTAACAGGCACAATCTCGCTTTGTCACCGCCAGCCATTCCCGTCCATTTGATACTCTCCAAAGCACTTAAATTGGAGACCCTGCACCTATACGACACCATTCCAGATTGGACGGCAACCTACATTTCCATTTAGATTGAAATACTTCGTCTTCCACTTCTCCGATTTCAGGTACCCTCGCCCGTCATGTCACCAGATCGCGTCCGTACTCCAACAGCTCACAGCTCTCGAAGAATTGACATTCCACAACTCGCTCTCTCGCGAGTCCATCTCTCTTCCTCGGACTGGTTTGTCATCCAGCCTCCGACGCCTCACGATCACTGGTTGGAGTACCGAGCTCCACCGATTCTTTTCACATTATCGTCCTCCTCGTACACTTGCAAACGTCACGCTTATATGCAACGGAGAGGATGTCAACTACGACTACACCCTGCTGCACGCTTCTATACTCGATTTGATGATGCCTGATGTAGATCCACCTCCCCATCCACGGAAGTACATCATGCCTAGCTATGCACGCGATGCCAGTGCTCCGGATATCGATCGTCGGGACTGCTACACCGAGGTTTCTTTGGGTGTTGCGAGTTATGAGCTCCGTGTGCGCGCGTCACTGTGGAGACAAAGCCAGCTCCCTGCGGGTCCACCACCAACTACAACCCTTGACAAAACGAGCGTCACACCCACTGTTGACTTGGTGTACTCGACTAAATTTGCAGGTAGTATTCTTGGGCAGCTTCAGAATTCCCCCTTCTTCGACACCATCCGGCATATGACCATCTACGGCAATATCCGCAGCTCCCCGGCTATCGTCAGTTTGATCCAGCAGTCGAAGTCACTGCACTCCTTGATTTTGCAGCCTTCCAGGGGTAGTGAACTCCTTGATCTTGTCGAAGGCGGCTTGATAGGCACAAGGTCGAGGATGTCTTCCCCCGAGCTCAAGACAATTGTCCTTCAGGGTGTAGACTTCAACGAATATCAGTATCGAAGAGATACTGAGGCCATCCTCTCATATTGTCTGAATGTGCGAGCGCAGGAAAGCCATCCACTGGAAAGACTAGTATTTCAAGGGTGTCAAAATGTACGTTTGGATGAATGGGTGGAATTGAGGGAGAAGTATGGAACGGAGCTCATCGAGGAGCCTGAGTACACCATGGCCATTTGATCAGTAGAGTGTTTGCCGACGTTCATAAGATGTAATGACGTAGATTTTGTACACCAGTGGAATTTATCAGGATAGGATCTCCTGTTCTACTCCCACACTTTCTGAAAGTCGTAATTTGGTCGTAATCTGAGAGCCCGAGTTGAGCCCGAGCCAAGTTGGTCTGGTGAGGTTGAGTCGCGTCGCTACCGGAATTCGGAACTTGGCTCCGTCAGCGTCAGTCGCTGCTCCTCCCAATCGTCCATCCAACGTCCGTTTCGCTTCCATCTTTCTGCTTCTTCTCAACACGTCCTGTGCTAGTCCGCCTAACATGGTCTCCTACACCGGCCTGTCTTTCAAGTTGCTGTTTCTCGTACATTCCCGCTGCCAAAGCGAAGCTTGAAATTATGAAAAACTAGTCGCGTTAGACGAACACTGGAGCTGTTGTAGTAGGAACATTCTGGTGAGTATTGCATCGCTCGTAGCATTAGCTATCTCTCTATTGACTCTTTCTTCTCCTTGTTTGCTTCTCAGAAAGTCGCCAGCGACATAGCCCTTATCCTTCAAGAAGGTCTCGCTTCGGACATACGCAGGGATGGACAGTGCGTCGCACGAGGGTTTAGGCGAGTAATCCCAGTCGTCTAGCTTTCCTATTGAGATTGGAATTAACATCGTTTAGGCTCTTCCCGCATGAGGACGACAACTGTGCACTAGGTTCATGGCAACGATGGGACAGTACCCGTAATCTCACCTCAGACTCGACACCATCCCGCATCTCAGCTTGCTGCGGCACCCTCATCTTCAAGATACGCATACGTTGTTTTCTCTTCTCGACACACAGTGGGATAGCTATCATCAGGTGTCTCACCCTGGTCGCAGCCATTCGCAGTTCCCGCTGTCAGTAATTCGATACCCTCTCTGGAACAATTACACGAAAACTTGTCGTTGCTGGAGTAGGAGTGGAGTAGGAGGACTGCCCGCAAGTCTGGGCGAACATCTTTCCAATCGCATGCTTTTTGCAAACGAGCCGAGAGACGTGGCTATCAGGAACGTCCCGCGTGCTCAAAGGCCAATCACCCGCCCCAACTTCGAGAACCTTGTTACATGCACCATCCATAGCAGGGAAGCGTTGCCATTGTCCTGATAGTGGCATTAGAAGGGGCGCGATCCACTGCCTTTGTCCAATAATACTTGACGATCTTCGGTCTAGGCTGCAAAAACCGTATTCCAGTCTATTCTGACACAGTTTATCATCCGCAAAATTACTGGTTTACGCCTTCACCTTCTCTCATTCTTCTCGCTGCGCCCTCGAGTTCCTATCGCTTCAGGAATTCGCCCTCTTCCACTTGCCTCCGAGTCCCGCAGTACGAGCAGATAGCGAACATAAAGCTTTTCTCGACGTTTCGACATCTCTTATTCGCGGGTCACCCTTCGGGCCACTAATTTGTATCGCAAACTTCCATCCGCGAAGTGCGCTGTCTTACTCGTCAATTACGGTCGCGACATATGACGTTCACAATCAATACGAAGTCCTGTATAATCCCTTTCGCGATGCGTTCGCAATGGGACAGCAAGCCTTATGCGTCCCTTCTTTTTATGTTCCATCCAACGGCGGTGACAGGAGAGCCTCGGTTGCCGACCTCAGCTTTTGGAACGTGCGGCGAAATTCTCCAGAGCCATCAGTCAACTAAGTGTCTTACATTAGTACCAGTCGCGGGAGACTTGTCGATGAAAACGCCAGCTTAGAACTCGACGGACTCCAATAATTACCGCCCCCAATGCTCATCGCCGTCACCGACGCCTGCAGCCTCCCCAATTTTCACTACTCTGGACAATGTTACGATTCAATGGCGTTGTCACGGTCATCCGCGATGCCGCGCCTGCGGGACGGGGCTGCAGCCTACGGCAATATGAACAACTCAAATTCATGAACAAGGCCCCATAAAATACTACTGAGCACGCTTCGGATTTTCGACCTCTGGAGTTGACAACTGCGGAGGGCTTGATACTCCACTATTAAAGAAAGGTCCGCGCAAGCGATATGGAGGTCGTTGAGCGCACTATCCTTTAGAGAACGCGGAGCACGGCCATAGCTGGGCTTAGGTGTGAGAGTGAGGAGATGAACTGGTCGAAGGTCCTGATGATGGAGCTCTTGTGTCTTCAGATGTTGGTACGTGTCCATCGCTCGATATTCTTATGGCACATACTAATTAGAATATACAGGCCTGACAAACGCGGCGAGGAGAATCATATGCATGTTTCATTTCATACTCTCGTACGATACCCTAGTACCCAATCAAATTCGCGTGGTTAACAAGTCTGGGCGGACGCGGCTGATGATATTCGTTGCTTTGCCACAAACTGAGTCGTGTAAAGTGTGGGCGTCCACATGGAGGTCTGAGTAATTTCGCCGACCGCCATGAAAGATAGGTGTACCTCCCTCATTTTCCTCTGATGGTAACGAGTTAGTCATAGGGAAGGTTGGCGGCATGAGTTGGACTTACTGAATGCCTTGGGCTGCCGGACTCGAGTTGAATATCTGATTATAAATAATTGAAGTCGTTCGGAACACGTCCCGCCGTTATTCTGGCACCCAATGCTCATCACCGGTCTCAACAAAACATACCACGAACTGCCTCGCTTCTCACTCACGAAGAGCAAATAAATCGCTATAACAATGGAACTACTCGCAGCTCAGGGCTTTTGGAGCTTTTCGCGCGATGAAGAAGTACCACGAAGGAATCAGCACCATGGGTTGACCATGGGCCAAGTTCGCTCGCTCGAGGTCTAGCAAGATGAACGGGGGGACTCGGTAAGGTTTTACCTAACTTCGTAAGCTTCTATCTAACATGCGTATCCTTTTCCTCTTCGTTAGCTTCGCTCAGGCAGAGCATTCGGCGTTTGACCCATCGCATCTCATGGATGCACTCTTTGGTCCTCCGCAAGCCTCGCAATTGCGCAAGACATTCATAGAAATGTAATCGTGGTCAACTCGGGCGTTCTGGTAAGTGGAATCGCTCCTTTAGCAAGCTGTTGATATTTACCTAGCCAAAAATTAGTTCTTGAACTCTAGCTTCCGTGTTTTATGTCGACAACCTTAGCGGTACCGACCCAAGCCTCGACTGAAGAAAACACGGTTTCATTCCCCTTCCATTTGCCTTCCATTGCCATCCCCGAGCTGCCATGTTCCTTGCCGTCAGCTTTCTACTCTCGTTCTCAAGCTCTGCGTGTATGTACACGCCTGCTTGTACGGCGAAAGAGCGACACAACTTGATTCGCGTATCATCCGGCCGTTAGATCTTCTCCACCCCCGTGTCGTGGACTATTCAGCAAATTTACCTTCAAACGTCGAGAAGAAGCTCCGAAATTCTCGAGCATTCGCGTTATCTGGTGTTATCTCGCCACCAGCACCGTGTTCAATAGACTTGATTGCCAAATCTACAAGACGGTCTCATAATTAGGGATTTATACCAAGCTAAGACCCAGTGCCTTTCCCCCATACAAGGTGTCTATCTTCTGCACAACCTCTCGGACTCTCGGACCCTTGGTTTTAAGTCCCTTCCACTGTACGCCCACGTTTGCTGTAGCCGTCCAGCTTTAGTCGGGGAACCATGTTTCTATCACTCCTTGAACGTCTCACGTTTTAAAGGACCCATAGGTCTTCGCCATACGAGTACTGCGCGCACTCAATCTGCTAGGCCACCTCCAATCCTTGAATCGCTGGCGCGCTGTTGTAATGTCATGTCACGTCGGCAGCTTTCGCGAAACATCTGCGCAGGTTTTTGGCTCCATAGCGGTGGTTTCACTTTCGGATGCTCGAGCCAATCATCGCCGTCTGCCCACGAGGCTCATCCTTATGAACGTTTTGGCTTCACTCAAATTAAAGATCTCCACTGATGTTTTAAACGATGTCGCGAACGACATGCAATACATCCACGCTTCAGTATGGGCCGGGGTGGCTTCTTCCGCATCCACATCCACCTTGAACCGTCCCGTATCCCGGCTGTCGCTTCGATCAAACATAACTGTCGCCGTTCTGGGATACACCGCGTTGACACTGCGTTCATGTCCTTCCACTCTCGACGTCGGATATTCTCCAACGATTCGCTCGCTTCTCAGAGCGGGAATGCCGTCGCGCTGCCTTCTATCAACGATGACATGACCATCGAGCTTATAGATTCCGCGGCCGGACGGCTGACAGGTGTACTTAGAAATGATTTTGCAGCAAGGGATCAACACTAAAGGGTCGACGTTACCGGAGCCTCGACCTGCGTCTCCTCGAGGACATCCTACTCGTCTTCAGGAAGCTCTTCGAAACAGTTGGTTTTCGAGGCCGGACCGAATCAGTCGATGAGTTCGCCAAACCGCCTCAGGTCTAGCAGAACACGTCATAAGTATTCGGAGTATATACAATTACTTTGGGGTGCATTCATGGTTCCTTGAGATTTCTTCCGCTAGAGTACTCATCACATTATCATAGGTTTTGTCTCAATTATAGGTTACAGACTATCGTCCTATGCCGGTGCTACAACGTCTATAATGACTGATTCTGTCTTTCCATCGCAGGTACTGTTGGACACAGTTGCATACATACATGTATGCAACGATCCCCCTGAGCACCGTGAACAGTATGAACCCGGGTGCCTAAGTATTTTTGGGCGTAAGATGGCATGCTGACCTGAACCCTGCGCTTGGCATTCGAGCTAGTTCGACCGAAGTTTGACACCGACTTGACAGCGGAAGGAGATGGTCAAAACTTGGGTGCAGCCCGTTGTCAAGTCGCATCGCGACAGATCGCGACCTCAGGCTGGCGTTTGCTGGCGCAATGAGCATAGATGAGTGAGCCGAGCGAGCGATATGTATCTTTGGGACGCGTTGGGAACATACTTCAGGGTTTCCCAACCCAAGCATTGCAAGTGTGCGTATGAGATCGAGAGCCCGAGGGTAGTGCATGGGGCAAATATTGGGGAAGGACGCGCGCGCGCAACACCTACGTCACTTGCGACCAGCGAATTCGAGGGCATGGCAGATGGCAGAGATAAGAAGTCGGATGCCAGCCAGACCGCGACGGTGACTGATCGGGACCGCGAACCAGCATCAAGTTGAACCGCAGCCAGTACCTTTTCACTGGTCCAACGTTTCAGCGCCATCCATCTTCCTCCTCTCCTTGCCGTCGAGCCCCACGACTACAAAAGCATTTCCAGCCAGTTAGAGCCATGGCCTCAGTCCCACACACGGAGATCAAGCGCATCTGCTGCAGTGCGTGTAATCTCAACCTTATCAGGCAACGCGTCGAGCTAACCACGGTTCGTGACCTTCAGTCGGCGCGGGCTATGTTGGTGAGCTGCCCTCTTCACACTATCCTTGACCTCGAACTTGACTCCATCGCGCCCAGGTGGACCGACATGCTCCGTCATTGCCCTCAAGTGCCCCCACATCATCGTCACTATCGTCGACCTGAACCCTGCCCGTATCGCCGCATGGAATTCGGAGGACTTTGCCCTGCCCATCTATGAACCTGGTCTAGAAGACGTCGTCCGCCAGACGCGTGGACGCAATCTCTTCTTCTCCACCGAGGTTGACAAGGCCGTCCAGGAGGCAGACCTCATCTTCGTAAGCGTCAACACGCCCACGAAGACGTCAGGAGTTGGAGCAGGCTACGCTGCCGACCTCAAGTACGTCGTCCGTCTTCCATCCCGCCCTCCGAGATGTCTAATCCTTAACCCCTCTTTCCCCAGCTATGTCGAGTCGGCCACGCGTCACATCGCCCAGGTCGCCACTTCTTCCAAGATTGTCGTCGAGAAGTCCACTGTTCCCTGCCGCACGGCGTCCTCTATGCGCACTATCCTCGAATCCAACTCCCGCCCTGGATGCCACTTCGACATCCTCTCCAATCCCGAATTCCTCGCGGAAGGAACCGCTATCGCCGACCTTTACAACCCGGACCGTGTTCTCATTGGAGCACTCGACACCCCCGAGGGCGCAGCAGCGTGCGCAGCTCTTTCGAGTGTCTATGCCAACTGGGTCCCGTACGTACTCACCCGCATTGCATATATGCGTCTAGATTAGCTGATCATGATTACTTTGCAGTAAGGAACGTATCCTCAACGTCGGCCTCTGGTCCTCCGAACTCTCCAAGCTCGCCGCCAACGCACTCCTCGCCCAGCGTATCTCCTCCATCAACGCCCTCTCCGCCATCTGCGAGACCACCGGCGCTGACGTTCGCGAAGTCGCACACGCCGTCGGCCTCGACTCGCGTATCGGTTCCAAGTTCCTACGTGCCAGTGTTGGCTTCGGCGGCTCGTGTTTCCAGAAGGACATTCTCAATCTCGTCTATCTCTCGGAGAGTCTGCATCTCCCCGAGGTCGCGAAGTACTGGCGCTCAGTCGTGGATATGAACGAGTGGCAGAAGCTGCGGTTCGCGAAGACGGTTGTGGACAATTTATTCGGAACTATTACGAACAAGGTGTATATTCTTCATTATCTTCGCTACTGTGATATTCGCTTGAACTATTTGCTCATACATTCGATGTTATTCTAGCGTATCGCTGTGCTCGGATTTGCTTTCAAGGCCGACACCGGCGACACTCGCGAGTCGCCAGCCATTACGCTCGTAAAGTCTTTCGTCGCCGAGCGCGCCAAGGTCGCCGTCTACGACCCTCAGGTGTCTCATGATCAGATTTGGATGGATATGCAGTCGGCCTGCTCTACGCCCAAACAAGAGCGTAAGTTTCCTATCATGGCATACAGTCTCCGTCATTAACTAATTCGTCATTCTTCTGAAGTCTCCAAGCAGCTCACGCTGCACACCGACGCGCAGAGCACCTTCGCGGGCGCCAGCGCCATTGTCGTCGTCACCGAGTGGGCCGAGTTTGCCTCGCCGAACTTTGACTGGGAGGGCGCATTCGCGGCGATGACCAAGCCCGCGTTCGTGTTCGATGGTCGTGGCATTGTGAACGGCGCCCGTTTGAGGGAAATTGGATTCAAGGTTTGTTTATTCTACGGCCTTCTTATATTACTTTCGCGATGGGCTGACGTTGAATTTCATTAGGTTGTTACTATTGGACGGGGCGAGAACTTGTAGTTGTCCGTGTCGTCGCTCGGACGTTGGGAGGTTATACGTTTTAATTTTGTTAATAAAGTGAGTAGGAGTTTTGTGTTTCTTCAAAAAGCTGGGGCTGATCTTCGATCTCAGCAGGTAGATTCGCAGTAACGAGAATTATATGTACATGGTCCTGTACAATATCGGTGGCAAGATACCTATTTGAAATAGATGGCCGCATCGTATCGGCATGTTGTACGGATGTTTGGGATTGATCTGGATTTCACTTGAGGATAATTCTAGACAAGCGACGCACCGAAGGAAGGTCAAGAAGCAAATCCAAGTTATCCATGAACGTCTCCCGCCGCCGCTTCCAGCTCTTCGCAGAGTGCCTTCCTTTGGATCACGCCACCTGTCCCTACCAATGCTACACATTGGGCATACTCATCTCAACAAGTCTCTCGTGCATTGGCCCTAAGAACTCCCGCACCTGCGTGCCATGCAGCTCGGCTCTATTAACTGTCTTCCGTATTCTGTGTTTTTCAAATTATGTTCATGAATGCCATGGGATGTTAATGGACCTGCGATGCCGTCGACTATGTTCCTCCCCCGTTCTTAGAATCCAAGTCTCCGCCGCGCAGTGAGCATAGCTTCTATCATAATCTATGTCGGGCAGCAGATATGCTTCCTGGCGGAAAAACGGCTCGGAGAACGACCGATTTTATCGGCGAAAGGAGAGCAGGACCTGCTTGGTGTCACTGCGATGGATGGATGAAGAAAAAGAACGTCGCTACTACTTAGTCCTAGTCTTGAAGTTGACCTGCGAGAGTATGCGCGACGCTTGGCTTCCCCGACCCCGATTCTCAAAGAGCCATATCACCTTCCCTTCTCCCTTCCGGTTCATATCCTTGTAGAGCTCTTCAAGGAGCTGAACCAGCAGACATCGAGAGAATGATCGAAGTTCGTTGGTGTTGTACTCCGCCTCCCCGAAGCTATGGCGTCGCTTAGCAATTCCTAGAATTCGTCATGAGAGCGATCGTCGTAATCTGGAGTTAGGAAACTTGTTACAAACGTTTTGCCAGATAGCAGGCATACAAGAGGCACCGACTTGTCTGGACATGGTGGTCGATGGAGAACCAAGAGGTGATCGTCGTACTTGCTGTTGCAGCAACATATGGAGGCAGGCCACGCCCATAGCACGACGCTAAAGTGTCTCAAGGACCTATTCAATGTCTGGGCAGGCACGACTGCAACGATAAAGGGTTCGAAGGTTATCAATGCATTACCCGCCACTGAAATTCTCTCAATTGACGGATTGTCAGGCAGTGGATGCGTCGAATGTTGGCCTTAGTTGTTTCGTTGAGTATAATATAGTATCTGAAAATTTGTGATATTGCTATGAAACCGCGACAAGCGCAAGTATGAAGAGATGAGAGTTGAAAAGGGGATTGACACGGGGCGAATAGATGAGCACCAGAAAATAGAGTTCAGAATGCATTCATGAAAGATCCTACAAAGATGTATCATCGGACTCTTCGACCAGCTCAGTCCCCTGCTCTTTCAGCTTCGCCCATTTCCCCATCTGCACGTTCCGACAGTCCTTGAATATGAGCTTCTTCACCGGGTATCCATTTCCCCCTCGCGTGCTGAGGGCGAATCTGAGCGACGGGATCTCCTCTTTCTGATAATGCCTTCCGCTGAAATCAATCCCTTGTAGCGTGATCGTCTCGAGCTCGGGGCCGACGAGCCCGCCAGCAGCAGAGCTTATCATGAAACTATCCCTACGCGACTCCGCAGGGTTCAGCACGACAGAGCGCACCGCTTGCATGCTCTGGATAAGCATACCCACAACGGGCGAGTTGCCAAGGTCGTTGATCGTGACGTGCCGGACAGTGTAAATGAAAGGGGCTCGTTCAAGGACGGAGACGAAGGGGCCAACCAAGATGGCGGGGCAGATGTACGTCAGTTCAGCGACGTGCGGTGTCTCTGGAGGCATTTGGCCAGGCCTCCAGAACGTTGTGGTGGTGTAGAGAGCATTATTTTTGATGCCGATGGAGAACTCAGTGTAGCAACTACTCGGCAAAGAATCACGACGGGGCTTTGAAAGGCCTCGCGCAGACGCATAGAAGGCTCGTACAGCCGAGATCACGTCCGGACCCAAAACATGTGCGAGGGGCCCATACAGCTGGATATAGTCGTTGAAAACGTCCTGGCCTGCGCACACAACGGAAATATGCTCGAGGGTAGGAGGGGTACGATGATTGGATAAAAAGACCAGGTAACTGTCAACCGAGCTCGTGATTGAGAGGCGACGGAGGGTGGTCGGCAAGTTAACCTGATTATCGACTGCTACGATCTCGTCAGGGAGAGTGTGACAAAGAGTAAGCTCCTCGAGAGCCGCGAATTGCTGGATGCACGCGGCGAGCTGGGCACATGTGGGGAGGGGATGGAGATCACTGTCGGGCTGGTAGATAGTCAGGCGTTTCAGCCTTGACGGGAAGATGGGCTGAGCGGCCCAGTCGGGGCAGCTGCAGTAGAAATGCAGGTTCTCCAGCTCGCGCGCTTTCTGAGAGACTAAATTTAAGGGAATAGCCAGCGATTCTGGATGGTCCGATGCACCGATAAACGATACGCTCCGAAGGGCAGGAGCGTCGTCCATGCGCGATAAAATGCGCTCGATAATCTCTCCTTCTGAGTCCGCGCGTATTGTTAGCTCTTGAGCTCGCGGAATGCTACGGATAAGGTCTTCTTCAAGGTCATCGCTGAGATCCTTGCATGTGATGTGGATGGTTAATGGTGCCTCCCCAGACCTGAGAAACATTTCTTTCATCCACGGCCGACGATCTGAGGTAATGTTGCTCCATAGCTCATGGTGCGTGAGGGCGGCGAAGCGCCAGTGGCGGCATACATGGGCGATTGGGATCCAAGAGAGGCATAGAGCGCGGCATTGATGAGGCCGGACACCTTTACGCTCGCTCGAGGTCAGGACGTGGGCTTGCTGCGAGCATGTCTTGAAGATAAAGGCCAAGATTTCGGCTGGGATGGATGAAGCTTTGGAAGATGAGGGGCTGTCTGTGTCAAATGGAGCGGCGGAAAGTGCGTTTTGTTCAGCTGCAGCCTGGGTCGCCGTCACCATCGTTGCGTAATGATTGAAGAGCTTGCAACTTGAAGGCGTGTATAAGGTCAAATAACAAAGAAGGAATGTCGATGACACTCGCTTTAGACGCTAGTGCTGCTCTCCCTTATATAAAGCTCAATCGGCTTATTGAGGAAAAGGCGTTGTGTTATTGTTCTCCTCGGCTGAATATAGGACTGACAACTATCAGCTGGGTCAGATGTCGCTAGAATGAGCGAGAGCTTTACCCACAATACAACATCGCGAGCCGGTTAAGAACGAGGCCAATCCCCAGTCGCGATGAATCTTCTCAAGGATTCATGAACGCAATGCAGTGGTCCAGGGTACGATTGAAGACGGTTGGGAGGAGGTTGTTTATCCTAACGTGGGCGCGAAGTTTACAAGGCACGCCTGGAGAAGGATATCGAACCATGAATGAGTATCTGGATGCGGATGTTGGCAAGCAATGAGCTGGAAAGTGAGAGAGTGAGGTATCTGGAGCGCGCGGAAGACATGGCAGGAAAGACAAAGAGCTCGACTCCCAAATGCTTGCCGGTACCACGAGTCCGCGATCGTGACGCGAGTCGGACCCCTATGTATGACACGACGTCGGTGAGAGCGTCGGCAGGGCTTGCGGCGGGGTGTGCACATCTCCCATGAAGATGGGCCAGTGCAAGTAACGAGAGATGATGTTGTACAGGTTTTGCAGGGAATACATGAGGTCAATTGTACAAGATGTCATTAATTCTTCATAGTGTACGATGGTCGTACTGCTCGCAATCGTCGATTCTAAACAAGCACGTTCGAGATGTTATGGCCACTGCTGATGCAGGTTCGATAACTGCAGCAAGTAAAATAGTCTATTTATTTCCTCTAAATATCGAAACCATGTCGAGTTATCAATCGTAATTATCCCAGTCAAAAGTCGACAGCCCTCATAGCAAACCCTTGCGACGCCAATAATCAAGCCACCTCTGCACACTATCCGCTCCAAGCGGCTCGTGCCCAACATCCGCCAGCACAGGGCTCGCCTTGAGCTGCGTGCAGTCGAGCTTGGCAAAGCCCATAGCATCTCCCGCCGCTTTATCCAACGCGAGACTCTGGAAGAACGTGACGAGCCGCAAAGCCCGAAGGTTTGACACGTCTGAGTTGCTTTGAGTCTCGGCGCTGTTGCTCGCCTGGTCGTGCAACGCCTCGAGCTTGGATAACCACTCCTTGTACGGCACCATGGGGACGTTCAGCGCCGACGCGAACGGCGCCGCGAGGCTGGAGAATGGTACGGGCTTGGGGTGGATGAGATGAACGATACCGCTCCGAGGGCGATAGGTGGACCTGGCGAGCTTGACGAGGAGGGACGCAGCGACGGATGTCGGAATCCATGATACAGGCTGTTTGGGGTACACATGCGATTAGCAAGGCTTAACGCGTTTCGATTAGGATCGAGAGCCGTAACGCGTACCTTGTCCTCTGACGGGAAGCATCCCGTCGCCTTGGCACTTTGAACGAGGGCGGGGAACCACTCCTTCGTGTTCCAGCTACCGGTCTCTGCTCCTCCGCATAACTGGCCCACTCGGACGATGAGGCTGCTGAAAGAAGGGACTTGGGCGGCCACACGCTGGATTATCTGCTCTGAGATCCATTTCGACTCTGCATATCCGTTGCTCGCTGCAATTTCTGCGCCAACAGGGGCTTCAGGAAGAGCCGTCTTTCCTTGTACGTCTGATAGAATAAATTGTTTAAGAATGCAGATAGGCCAGGTGCAAGAATTAAACTTACTTTGGAAGACGCCAATGGAGCTCGTGAAAACGAACTTCGCGGGTGTTGCATGCGGCGAGCTGAGGGAGAAATTGACCAAGCGCCGAATAGATCGGAGGTTCTCGTCGAAGGCCTCGACTCGAAGATTGAAGTTGACTGTCCAGGCTGGGAGCAACTTTAGTACATGCAATCGATTCTGAGAACCAAAGATTACATACCGTTATGCACGATATGGGTGACACTTTCTGCGATCTATTGAAAGCAGTGGTCAGGTTAAATCAATATGACAAGCATAAAGTAGAGAAACAAACCTCGATGTATGCCGCCTCGCCAACACCAAAGTTCTCGCTGAGAATATCTCCCTCCAAAAGCCTCAGCTTTTCTGTCTTGAGAAGCGCCGCGTCCAAATCCCACTCTTCAAAGGCCTGCGCCTGCCGTGCTTCAATCGCCTGACCACCCGAGCTTAGGCGGTTCAGCGCATATATGCATGTCACAGTAGGTTCCTCGAGCAAAGCCACCAGAATTTGACTCCCGAGCGTTCCAGTCGTGCCTGTTACAAGCACGACCATCCCATCGGGCTGCGAAGACGAACGCGGCTGGTGCACCGGCAAAGCCTCGGCGAGGTACTTGTCGACCAAGGATTCCATTAACGCGGCACGCTGCCTGAGGTCAATATTATTCTCAGTGCCATCTCCGCATACAAAGTTGACGACAAAGGTAGAAAGGGCCGATATAGACGTGTTCATGTAGACCACGTTCTCCTTGATCGAGCGCGTGTCGATGTCCGAGGAGTCGCGCAGAGCGCGCAGAATAGAGTTTCGGATGTAGGTAGCTTGCAAACTTTCGGTGAATTAGTCTAGTCTCGGTAAAGTTAGCAGTGCAAAGACGCCTACCTATCGCAGCCGTGCTGGAAAAGATCCGCCTCATCGGGGACCTCTTTTCCAAGTACAGAGTACACGATCTTCCTTACGAATGCCAGTGTCTGCGCCTGGCCCCACTCGGCGGGCGGTGGGATGCTGCTCTGGGTGCTGTCATGTGCGGCGGCATACGCCTTCTCGATCTCCTCCTCGTACGTGTCAATGATAGCCTGACGCCGAGCCGTGCTCTTGGCCGTGTAAGTGAACGGCTTTGAGGGGCTTGCTACAATAATCATCTAGGAGATCGTCAGCACGAGCTAGGTTGAAACATGCGTTCAGAACTACCTCTTTGAAAAGGCGTGAGTGTTGTGGGGCGTAAGCGTTCATAGCTTCAACCGTCGGCCTGCGCGAAAAGCGTCAGTCGAAGGTAGCGTTACATTATAAAGATTAAGATGTACCATATCACGTTACGGAACTCGGCCAGCTTGACTTCGTCCGTGGGGTCAAAGCTTGCATTCGGCGTAGGATCGATGATGACGCCAGCCTGGAATTTTCCACGACCAAACATGACAGATGACATGACATGTTCGTCCTGGTTCAAGATGTTTTCTGAAAATATGCGTGTTGAGCGAGGCAATTACTCGTTCTTTGAGCTGCGCTTACCGAGCGGTCCTGGATTTGTCTATGGCGACCATGAGTCGTAACCACTGAATGGCAAGGGTAGAACAAACCTTCTCGCCTGTATTGTGCATGATTTGGTCATCCGTCCGGCCATAGATTCTCCAATAACCTGGTCTGGTAGGGTGAGGTGTGATAAGGTCGGACGTCGCATACGCGGGTATTCCGTTCGCTTTCGTGTTCAACACGTGAGGCTCGCATAATTCGTTCGTCTAATAGCCGCCAGTACATTGAGAAAGAACTATGGATTCGGTAATGTACGCGACTTACCACGATGAGAAGCTCAAAAGTGTTATTACCGCAGGGAACGAATTCGGGCGTGATGAGCTTGGGGAAGGTGAAGTAGTTCCAGTCGTAGTCCGCAGTAGCTGGGAGGAGGTCAGGCAATTCAGACGTGAGGGTTGAAGCGATTTGCTTACCAGGTATAATTGGACTAATGATGCCAACCTCGGTCCTGGAAAGTCGTCAGGTAATGCTACGAACTGAGACCGTTCAACTTACATGCCGTATAATATAAATATGCTGACACCTTGCGACGTCAAGTAGTCGCCCAACTCTTTGTTAAGAGGACCTCCGCCAAAGAGCTGCAGACGTTCAGTAAGCGTGACAAAGAAAACAGAGCGGGTTTATTCCTTACGACACCGGATCTTGAAGCAAGCCATTTGACATATTCAGAGTTCCCAGCCCATTGCTGAAGCGAGAGCTTAGTTCATGAACTTGGCTCTCCGAAGATACTTACCTCTATGATTGAAGGCACGCAGAAGATAACATCACTGTCGGTTGCCTTGGCCGCAACGTACAAGTTATCCGGAGTTGGGAGAGTGGACGGGAACGCCGGTTCGAAAGCGCTGATGACAATACCGCAAGCCGCCTATGATTGCGAGAACATCAGCCAGTGAAAGTTTACTGACACCAAGAACACTTACCGCCCAGCACACTTGGAGAACACCCATGCCATGGAACATTGGCATGGTATGCAGAGAGAAAACAACGCCAGTGAGATCGCGTCCACCAAAGAAGGGGATAAGCTGCATCTGGGTGAAGTGGAAGTTGGTCCAGGGGACGGGCTTTGGGAATGCCGTGGAGCCGGAAGAATGCAGGCAGAGGGTGTGAGCGTCAGGGCCAGCGCTCACGTAGGGAGCGACATCCGGCAGGTTCTTGGAAGCGTCCGATGGGGCGTAGACCTCGTCGAACTGCAGCATAGGTAGTGCTTCAGGCGGAGTGACCTGAGGGTACTTTTCCCGCGTGATATCCAACGCCTGCTGAATGAGATCTTGCATGCTCTTCTCCCGGCCCACCAGAACGTAGTCAATCTTCGCGCGTTCGATAAGATGAGCGACGGCCAGCGGGGAGTTTCTCGGCGAGATGGGGAAGGGGATGAAATTACAACGCAGACAGCTCAGGAGGTTCATGGCGTATGGGATGACATCTAATCAAGAGACAACGTATGAAGGATCAGAACTCTGAGAGACTATGCTACTGCACCACGCACCTGAGATAGCCAAAATGCCAACTACTGGGCGTGGATTCTTGCTGACTGTGCTGATCCGATGTTGAAGGATCTTACAGCCAGTCAAGACGGCGGCATTGGCCTCTGCCCAGCAGATCGTTCGAGAGCCTCCACTTTCGAGCGGGAACTTGAACAGGGGGTGACCGGGGCTATGGGCAGCGTTCCATTCGACGACTTCGGCGACAGTGAGAGAGCCATCGAGGGGGGGCACCTGAAATGTCTCTGACGCGAGAGCTTGCGTCTTGGGGTGAACTGGAAGAAGTTTGGTGGAGGCCATGCGGTCTTGTTCGCTAACAAGGATGAGCTACATTGACTTAGGGTGACATTACCGGCACATACCTATTCTTGGCAGTACTCAGCTCTATGCGTGCTTTCTCGACCTACTTATCACAAAATCAAAACTAAGGGAACTGACACGGACTGAAGGTCGTGGCTGTTAGCCTCTGAGAAAAGCCGGCTAAGTCAAGAGACGTGTAGAGTCCGGGGTTTGGAGTTCGCTAACCTTGGTTACATATCTCCCTCCCAACGAGGGGCCCTTTGCATCCGAAGCTAAAAATCATCGCCGTGTAAGACGGCGTATCGTATTTGCTGATGAGCCTCAACCAAGAACAAAGTTTGGACAGAAGTTTATGTTTTGATGGCGCAGAAAAAAGACATGCACGCGTGGTGGAAGGTAGACCGCTGGCTGACAGCGGGTGAAGTCACAGCCGCGTTCCTATAATTGATCTTCCAGCCGGGTCGCCCGAACTTCTGACTAGTGCTACCGTGATGGAAAGGATTGGATCTGGAGAGAGAGAAAATGACATTGAGGAGCATTGAGGTGGAGATGGAGATCTCCAAGATAGTACTGTTCGTCACACCGACAGCGCACACAACTCGGCTATCACCCAAGCTTCACACGCTTGGCCGGCGGCAAAACCCCTCAGCCACCTGACTCTGCTTTGGGCGTAAATTCGCTCAAGCACGTCGACTGCCTGTTCTGAACGACGTTCTGGCCAGTATCTACTCGTCTTTTGGCCACCCTTCTGTCTTGCAGTGTGTACACACGCTTCTTCCCTCCGATGAAACCCGATCAGAAAGCAACAACGCAAGCTGCTCGTTGCTTTGTGCGCGCTTCGTTTGACGTCACATCGGGTGAACTGTAAGTTAGGCTCACTCAACGGTAGATTTATGGGGGACTACCGCCGGCGTGACAACTTGACCATTGATACCTGGGCAGGAATGATATGGCAATATGACAAAAAAGTTCTCCATGGGATTTTCGGACCGCGAAGTCTACGATCTTGATGATCTAGCCCACACAACGCTGTTACCTGAACCACTCCGCTCCTCCGGTTGATCGCTCAAATGGGGATTTTTCACCATCTTAGCAAAGTACAAGTTGCCTTCATAAGTTTTAACGTCTCATGCCCCATATTCTAACCGACTTTTCCGCCCACTCTCTACCCCCTCTGCTATCTACGCTCCAGCCATGCCTGGTCCCGACACCACGGTCCCTCTCGTTTCGGTCAATCTTGCCACAGTCTGCATCGAGAGCTTTCTCTATGGCATTTTCTTTGTCCTCACCGTCTCTTCTGTCTACCTTTTGATTTGGCGATCGCGCATGAGCAACGGAGGCCACAGTCGCTCGGCTGTCTTCACGTCTCCTATGTTCGTGGCTGCGATAATGCTGTTTGTGCTAATCACGGGAGTAAGTGCTTCACACATGATCCTCAGTACGACATGCTGACTCGTGCTTCAGCACTGGATTTGTACAGTCCTACGTTTGTTCCAAGCCTTCGTTATGCAAGATCCATCACAGGCCTTACCATTCTACGCCGACCTGTCACAGAACAGCGAGGTCATCAAAACGGCGTTTTTGATGTCGTCGCTGGTCGTAGGAGACGTTATGATGGTCCGTGCCGCTGTGCTGTTCTAAAACATGATTCTCATCTACGCTTAGATATATCGCTTGTGGACTATATGGAATAGAAACTACAAGATCATCATCTTCCCGTGTTTAACACTAGTAGGTCTCACCGGTACGTCGTAAACTATCTTCGTGCTGTCATTTGCTGATATTATTCAGTGTGCGGTGCTGGTATCGTATACCAGTTCACGGTGTTTACCCCGGGAGAGAGCGTTTTCCTCTCCGCTGCTGGGCGATGGATTACGAGCGACTGTGTCTTCACGCTCGTGTACGCACTGTCTCCTCTGGATCATTTACCCAATGTTATGACTAACCTATCTTTACAGCACGAACGTCTACAGTACGGGTTTCATTGCCTACAGGGTATGGTCGATCAGCCACAGGTCCAAGTCGGTTAGCGGTGTCCACCTGATGGTACGTCTTTAAATCTAGACTTTTCGGGCTTGTCAATTGATCAGCCCCTTGTAGCCTGTACTTGCGACTTTCGTCGAGAGTGCAGCCATGTATACGTGAGTCTTTTGATCTCGGCGCTGTACGGACTTGCTGACTCAGATGGCGATCAGGTCATGGACGATCTTCTTTTTTGGCAGCTATCAGTCCGGCTCCAATATGCAGTTTCTTGCCGTTGATGGCTGGGCAGCGATGGCGGGTATATCGTACATGCTCATCAACGTGCGAGTCGGCCTTGGATGGGCGAGCAACGGCGTGGTCAGTCAGGGCAGAGCTCTGTCGACCACGTCTCAGACCTTCGACCACCAGCGTGGTACGCAGCTTGCCGTTCGTGTGACTACGGTTGTTCGTGATGACGGCGCGTACGAGCTTGGGCACAAAAGGAACGATGCCGGTTTGGATTCGCAGGAGTTCTGACCGAGGTCTTTCACATCGTAATACACGCACTCGTTTGAATTTTCTTCACTTTCGCATTACTTATTCTATATATCGCATGTAACTATGACGTACGTCTTATCGACGGGGTTTAGTGTAAGACTTATGGAGGCCCTTATCCCCGATCATGACTGCAGGGTGTACCGGCGTATCATGCTTGCGAACAATGCAACGTCGAGACGACTGACTCAGAGATGGGGATGCAAAGTGGCCAGCGAATCAGATGACATCAGCGGCCGCAGCTGGAGCTAGCTGGAGGCAGCTGGAGTCTGCTGGAGTGGACACGTCGTCCAGAGATTCACGCCATCAAAGGCCATCACCGACAAAAGAAGCGCTAAGCGAGGAACAGCGCGATCTTGCACGACACGCTTCTGAGAGGCTCGCACGATCATGATCGCAGGTTCCATGATCAATGATCGCCCGGACTCCGGAGTCCGGAGGCATCATAGTAGATGCCACGCATGTGACAGGCTGACGGGCCTCACCGCGCGCTGGAGGGGATAGATCATAGGGGCACCGGGGACGAGCTACGAATACCTTTAGCCGGTGCCGCTCGGCTAGCTCGCGGCAGGGTCAAATATTGTGCCCACTTCATGTTTCCTTCAAAGAAATTGATATTGGCGAGCAAGTTGGGCAAGTGCACTGGATACAGTCCAAGACTGTATGGGCGCATCATGACTGCCAATCGTTGCAACTGAGCTGTTCGATGAGCTTCCCGATTGGACCCTAATTTAGTTCTAGGCAAACAGTTTGGATGTGCACCATGTTACCAGGAGAAACCGTCTGTCGGACATGCCTGTTCTCGAAGGCTGGAATCTACTGGAATGGAGCAAAAGGGACTGTCCGGACTTCGGACTCGTACCGCGATCTTCCGAAGTCATGCAAACTCATGCCAACCTTACTTACCGCGGTACAGTATGTGTCAGATGAGGGTGCACCCTGTCACAACAAAGAAGATCAACTGTCAACTCAATGCTATTCTGGGATACGGATATGAACGCCCATGAACAACGCCCAAGCAGACAGCCAGTCTGTTGATTCTCATGCATAAGAACCAACACGGTATTTGTCACCATGGCGTGCGTGAGACAAGTCAATGCAAGAAGACCTAATGCCCTGGCAAGTCAGAATGTTATTTTGGACATCCAGTTGAAACACTGGCGGCAAATCGCGACTTCACTGTGTCATGGTAATTGGTGTACAAGGGTGTACAGGGCTCTGTGCGGTATGCTAGGAATTTGTTTTTACGACCTTCTAAGGTGATTGATCAGATCGATCAGAGCCTTAGGTTGAACATAAGTAATCAGAATTCCAGAAGCCAAATCCTTTACGGGAAAGCTAGTGACTGCTTCTTACCCCTGCAACCGAAAAATAGACACGGGAGTCGTAAAAAAATGCTCAGGCAACCATGAGATTTTAGTAGCTTGCTCGCATCCTTAAACCTTATCTGCTTCTTGTACCTGAACTATTCGAGGTCTTGGGGTGTCACATCACCTATTTCCAGTACAGTATGAAGCGACTACCTTCTATGAGAATCAAGGATAAGATGCGAACGTTTGTAATCGTGAGGAGCTCGGGACGAAAGGTCAGAATGGATCAAGGCTACAAAATAAATATTGGTGAGAACCTCCGTAATCGCACGCAGTGCAGCCGCGGGAGGTCAGAATGGATCAGAGCTACATGAGTATCTAGAAACTAAGCAATGAGATAAGATAACTAGCTGAAACAACGCATGGTTGATAGTATTACAGGACCACATCAAACTTTATCAAGAAGTGTGAGGCTCAATCTCAATCGTACACATGCGTACAGCACCGCCCCAGCCAAGAAAGTCGCCGCCGAAAAGTAAATCAACCCGCTATACTGACCATGCTGCCAAGACAAGATTGCGCCGGCGATGGGGCCACCTGCCAGTGCGCTGCGGAAAGGTGGTCAGGACCGACTCCAAACTGCATACGACGAAATATAAAACTCACAAAAGTGAGCAGCCTGTGTATAACATCCCCACCCGAGCTCCAATACGGTCCGGTCGCGAGATCTGTGCGACGCAGGCGACCTGGAATCCGAAGTATGGGCCTGAGAAAAAGCCGTAGAGGACGGAGTAGGTCAATAACATCGATGCGTCGTAGCTTTTAAGCCATAACGTAAAGGAGAGGATGCTCGCGACGACAGTGGAGGGAATGAGAACGTTAAAGCGCCCAAGGTAGTCTGCCATGAGAGAAGGTACAATTCGCCCCAAGAAGCCGCACGCGTTCAAGATCGAGAGCATGTCATAGGCGCGAGGTTGGGGAATAGATATGCTCTCAGCGTATGGGGCGAGATAGTAAAGCGGCACGAAGGCACCTAGACAAACTTCATCACAATTTGCCCAGTTGAGACGATAATATGCCGCTTACCAAGAGTGCACAGAGCACTACCACCGAGTAGAAGAATAAACGTCGCATCCCGGAGCGTGGTCTTGTCGATCCAAGGACCCGGGTCTTTGCGGTCTAGATTACTGCTGACTGTCACCGTCCCAACAATGCCGCATGCCAGGCAGATGAAGCCCGACACACGCACCGCCCATGCAAAACCAAGCTCGTTGAACATACGCTGGAGCATGATCGGGAATATGACGCCGCCAACACTGGACCCAGCCATGACAATTCCGAGCGCTGTCGCCTTGTATTTCTTGAAATGAGTCGCCGTCGCACTTGCGGCGGGAAAGAAACTGGCAAAAATATCAGCCTGTGCTGGGAACGTGCGGAGGAAACAGAGAAGAGATGTGTGGGGGTTGGCGTACTTACAGAAGTGCGAATCCTATTCCGTAGATCAAACCCTGCGCAACGATGAAGTGCCAGTATTCGTAGGAAATCGAAGTCAACATAAGGCTCAGGGTCAATATGAGGCTTCCTGACGAAATGAGCGAAGTGGGCCCGTAGGCATCGAAGAGCCGGCCAACAAGACCACCCTAGAAACGTACTAAGCGGTAAGTTACTGATGAGAGAACCTGAAACGTACGAAGGCGAAGAAGACCCAGAGCTGAAGAGAGCCGATGAGAGAGATTTTGGATGGGGAATAGGACGCAAGCTGATTCTGCGAGTACCACGACTGATAACTCCCAAAGGCGTTTGCTTGGCCGAAGCTCGAGAACATGATGAGAAACGCGCCGACGACGGTTGCGACGCCTCGACGGGTCGACTGGTGGTGCAGCTCCTGCTTCGAATGAGAATCGTCGACCGTAGTACCGCCCTTCACCGACACGGCGTCCTTCTCGATATCACGAGATGCCATGGTTGAGCCTGGGACTCGGGGTAAGGGCGACTGGGTGCTGTTCCTCGAGAGCACATTTAAAATGTATTGAAGTCTGCCAGCCTCACGTCGTTAATGGAAGCACATGTACACTGCCTGGTGGGACTATCAAAGTCAGGGGTAGCTCAGGTTGGCTTTCACACGTAAGCCAGTGCGATCACCGAAGATCAATCAACGCTCAAAATTAGAGTCGGAGTCCGACCGATGGCACGCGGCAGCGCCTCTTCGTGCGCGTGGCAAACTCCGTCGCGTTCGGCGTTAATAAGCGTTAAGTCGTGTGTTTTGGCTTTCCAACTGGGACTCTTGTGTTGATGAGAAAGATGGAGAAGGGGTCTCTCAATGGATCTCAGTGAGTTTTCCAGTGACAAGTATACCTTAGCGCCGATATCATCGCGCATGTGGACGCTGCTTTACCCCCTGTTTCGATGTCGTTGCTACCCGAAACTCTAAGGTTAATTCAGGTCAATTTCACATCTGATCTCGCAATGTGCTGCGACAGTGAGGCTGCGACGCTCGGAACGGGCTCGGCCTCACATTGTCCTCTCCACACCACACGGAGCACTGACAGCTGGGATCATAACTTCCGTTGCATGATCTTGGACCATGATTGCGCTTCGGAACAAAAAAGAAGAAAAAGAAAACCCCAGTAGAATCTCCGTGATCTTAGTGCCCGCGTGGTTTCGCTCGAATGAACTGAGATTGCGGGGCTCCGTCTATTCTCTTTAACCACTCCTCTCTCGAAACGGTTATTCACTCACTTCAGCACTGATATCATTCTGTGCGTTAAGTACCAGGCGACTTAACGCGTTCAGCCACTCTGGGTTCAAATCTTCTGGTATTGTCGCCTCAGCCTCCCCGTCTTCGTCCTCGCCCGACGTAACATGGGCGCCAGCACCGAAGTTGCTCCTATAGCTATCGTAAGTGTGGACTATCCTCGCGGTCGACGGCGTACTTACGGATCGGCAAGGTTGGTATCTCTGCGGAGCTCCCGAGCGGCGAGCACTCGCACAAGAACCTTCGCTTTGAGGACCTCTTTGATTTCCTGGTCGCCAAGAAGCAGGCCTACGAGAAGATACCCTCCAATCGCTTGAACACCAAAGCGTAAGTTTCAACTCACGTCATTGACTTGCGTGTATGCTGACGTCGTCTTCCAGACGCGTCGGGAAAGCGCTAGGTCAGATCTCAACTGAACTCGGCGCGTTCCTGAAGGACATTGAGCTCTTCGACAATGTTGAGTTCGGTATCTCGAACCATGACGTGCGAGCGATGGCCGTCTCAACGCGCAAGTTGCTAGAGCACTCGTTTCTAGCGCTGCTTGACTCGGGCATCGATTATCGAGGGCGAAACGTTGGGTGTTACATGTCGGGTACAGCCTTCGACATTCTTAGCGTAGGAGAACCGGTGAGCAAGGCTTCATCTATGCATTGGCACGTCACGGTTAATGGGGTCCGTGTTAGAACGACTTGGATGCCAGGGGATCTTTCGCAGGCATACCTTGCATGGTAGCCAACAAGGTTTCTTACCATCTCGACCTACGGGGTCCTTCCATACCTCTGGACACCGCATGTAGCTCCAGCTTGACGGCGACACACCTCGCGGTGCAGGCGTTGCGAGCGGGAGAATGCGAGGCGGCCGTCGTTGGAGGTTGCCAGATCAACCTTAGGTAAGTCGTGCCAGCGTTGTTAACGATGATCTGGCCTCATTCTATTGCAGGGTCGCAGACATACTGCAGTATTCGCAGGGATCTGTGCTTTCCCCTGACGGAAAGTCAAAGCCTTTCGACGCGGCGGCGAACGGGTACGTGGATATATGCGCGCTGGTCCCGCACAAACGCTGAAGAGCAATTGAGTAGGTTTTCTCGAGGAGAAGGTGTCGTAAGCATTGTGCTCAAGCCTTACGACAAGGCGGTCCGTGATGGCGACTTTGTGTACGGGAAGGTTCGTCTTTTATCATTATCTCGCAAACTCTCGCTAATCAGATTAGATCCTGGGCACGGGCATCAACTCTTGTGGACTTGAGGGCCCGCCGTATGCGCCCATCGCGAGTATGCAAAAGGAGGCAATGGAGCGAGCGTACGCGAATACAGGCAAGAGCCCCTCGCAGGCTGACTTCGTCGAACTGCATGCTACTGGTGAGTTTACTTCTACATAATATTAGAACAACGACTCACTTGACGAAGGCACTGCCGTTGGCGATCCGGTGGAGGCCAACTGGGCCGGAGAGGCGTTCAAGAGAGATGGGGATCTCCCAATTGGAAGTATTAAGGGGAACTTGGGGTGAGTCTTGAGCGTTCTCGAGAATGAGTCGAGCTCTCATATATGCATGACAATGTAGGCACTTGGAGATTACGGCCTTCTTAGCCTCCCTCTGTAAGGTGATTGCGATGTTCCATCACCGTTCTATCCCTCCCAACGTCGACATACCTACCCTGAATCCGGCTATTCGCTGGGATGCCTTAAGGTTGAAGGTACCGACACGCGCTAGTCCAATCGCGTCTATGTCTCCAGACGGTCAGCTGCTTGTCTCTATCTCTGGGAGCGGTATAGGCGGCGCGAATGGACATGTTGTCGTGCAGAGTATGCCTGCCGCCCAAGGCACGCCGGAGGAGCAGCTTCAAGAACCAGTCGACTACCCGATTCTGTGGATCACCGGAGGGCTGACACCGCGCTCGGCATCTGCTAACAGCGATGCTGTTATGGACGCAATCAAGAGTCAGGGGATTCAGGATCTTAGTGCGATGTCAGCGACGTTAGGCCGCAGGGCACGACAGCTAACCTGGAGATCTTTCGCTATTCAGCATGCTGGAGACGACAAGCTGAAATTCTCGGAGCCGGTTTTAATGCCTCGCGCGAGACCGCCACTCGTTATGGTCTTCTCGGGGCAGGGACCGCAGCATATTAACAGTGAGTCGCATGTCCAGTTGGTCGTGACGTTCATGGTCTGACGCGATGTGTAGTGGGGCGACAGTTGTTCAGGCGGTATCCGGTGTTCCGGGACACCGTCCGAAGCCTCGACAACTACCACGTGACGCTCATGGGCGTCTCGCTCATCCGCGACTGGCACCTCTTCGACGGCGACGACGCTCACGAACGAACATCCATATGGCCTATCAACATCACACTTCCAGCACTTGCCATCGTCCAGATAGCGTTGTTCGATCTTCTTACCCACCTTGGGTTCCATCCTGATGCTGTCGTTGCGCACTCCGCCGGAGAGGCGGCCCTCCTCTATGCCTCGGGAGCTGGCACGAAGGAGATGGCACTGGACTTGTCGATTGCTCGCGGCAAGGCCATGTCGCTGTTGGAGCAGTCAGAGACGCAAGGAACCATGGCAGCGCTGTCGTGCACGCCCGAGGTTGCCCAGAGCCTCGTCGATGCTGTGGCAGCCGAAGTCCAAGACGCGTCGCAAGTGATCAATATCGGCTGCTATAACGCTGCCAACGCAGTCACCCTCTCTGGTCACAGGGCCCTCGTCGAGGCCATCGTGCAGCGTGCGACTCAAGAGGGCCACCAGGCAACGACGCTTCGGACCAATGTTCCCGTCCACTCGGCCCTCATGGAGGAGTGCGCGACTGAGTACGCCGAACTCGTCGCCGAGGTCTACAATAGACATTCCGGTCCGCATGTCCCTCAAGTCACCACCTATTCATCCGCCCAGGGGTCGCTGCTGGAGAGCTTCGAGGAAGGATACTGGTGGTACGGCAGCCGGAACCCGGTACGCTTCACACAGACGATGAACATCATTCTTCAAGATCATCCCGGTGCTTCCTTCGTCGAACTCTCTCCCCACCCCGTCCTCTCCCACTACATCTCCACCTTCGGCGTCTCTCCGTCGCTCGTAACATGTCCCATGCGCCGAACGAAGTCTCCCGGCCTACAGCATGAAGCCAACACCCTTCTGACCGCCCTCGGTCAACTGTCGATAATGGGTCACAACGCGCTGGATTTCAGAGCCTTGCAGCGCTCGCTAGCACTCTGCAACGGTGACCTTCCATTCACCACGTATCCTTTCCAGCAGAAGGTCGTCGACTTCGCGCCTCCCTCCTCTCGGTCTTGGAACAACCAAGTTCAGCCCCGGAAAGGCCGCCTCAATTTCCCGGATATGCGGGTCAACAACCTCACGCACCCCGAGCTCGCGGACCACGTCATAAACCAGGAGTCGATTATGCCAGGGTCAGGTTTCATCGAGATGGTACACTGACTTCTTGTTCTGATTTCGATGAGAGGCTAATGTTGTCACTTTAGGTACTAGAAACTGGGGCGAACATTCTGTGGAACGTCGAGTTTATGTTACTTTTCCCTTTGTCTTCGAAAGAGCCGGTTCCCATGGGTCTGACGCTCGAAGGCAAGAACTGGTCTGTTACCAGTCAGCTCGTCGAGCAAATCCCTTCTGTGAGCGACTTGTCCGCCCAAATATTGTCCAGAACATATTACTAATGTACGCGCAGAGCTCGCCCGCCAGTCGCATTCACGCCCGAGGATGCATGTCCTCGAAACCTGTGGATATCGCAAGACCAAAGATAGACGTTGCCGGGATCCAAGCTCGTTGCACTCAAGTGGATAGCACTGGTAAGGTTTAAATCTCAAAATGCAATGGACGATTGCTTATATATGGAATAGCTTTCTACAAGGGCTTTGAATACTTTGCCCAGTACGGCCCATCGTTCAGGTTGGTGAAGCAGGCGCACTTCGGGTCGCGCGAGTTCATTGTCAAAGTCGAACACCCGGAAAGGTACTTATCCGATCGGTGTCAGTTTTACTTCTCGCTGACCTATGTTAATATAGCTCGGATGACTATGTGTTCCACCCTGCCACCCTAGATGCCGCCATTCACGCGCTGGTCCACCCCATGTTTACTTCAAACGGCGATCCAAATGTTTACTACCTCCCCTCGCGCGTCAAGTCTCTGGTTGTTTTCAGAGACGACCTTAAATATGCGCTGGGAGTTGGAATCTTATATGCACACGCGACGCTGAAGCAGTGGACCCCTAGTACGTCATCTTTTCTTATTCTTGACGCATTCTAATGAGCAAACTCCTTGTAGTGGAACTTATCACGGATCTCACGGTCACAGACGAGCATGGCGACGCCGTCGTATGTTTCCATGAGTTTGCCGTCAAAAAGCACCATATCCTGCCTCCAAGAGACGTCTCGAAGCGATTCGAGTACGTCTATCAACCCCTGGGACTGAGCCCTTTGCGCCTTAGAGGCGAGGTAGGAACTTACTTTTCCATCTCGTTTGCGTAACTAATAATAAATCCAGGACTTCGAGTACGATCTGCCCTGGGGATGTACGCAAGAAGCAAATCAAATAAAGGAGACCCTGCAGAATCTCCTGAAGTTCGTTTCCACGGCGTCACAAAAGCGAACTTTATCTCTCCTGTGCGTCGACTGTGGTAAGTCGAGCCTTCTTGACGTGTACTGGGATGGATTGCTTAGCTGTATGTATAGGCTTGGGAACCTTCAATCAACGCATGAAGGAGGCCGTCGCAAAGTTCACCGAGTACAAGGCTGCATACATCCACGTCGGCGATGGCGAGTCCACGTCACAGACTTTGAAAAAGAAGATCGACCTCCTTGAAACTTCCGTCGACGTTGTCATCGCCTTCGACGCACTGCCCTCCCAGAGTACCATCGAGCAAGATTACCAGTCACTCACTCGTCCTCTCGTGCCTGGAGGTGTGCTCGCTCTGGTGGCCCGCGACGACTTGGACGGTTCTGTTTCGCCCGTTTCACCTGACGCATGGTGCCCCGACATGTTCGTCGACCTTGCGCTGCGCTGGAAAACCCTCGTCCGCGCATTGCCTATCCAAGCTGGCCAGCGACCACAGCAAACTCCGGAAGAACTTCACCTTCTTATCGGCCAGACACCTAGCCTGTCGGTTGGGCACTTCGCCGATGACTATCCGGTTATGGATGGCCCTGCAGCACACGACGGGCACCCGCTTTCCAGCACTTTCGGTGGTCACCCGCCTGCAAGGGCAGGATTGCGCATCCTTCAGTACACGCGTGGAGGGGAGATGGAACTTCAGCGCCAGCTGAAGGACGTGGACGTCAACAAGCCCACGACGTTCTGGATCACGGCGACGTCGGGAACGGCAGACGAGGCCACGGGACGGGGCCTCACGAGGTCTCTCCGGCGCGAGTTCCCTCTTTGGAATATTTTCTTTGCAGGTCTCGACCAGTCCATAAATCCCACCGAGGCAGAGGCCATCCTACAGGCCTACACGGATATTCCTAGCATGGAGGAAGAAATCACCATCGACGGCCATCGCCAGATACTCGTTCCGAGGATTTGCGAAGTGTCGGCGCCGTCTCAGTCTACTCTCGCCGCGAACGGTGTACCGTCAAGCCGGCAAAGGGCCCAGCCTACGGCGCTTCTTCTCAACGAAGACGACGTCTACGTTGAAGTTGTCGCCTGCGCATCGGCGTCTTCGGGCCTCTACGGTGTCGTCGGACGCATTCGGGATGCCGAGTTAGCATCGTCCGCGGACAGCCGGGGATTCTTGGTCGCCACTGTCGCGACCAGCCTCCCCAATCAGTACATGGTCGCTCGACGGGACGCGTTGGCATTAATGGACGAGAACGCGGCTGAAGAAGATCTCCACGCCTACGCCTCGGCCCTCCCGTCGCTTTTGGCCGGGAAGCTTGCCATGCATGCGCTCCCGCCCAGCAGCAGGCTCACGAAGATCAAGTGTACCGTATGGCTCACCCACTCATCCACTCCCATCGCACAACGGATTGAACAATACCTTTCCTCGCTCGACGTGGGTGTCAAGGTGGTCAGTGTGTCGGATTTTACGTCTTCGTCGACATGCAAAGGTGTTAGGCCAGGAGACATTATCTTAACGGGATACGGCCCGGATGAAGCCCTCTTCCAAGCTGTTGTGACTCCGGGAGCGAAGCAGATCTCATGGCATCTCGACTCGCTGCTAGGCCTCTCAGATTCCTCGACCCCGTCGTGGATCTTAGGCAGTCTTTTGCAATCCGCTCTCGACGAAGTGGACTCGGCGACGCTCCGGCAATCCCAGCTCGTTTCCGTTATTAATGTTGCGCCTGCCCAGCGCCCGCTTTACAAGCCTGATCAGACTTACATTGTGATTGGAGGTGTCGGGAGTTTGGGTATTCACTTGTCTCTATGGCTTTACGAGGTGCGTCGATTGGTACTTTTCTTATCACGACTCATGATTAACCTGAATATTGTCCTGGTTATATAGCACGGCGCTCGTAGCATCGTTTTGACGTCGAGGTCCGGGAGGAAGTCCCTTCTCAAATCGAACGACAAGCTCGCCATGATGATGCTAGAGTACCTGGAATCGCGCGAAGATTTGGTCATCCAGCTCAAGGCTTCAGATGGGACATCGGAGGAGGCCATGGGCGAATTGGTCTCCACTCTCCCCTCGCACCCGGCTGGCGTATTCTTACTCTCGGTCGTCCTTTCCGATTCTAGCTTCTTCTCGCTCGACGAGGAGAAGTTCGCCACGTCTCACCGAGCGAAAGTCGCTGTATTTGACGTTCTCCGGAAGACGTTGGACCTCGACGGGTTGGACTTCGTCGCCTCACTGTCGTCTATTTCCACGTTCGGAAATGCAGGACAATGCGGGTATTCGAGGTTGGTACTCAAGAACTTCTCACGTCGTGGATATTTCACTGATTATCTTCCTCAGTGCAAATACCGCGCTGGAAAACATGGTCAACAGGCTTCCCAACGGATTCTCAGTGGTCTCTCCGGCAATTAAGGATACCGTTTCAGTCGTCGAAGCGTCGGCGCACTTCCAACATCTGATGCCATGGGCGTTCTCTGCACAAGGTACGATAGATTATATTCTCCTTGGCGAACGTAACTCATTCATATTTCTAAATAGAGGTCTGCGCATGTATTGACGATGGTATTCGGAAGGTTCAGAAAGAGGAGGTTGCGACTTATATTCCCGATCTCGACTGGACGCTCGTTCATGAACACATGGGACCATCCTCATTGTATAACCATCTCGTGCTTGGAAAAGCTGTCGAAGCAGAGGCACCTTCATCGTCTACATCTAGCAAATCCCGGGACTTGGAGACGATGAAGACCGTGGTATTGCAGGCCGTCGATGTTGCGGCCGAGGAGTTCGACGAGACCATGCCCCTTACCTCGTTCGGTCTCGACTCCCTGTCCGCAGCGCGCCTGTCGTTCACTCTGCGCGGGATCGTACCCTTGTCCCAGGTCCAGCTTTTGAGCAACATCACGTTCCGCGATATCGTCGAGCGTTATCATCAGCACGCTCAGGCCGAGCCTTCCACTGCAGCGACGACCTCGTCATCTTCGTCAGAGGACAGTATTGTCCTGAAGTACGGGTTCGAAGGAACCAGCCTGACAAAAATTCAAGACGGCGAAGGTGTTCCTTTCATAATCCTCCACGGAGGTAGTGGCACCATTGCTGCGTTCACGGAGCTGGCCCCGAATTTCTCTGGTTCGCTCTGGGCTCTACAAGCTACGACTGAGAGCCCCCTGCGCTCGGTCACCGCTGCCGCCGCTTACTACTACCGGTGCATCAAGGAGACCTTCCCTAGTGGCCCCTACCGACTGGGCGGGTATTCCGGAACCTGCTTCATCTTGTTCGCGCTCGTGCAGTTGATCGAGGCCGGTGGCGACGAGGTTTCGCAGGTGGTCGTGATCGACCACTTTCCTACCCTCTTCACTTCGCAGATTTACGCACCTGACGAAGAAACTCTGCGCAATCAGGCTCCTTCGGATGAGTTAGTGAAGAATACGATCCGGACTGTCACACCACTCTATCGCCTCGATACCGCCCAGCGGCGACAACTCGCTGACGAACTTGAGCAGGCGCTTCTCGGAAAGACCGTCTCCCCATTTATGGAGATGTTTGCCAGCATTTTTAGCGACATCACCTTCGCCCTGTGGGAGTTCACCTACGGGCTTGTGGGAGCCGACGCACCGCTCACGCTGGAGTCGATGCAGACGGCGATAGACGCATGGCTGAAGCGTAGCAAGGCGCCGGTGACAGTGGTCTTTGCATCAAAGGGCGTGCTCACAAGCATACCAGAGGCATGCGCGGACCCCCAGTGGATCGAGCAGTGCATACATTGTGCGTTCCCTGAGGCCACTGTCTTTCATATTCCCGGCACCCATCACTCGGTATTCCGGGGCAAACCCCTTGCCGAAATAATCGAGCAGCGTTACAACGGGAGGGTAGAGTGATTTGAAGAGGTAGATAGAGTCTGTTAGACATTTAGAACCAGTTATGTACGATTGTGTAATTCGTAGTCTGCTTATTTCGTCGTATATCTTGGGTAAACTGCCGTACTATCGTAGATTAATACATACTCAGACCTTGTCCTGTTCATCGGGGGTTTCTAAGGATGGCTAGTAAACGACACTAAAGCTTGTAAAGACTCGAAACTTGAGTATCCGTTGTGGGTATATCTTAAATCAAGCGTCCAAGTTGCAAGGAAAGGAGGCTAATGAGTAAGCTAAGTTAAAATTTCGTGAAGGTTTATGGAGAGGTTTGAAACGAACCGTACACAGACATGCTCCTCGCTCACGACTTGACAGGGCTAATTCGAGTGTGCATTACGGAGAGGACCCATTTTGAGACGTAACTGGTCGTACTTGTCTTTGTTCCCAGAGAAAACTCCGTGCGCCGGAAGCTCTGTGTTCACCGTCCGAGAGTTCTGAAAATGAATCCCAGGCCACTGAGAACTAGGCAGAAGTTGGAGAACTGAGAGATGTCGCGGATGGTGAGTTATTTGAGGGTGGTCTGGGACGTATACTTTGCGACCTAGCTGAGGAAAAAGAGGTCTACGAGGAGAGTATTCGAACAGAGGGAGTGTTTCGCGGACCGGGACTGGGTCTGTACACAACAAGGTTCCCCAAGCCGGCGCGAACGACTGGTCCTCAAGCACGCGAAACGCCCGGAATGAACACGAATTGGTAATCACTTGCGAAGACGCCACTTGCGAAGACGCCACTTCTGAAGAACGTTTGCCTATACCTCGGGAAGTCTTCCTCCATCAGGGAAGACAGATCGTCTGAGGTTCGCTTCAGAGCCAATGTGGGAGAGGGCGGTATAATGCCGGCAGCGGCAACCGTGGATCACTCCAGCCAGATGAGAGTTCAAACAAAACAGATGGTACATATTCTCCTGCGTGTATAAACGTTCGTCGGGGCACGCGTATCTTAATGAAGTTTTGATGAAGGCCGAGAGTTCGTTTGTCGAAGAAGATGAGATGACGGCACTAAGGGTAGTGTTGAACTTGAGTGAAATGACGGACGCTCTCCAATTTGGTCACGAGTCTAGAGTCTTCATGCGAGGATAGTCTGAACGACAAAGGCTTCAGTATGGATGATAAGAATGAACGACTGGCGTTGCTCACCGAGATCCTCGCGCTATCCATATCCGCATATAACTGCAGCGTCGCCCATTCAGGAAGCAAAGAGTTATGGTGGTTCCCTGATGAGGATAAGGCCAGAAAAAAGGAGAATAAGCTAGTGAAACGGACGTTATGTACCAGCGAAGGATTACTCACCAAAGCGTTCCTGCCGACGTTACTAGGGCTCCGGTGTTCGTCCTGAAACTGCTGGCTGTTCTTGAATTCAGCTCCTCAAAGCTGGGGTAAGCACTACTGGTGGGGTTGAGTTCGAGGGGAAGATCGTTGCGTTGGTTTTGAGTAACATATCCGGGGAGGAGCTCGAGAGATTCACAAATTGAGAGCTGTCAATGACCAACGCTGGAAGTGTAGACTCCGAATTCCGATTCCGGCACTTACATCCAACGTCTCGCGTCATCCACCTCACAGCACCAAAGCGACCTCCCTTCAGGTTAAGACGTCGACCATACATATAAAACTCTTTGCGACGCTAATAGTCAAGTCCAAAACCACACAAATACGATTACCCGTTGAGAAGGCACGCCCATGCCCGCTCACCCAAGAATGCGGTCAGCTGTATCAGTATTCGTTGCATGATATTCAGTGCTTGCCAAAACAGAATCCTAATTGTAACCAGTATGCCTTCAAACTTCGCCGCTCAACGCTGCCGCCCGAAAAGCCGGATCGACGCGCATTGGCAGCCGAGAGGCTTAGCACCTGAAGGTGGAATTCCGGTATCCTTCAATGGATAATTCCTCGTGATGTTTGAGATCTCAAATCTATCGAACCTCCTGTATTTCTGACCATTATGTTAGACGTCCTCAATATCGGGTACAAAGTCTTGGAAGAAGGACATGGTGTAAGTAAGTGAATAGGGGCTATTTCTCGCGAAGCTCCTGTTGACATGCGTAATTAGCAAGTCGATATGTGACATCGGCAATGGTCATATTCAGTTTGCATAGTGAGCTATGGTCTCACCCAATGGGACGGTGCGCCAAAACACTTTTTGCCATTAATTATCACCGACTCAGCTCCTCGTAGCCTTCACAACCCTCGCAGCGACGCATCAAGTGCCCGCCTTTCCGGTCTTCTACGCATAGGCGGACTCAAATTGCTTTCCGGGAGTGACAAAGTCCCTACAAAGCCTTTTCATGATCACAGACTCATATCTCATAATTGGCGGCAACGGTTTGCTGGGCCAGCACATCGTAGAGCAACTCCTGGACAGAGGCGAAGAGCGAGTGGCCATTCTCGATATCGTGCAGCTGTCTCCGGCGAACCCAAAGGTTCCTGTCTACACTGGGGACATTACCAACGTGAGCGACATTCAAAGCGCGATAGAGAAGGTACGTTTGCCAGACAGACAAATTCTCAGCCTTTCCTCAGACTTCTCCCGACAGTGCCGTGCTACTTGTGTCATTCACACTGCAGCGTCGCTGCCGGGAAAGCCACGGCAATTTCAAGAGCAAGTCAATGTTTCTGGGACAAGGAACGTTGTGAACGCCTGTGCAAGTCGAGGTGTGAAGAAGATGGTGTACACCAGTACGGCCAGCGTCGTCTTCTCCGGCAAGGACCAGCACAACGTCAATGAAACTGCTCCGTACGGCAACCCGCACGTGGACGACTACAACGAAACGAAGGCCGACGCCGAGAAGTTCGTTATCGAGTCGAACGGAAAGAATGGGCTCTACACGACATCACTCCGTCCTGCTGGTATGTTTGGGTGAGTGACATTTGTTGCAGTTCCCCTTCTCTTAGCTTTGCTGACTTTGCTGGGGAAGACCGAAGGATCGGCTTACAGTTCCGACGATGATGGGCGTCGCCCAGTCTGGCCGCTCATACATCCAGCTTGGGAACAACCAAAATCTATTTGACTGGACTTACATCGGAAACGCAGCGAAAGCACACCTCCTTGCTGCAGATCGCCTTAGCCTGGATCACCCCAAGTTTCGGTTGGTGGCTGGTCAGGCGTTCTTCATAACGAACGGCGATCCGAGGCCTTGGTGGGAGTTCCCTCGCCTCCTGTGGAAGACTGGCGGTTATTCGATACCCGAAAAGACGACTGTCATTCCCCGATATGCTGCTTATATCATCGCCATGTTCACGGAGCTTGTCGGCTGGTTATCTGAGAAGAGACCGTCATTGACCAGGATGTCGGTGTTATACTGCTGCACGTCGAGGTGGTGCGACATCTCAAAGGCACGCCACGCTCTTGACTACAACCCGGACATAAGCTTAGAAGAGGGTGCCAGGATTTCTGTTGATGTAAATCCATGTTAACTCCCCTTGTGCTACGCCATGCTGACCTTTGTTCGTGCAGTGGTGGAAGAAAGCGCAACAAACATAGCACATGGATGTTACTGACAGGCGGGCTCTATACAGGATGTCGGGTTTGAACCGTATGTCACTACGCTGGCCATTCTCAGGATTTGCCTCGAATTACCAGATGCCATTAAGATGTCCTATGTAATGGTTTAGAATGCCGTGCAATTACCTCGAATGGTCATAAGCTGTCTTTAGTACGAGATACTGCAGTCACTCTAGGTGTAAGTCTATCAGCAAGTGCGTAATTCCAGCAATCGGCCCTCGGCAAAAGCGCCCGAGACGCCCGCTGCTGAGCGCTTGAGTGCTGTGCCTTGGCACGGACTGGTCATACAATGCACTTGTAAGCTCATTCCTACGGACTGACGACGTTTGGGGATCCCGAGCTGGTCCACTTTACACAAAAATCACACAAACAAACGTCTGAACAGTCGCTCCTGGTCGGAAACAGGAGGACCACACCACACCTAGAAAACTTCATGATGTCCGCGGACCGCCACTGCGTACTAGCCTTTGACCACAAGATAGGAAGGACTTGAAGCTTGAGGTATAGGTACCTGTCTATCGCCAAACTTCAAGGTTCTCTCCTAAAAATATCGATTATAACCTTGGTCTTGGCCCTGCATGGTGATGGAGATTTTGAAATCCGGAAACGAGATTTCCTAAGCATCCGCGATATCCGAACCTGCGCCATTACCTCATTTCGGATCTGCATGCAGGTATGTGGCACCAGTGTATGCCATTTGGCGATGGCACTCGGAAATGGCAGGTGCGAGCTCGCGAGCCGGAAGCAAAATAATAGTAATGGCAACCAAAAGCACTAGGCTACGAAAGCTATATTGTGGTGCTCGCAGCAATATGGACACATGTACATACATCGGGTCTAACGCGACTTAGGCTCACATAAACTTCCATAATGGGAAACTTAGTCATACCCATTGCCAGCCGCCAATGGCGTGCCAGGAAATGGCTGGCCAGCACCGCCATTCTGCCATCGGACTTCAAACACTGTGTGGCACCGTAAATGTCATGAGGATTGTGTTTTTTCTCTTCTTTCGAGACTCGAGGCCATTGCTTAGATTCTCACATTATTTCTTCCTACTACGATCAGACCCTTGGGTTGAACGGTCGACATCCAACTATTTATACTCTTATCATAGCCAACACACAATCTTTGCCTAGGTTCTATGCATTATATCAATTCTCTGATCTATTAAGACCTTGACTCTCTCCGTTGTTTGAGTCTGATCATAACTGGCCGACTCATTTGTGCGACATTAAAACTCCTCTCCATTTTCTTCGGAACCTTATACGTCTCTGTATCGCCGTCCACCTCGACTTCAAGAAGAGACACCCAGAGTGCAACAAAAGCTTTGATATGCCTATGAACAAAAAGACGGCCTTTACACTAGAGAAAACATCAAGACATGCTACCGAATGGGAAAATAGAATGCGCACTGCGTGTTTGCCGCCGCCGAAGCCTATCGGTATACTATTATGATCACGCTTGGTGACGGTTCCTTCAAGAAAGCGATCGACAACAAACGTTTGTGGGTGCGCATAAACGGAGGGATCCATATTGTGAGCTCGCGTGTTTGCCATAATGTATTCTCCGGCCCGAATCTTCAGCGAGTTACCACCATAGTCGAGATCAAAGTCGCAAGTTGCCTGGCGAAAGGGCGTTGCATTGCTTATCAAGCGTAGTGTCTCCTTGATTGCGGAATCTATAATTGGAAATGAAGATGGCCCAAAAGCTGTGGGATCGCTGATGAGTTTGACGACGTCTCCTCGATACGTCTGTAGTACGCTATCTACTTCGTGTCGCACTTTCGCAAGAGCACACGGATCGTCGAACAAGAATGCCAGCAGCCAGCTAGTGACATTTGTGGGAGCAGCTGTGAGCCCCCAAACGAGGGTCATAAAAAGAGCAGCCCTATTTCTCGTGGAAAGATCGTTGGAATAGGCCTCGCGCAGATACTCTTGAACAAGAGGGAACCCCGGCCAAGCGCCCGAGCAATCTGTCTCCACGAGCGCCAAATACACTTCTATACGCGAGAGCATGCGCGAATGAGCGTCTCGAAATTGGGATCCTGTCAATGGAAATCCAAGCATGCGAGTGTAGAACGATGTATCCAAGGTCCGTAAGTCCGTGATGGCGTCGGGAGGAAATAGTGGACCAAGGATAGCTTGGGAAATGGAAGAAATGAGAGCTGCGCCCACCAATTCAGAGAGAGAGTGTGTGATCGCAGGGAATGACTGGGTTTTCAAAAACTCTGAGATCGAGGTGGCGAGAGCGGGAGAGATGCGCTCCAAGAAATCTTGAGACCTGAGCACCCTGCCTATGGCTGGAAAAATGTGATGCCCCATGAGGCCAGCAAGCGTTTCGGGGTCGATGTCAGTCCCGCTAAAGGCAGAGACGAGCTCTCCCGTGGCGGGGCTATTGCTGAGCGTGGGCAGCTTGAACAGTGTCTTCACCAAGCTTTCGCTTGATACAACGGTTATCAATCTACCTCCAATCAACACCCGACAAACGGGTCCATAGTGAAGTCTACCATGGGTTAACTTCTTTGGAGCAGATAGCTGGGATGTCACTCACTTGAATTTGTCCAGCGCCGCTCCAGGTCCAAGGTAAATGAAGTCAAAGGTGTGCTTCATTCCGTAGACCATACGAAGCAAAGGGGGAGAGTTTGGTAAAAGCAGGTGGCTATACCTTGCAAACAGCAAGATCAGCGCCGTAAGTAAAACGATCGCGATGAAAGACAGCATAAATCTTTATTCAAGACGATGCGTGGCCGGTCAATGCGGGGTCTTTGGCTTTTATATACTCTGACTCTCAATGTAAAAATACCGAAGCTACAATGCTCAGAAACGTTAGTAGGCGTCGCATATTGCATGCGCGAACATGTACTCGGCTCCACTCGTGCTAGGTCAGTGTCCTTGTCCGAGCCTGCCAAAGTAGGTATCTGTACAGGCACGCCACCTAGAGGCGGTGGACTTGACCTGCACACTGTACACGGACCTTTCGCACCAAGGTTTTACCATTGATCTAGTAGCCGACCGCCATGATGGGAGGTACTGTGATTCACCGTCAGAGTAGACACCACCGTCAGAATAGACAACTCGCTTTTGTGCCCGTTTCCTTGGCAAATCATTCAAACTAAAATCATGGTAATTACGAGAACATGTTGTACTTTATGCCTGTACATGCGATTGGCGAGAGGATGTCTGGATGTGAAGCTGCAAGCCTCAAAGCATGAAAAACAGGGTGTTGTAAAAAATTTCTGAGCTTCGGCGGATAACCAGCTGTGAACATGCGACACAGTGTGGATGATAGAGCTATTATATGTTTTAAGGACATCTTTACCCTTCGTTGAAACAATTTTGGGCGCTGCAAAAGGCGACAACTCTCAATATGTCGGAACGATGACAGAGTGTCCTCTCGAGCCTTGCCATAATCTTATAGCCGCTGTAACGGCGACTTCGGCTCAGCGATAACGCCCTGACTTTCCTTTTTGAGACCGGCTATGGTGGACGGCCTGCCTAATATGGATTATCGCCACCCGCGCGGACTGTCTATTCTGACGGTATTCGGCCTAAAACACTGATTCGTGCATTGCACATGCACCCTATGCTTGCGTCACTCAGCGATTTTTTGTAAGGTAGATCGCATACCAAGGACATCTCAAACCTAAA